TTAGTCTATACGACTCACGTCCGATTATGTTTCCAATTTTGGCAAATCCGCCTATTCGTATCCCCTGTACTACCCCGCGAATTCGCCCTACGTGATCGTGGGGTAGTATTCCCCCTATTCCAGAGTAGGATTTGCTCGGCGGTTCCGTGTCGCTACCCCGGTTTCCACCAAATTGAGTCACGGAAAAGACAAATCCGTTGATACCCTGCATCCGTGCTTGAAACGAGGTTAATGGCTGGCGGATTTTCTACGTTTTGAGATTCCGAAGAACGGTTGTACGGCTTAGGATCAGGCTCTCCGAGTCAGGCTCTCCAAGTCGGCTCCGTCAATCATACGATTTTGGTTAGGGTCTTCTATCTGGGGGCTTTGTACGCTTGACAGGAGTTTCCGGGCTGGGTCCAACATGCTACGTGAAACGCAGTTTGTAAATCCCGTGTGCTGCGACTGGGCGATGCTGTTAGCCGGACTAGCCTTTACGGCGGGCGATAAGTTTGGTCAAGCGTAGAAATGCCTATTTGGTTCCTGCATGAGGAACCTGGTTCGCCTCCATACGTACTATTGCAAGTTGGAACGCGGAGCACGGCACGCGCATGAAGGCAAGATCCCCATGGGGGAATTGAGTTAAAATCTCAACGACTCTTCCCTCTGTTCTGGGGAAATGGCCATGCACTGCAACGTTAGAGTTTCATCTTTGGCAACCATCTGATAGTTTGACACAATGAAGTTCGCTCTCCACCAGCTTGCCAAAGCCCTCGTGTTGGGAACGGCGTGTGCCGCCAGCCCCTCAAACCATGGTATACCACACACTTTCTGAAGGAAATGTCGTAGCAGGAACTTCGCTAACTTTCATTTCCATTACCAGTTCGTAACTTTGGATGGCCATTTAATTTTCTTAAGACCAATGGCGTGGCCATCGGCTGGCTTCCTTCTAATGGGAACGCCTCAGAGGGCGTCACTTCGCCGCGATACACCATGGCGGAGATCAATGCCAGGTTGGGAGCAAAGGGTGCCACATATGGCATGTACTCTCACCTCGACTCGCAGCAGTACAACGGCTACGAGCTCATGGAAGAGTTTGACGATGTTGTGAACTCTGGTGCCATCTTTGTACCATCAGTCATGCCTGTGCTGGCTCAAGGTTTTGCGGGCATCACTAAAGATGTCGCTTACCAAGTTGCCGACGTAATGAGGAAGTTCACAGAGCGAGGAGTTCGTGTCTGGCTTCGCTTCGGCCATGAGATGAATTGGTACGTTGATCCTGTAAGTACACCTTTTACACGTTCGCTCTGTTTTACATTTATCTAACCGCCAAACTCGTTTTCGTGATGAAAGGCTGCTGAGCCACGATACTATGGAACTCCTGCCGAATTTGTTGTTGCGTGGCAGAACGTGGCCGAAGCAGTTGCCGATAACCCTCTTGTGGAGATGTTCTGGTCGCCAAACAATATTGGAAATGGGTCGGCAGACGTTCTAGACCCCTGGTATCCGGGCGATGAAACCGTTGACCTAGTGGGCATTGACTGCTATCCTAATGCGGAATATCAGGACTTTGAGTACATGTACAAGAACTTCTACGATCGATACTCGGCTGGCAAGAACAAGCCATTCGCTATCGGCGAGACTGGGGCCAATGCCACATACAAAGAGTGGTGGCTTTCGCAACTTGTTGGCCAGAGCAGGCACGAGTACTCCAACTATGTCTCCATGAGCTGGTTCGAGTATCTCAAGGGAGACGACTTCCGCCTGGTGATGGCTGGCAAGAAGGTTTTGGAGGAGACCAAGCGAACTCTCGGCCTGGACCGCCACTAGAGCAGATTATTACCTTCCGTTATACTGTAACGCCAACAGGGCAAAAGATTAAGCTAACAATCGCAATTGTAGCAAATGCAGTAACAGAACTAGCGGTTTATAAGGAACCGATTGCTGTTACGGTTGACCGGACCGTAACACCTAGACCACTAGTTTTTTATAATATAAATTTATATTCTATTATACTGTAGCGCTAACAGGGTTTCAATTATAGCAACTATTGTAATGAAACCAGCTGCTTATAAGGGATTGCTGTTACGAAGGACCAGGTTGTAACAATGGGCGGGAGCCCTAAGTAACTGCAGCTGCGTATGAAGGAGGCAGAGCGCGCTATAGGGGCCGCTATCGTAGAATATGGACATTAGCTAAGACATCACTGTAAGTTTTTGTAGTTATACTTATTATACTGTTACTGAAAACATAGGCGGCAATCACCAGGTCTTTTATACGTATCCCTGCCTTCTCAGACGCCGTTAATACATTGACTTAATAATACGTTAGGGTATAATATATACTACATGTATTTTTGATACAATTAGGTACATCACTGGGTATTTCCTTATAACTTACTAACGCCAATGCATTTACTTTAAGTTCAGCTACCCGGTAATAGCAAAGACTAGAAGCGCCATTGTGATGCAAACCAACCTCACCAACGCAAGGAGACTTAATATCTTAGTAATATTAAATACATTAGTTAGTCGGAGTAGTCCATGTTAAGCTAAGTTCAGTTAGTTGACATCAACCTGGCTGACAGCCTAATGATTGTCGTTGGGTAACTGTCAAATTGTCCAGGTACCACTGGTGCAGCAATCGGCAACTTTACATCCAAGTCTATTTTTAGCTTTGCCGGTATAATCTACTAGATAGTACTTCGTATACCGGTAAGTATTATTAAGACATTCCCAAACCATACCAGGTCTTGGCGGTATTTACCATACCAATACCAACTCATACCAGACAATCCCAATCACAGTCGCTACTCTAAGGGCATCTCTCCAAGTAAATAAAAGTCATATCCGTAACCGTAGTCAATAGGCAGCTGACGACTTCCAACCGCTGGCCCAACTGCTACACCGCCTTTTATTGCTATAATCAAGTGCACGTTGAGACTCTCACTGGCTTAGTCTATTACAATATTAGAGTTTAGTATTTAGTAAAAAAGAGCTTCTCGCTTAGTAAATAGCCCTCGTAGTGGCCTACTTTGGTAAAGTAGGCCGTCTTAGTAACAGAAAACCAACTGTCCCTGTCTAACGATTTTAGGGAATTTGAGCATTTTCCTATTTAGGAGTTTAACATACTCCCTAATTTGCTTTTGTTATCTGTTGGCTTAAATATGTAGACGTCGCGCTAAATGCTGACACGACCAAATCTACACTATTCGTCAAAACTGTTAAACGTCACAGCGGAACACAGATAAAAAGAGTGCGTTAATTCTATATACCATACCAATACCAACTCATACCAGACTATTCCAATTACTTCGCAATCATAGCTAATGTTTAGCTGAAATTCCCTCTGTAAGTTCTGCAGGAAGGTGAATCAAGAAGCCGGTTTATTAGTAAGTAGCAAAGCCGTCATTACGGCAACACAAGTACCCCATTGTCTACCATAGTTAGGTCAACAATACCTAGACTTAAGAAATGGCCTAGTATCCTCTGGAATATATTCCATTATAGATGCTTAACTTATAGAAACAATACCACAGCACTAATAGGCAGTAAGCCGTGTCAAATCTCTTATAAATATACAACAAGGACTCACTTATCTAACATTATCAATAACAAGTAAAGCGTTAATTGGGGAACAACTATGTCAAGACTTACTAATTAAGGGCTTATATAACTAACTAACAAGTGCTTTAACAAAAGCTTTAAGACAATTCCACTTTCCACATTAGGTAAGATACGCCTTCTATATTTGGCCAGGCACACTTTCTGCCCTACATACATGCAATTAGTGCAGGTTTTATACAGGTCCAGCCTAATTATAACCCTAAATATTTAAATCGTTGCTTATTTAAAGGCTACGGGAGCTATTGCATGTCCCTCCCTTGTATCTTAACTTTGTTTTGTAATAACTAATTGAGGCATTCCAAGTTGGGATCTGTGCTCCGTAGTGGGAAGGGGAGGTACTTTAAATGTCCGTATGTATATGGAAACGTTGAAAATATTCTAAAATTTAATATATACTTGTACTAGAAGTAGTATCGGCCTTTTCAATTAACGTTATAGTTTTTAGCAGCAGCATGCGCTATCGCTTACTCGCGTCGTCGCGCGTAATCAGCGCGGAGAGGAGCAACCTGGACGTGGCAAAAACGTCCAAGTCAGCCGAGATCAGTGACAGTTATTTTGGGACATTGTTACCAGAATACAACCACGAGGGCTCTGCAAGTCGCTTCATCCACTACCTGGCGGACAATAGACGCTCAAATATACAATAAACATAGCACAGAAGCACTTATCACACAACTACCGCAATTCATCGTGGCCGGATTTTACCATCGGCCCGGCCCTCTTTATAGTTTGCTACCTTAATTTCTTAAATTTTTTACTCGCGACGGGGCGCTCACGCGTTTCTCCGGCGATATGCGGACCCCCATATTATCAGTTGCTGCAGTGAAATCTGTGTTTTGCTCTGCATCTGAAAGTGTGATGGTCATGGCACGCCAGGTAGACATGTGCGCTCGTTGATTTCAAATGGACTATTTACACATAGGCTAGATATCCCTACAATCGATCTCCGTTACCTCGGTAGTACCAAGCGAACCTGTGATTAATAGAGCCGTTTGAGGCAAGTGTCAAATACCCAATAAAGCCTTGCGCTTATATCTGACCTGAATTTCGGCTGTTTGTTCAAGAATTTCTCAATAGCAACTAGACCCTACGGGGAGTTTTTTTTTTTTCGCGCCGCGAACATATCCTGGCTGTTCCACTCAACTCACTTAGCTCCTCCGAATGTGGGATCAACACGCAGTTTCTGTGACTCTGGCTTCATGAAAAATACAGGTATATATAGCCTACATCCCAGGTGTTTCCCATGTGTTCCGTGTTGACGTTCACAATTCAGTCTTGTGAGGATTCTGCGTATTCGACTACGAAGTGACGCTCGCTGCCAAACTGAAGATGCGGGGAAGCATATTGATAAGTTTGTGTGGTCTGGCCGCCTCGAAAGCCCTGCATTTGGACGGCATGAGGTCGGCAATTAAAGGTTAGGGTTGTCCCAACGTTCGGTGGCAGGATACAGCCGTGAACTGACACTCAAGCGCAGAAAAAGCAGATGCGGTCATTGCGGCAGCTGTTCCCGACACGATTCCCTTGGTAAATTTCCTCGCTCTTACGAGATCCGGCGAGGTGCTATACCAAGCGACTGCAGGGTCGAGGCAGGCTGGTTCGGATATACCGTTGCAGCTTGGTGATGTGAGTTACACATGTCTTTGCATGGCAGATCTCAGAAAGAAAGTGTTGGGCAGCGTTGACGTGGTCGACAGATATTTTGGCTTGCATCTCATACGAAAATTTTAGGCATGATGGCTTTGTTGAAGTGCGTTGACATGGGTTTGATCGGCTTGGATGACAGTGTTCTCTCGAAATTACCTGATTTGGCGCTAGAGCAAGTGTGAGTACAATCTGTCCTGTGATGTTCGTCACTTGGCTTTAACTGCTGGTAGTCGCTTAAATCCCGATGACCCAGGCTCGGCGACTCGACTGAGGGTTGGGGACATTACGGTTCGGAATCTTCTTACATTTACGGCTGGAAACGCTTATCCTGTGGTGGATTTCCTAGCAACACTGAGCCCGGTTGAGATTGTTGCTGATCCAGAGCCTTTTTTCCCTAACAACAAGAGCGTATATGCTGGTGCTCACGCAAATGATCCTAACCAGGTATGGCGTTACGGGGCGGAGGCTGATTATGCAGGCCTTCTTGTCGAGAATTTAACTGGTGTTAGCCTGGGTGATTTTATCCAAGGGGAGTTGCTGGGTCCCGCCGGTGTCAGTGGTGAAGACTTCACCTTCAGGCTCAATAAGGAGCAGACCAGCCGACTAGTGAGTCAGCATGTTAGGGTGAATGAATCATTAATTGTGCCCAGAGGTCCTATCTACAACGACACCAATATTCAATTTGAAAGCGCTGGTGCGGGTGGCTTTGCGACAATCGAGGCAATGGGACAAGCGCTATTGCCTTTGATAAATGGCGGAAAACATCGTAAGTGAGGCGTCCAGCTACTAATGCCTGTTTTGGTGGTGTTGGCGAGGTGTGGCGGGTGTAAATGTTACTGACGCGGTTTTAAGCGGTTACCGGCGCGAGGATTTTGAGTACGTCTATTGTTGAAGAGGCCTTACGTCCGCAGCTTTCTGCAGTTGAGCTGGCAAATGGCCTGGACGCACCGTCGCAGGCGTCCAACGATGGGGGAGTTTTATTTCCTGGGACAGCTAAACAGTGGGGCTTAGGCGCACTATTGTTCCCAGCAGGTTTCGAGACGGGTCGCGGAAATGGCACTTTCGCGTGGGCAGGGTTTTGTAACACGAATTGGCATGCAGACAACGAGAAAGGTGTCGTCGTGCTTGGGTGGAGTCAGTTCATTCCCCAAGACGACCCGACCTTCAATACTGTTGTTAGGTACCCCATTGAGGAAATCTTATATGATGTGATAGGGTCTGGTTTTTGAGGGCTGGCAGTATGCGGAGGTGTGCAGTGAGGGCTCAGCTTCGCTCTGCTGGGTTTTACATCTTTACTTCGTCCTGTTGCGTTTTTTGAGTCTCATCATGGGAGCTAAGAGCGTGCTAAATTGATACATTGCTTTTGTCGTGGCTTCCCCTGTGTTTATGTGAGAATGTCGCCTCTAATTCCCACCACGCCGGTTGGCAAGTAAGGGGGTTTTCGAAGCTGGCCAATAGCGCCGCGAGCTGGGAGCCAATGGAATGGATTGATTTCTCACGGAGGGAACATTCCTATCCCATTGAAGGTGTTAAGCTTGACAGACAGATCGCCGGTCTATATTGCTGCGCTGGTGTTGTCTCCACAATGGAAATAGCATTATATTGACAACAATTGACCTTCAGACTCGCGAGAACCCTGTCGGAAACGAATGTCGGATTCTAGACTAAAGAATATAAGTCCACTGCAGTTACAGTCTCTACGCAGACGTCAGAAGCTCGCGATCGGGTCAAGAACTCATTCCACAAGTGGGAACAGCAGAGGAGAGGGACTTATCTCGATCAGGACAAATACACAAAGTATCTTCTTGCCCCAATCATACCAGAAGTGAATGATCTGCGATCCTGGTGGCTTAATCCTACCCACAGGAAGTCTTACTCAGCTCTATCTATTATAGCTTTGGATGTGTTGTCCATTCCGGCAATTTCAGCAGAGCCAGAGAGCCTATTTTCATACACGAAGATCACTATCACGGATCGTAGGAACTGCATAGGCATTAAAAGTATTAAAGCAACAGAATTCCTCAAATCATAGCTAAGCAAAGGCAGCAGGGTGGCCTTTGCCGACAACGACCTTAATACAAGTGAAGATATTCCATTCCATAGCTTATATAACCTTATTTGGGATGCCGTTGCATGTCCGCGATCACAATTTCGTCGTGTTCGTACTATCACATGAATAATATGGCCATGCATATTACCATCTATTGTGATCATATCATATGGACCTTATATGATATAATAAAAGCTCTGCCCATATCGTACATAATATGACCTTCCAAAACCTGATCATATATGGTAATAGCACAATATTGGACATACTGCTCAAGAATCCATACAGACGAATTCTTGGCCCAAAAATTGATACTTTGTTATGCGGAAGGCCAAGGAACACCGACCGAATTGTCCCCGAAAGATGATCTATTGTGGAAAGTAGCGAATCTACTCGCCAATCCGACCGTCAGCCGGCAGGTCGGCGAAGCGGGCGAAACCGAGGTCAACCACCGGGAAATCTCAATAAATCTATCCTCGCCAGAAAAGCACAAGAAGAGATTCCAGAAACTATTACAAAAACCAGTAGTCACGTAAGTGACTTGAATCAGCAGCAGAGATGTGGATTATCTGTTGCTTCCAGAGCTGGAAACACAACAGGGGTGCGCTCCAGTGGTCGGAGAATGCAACCAAGTATTCGTAGAACAAGGAGTCAATGGGAACTTAATGAGGGCGATGAAGAATCATCTTGTATCATTGTTAAGCAGTAAAACAGAACCTAATTGGTCGGAATGCTTAACATTTGTGTACCAATAGGGTTGAGCAGCTGTTGTAAAGGATAATATTAGTTCGGAGACCTGTGAAAGAATTAGTTGACCTATCCTAAGACACAGTTCAAGCATTATAGGCAGCTGTTAAGGCAGTAGCTACACCGCCTTTGCTCGGAAGTATATATGGGGAAGATAGAATTGGGCTAATTAGAAGCCATAAAAGTCATGCATCTGTAAGGCCATGCCTCTGAATCAACAGGAGAAGGCGAACCGTGGCGCGGTTTGCGCATCAAAGCCTTGAGGAACAAACTCTGAGAGAAAAGATGTGTGTAGAGTAGGAGAATACAAGACCTTGATAAATGTTGGTTGCCAGAGTAGGTCACACCCTGGCTGCCTCTCAAAACGTCATAGATGCACGACGTTGCAGATTACATAGGTCTCATAGAGGAAGGTACTTCTTTTTGAACTGCAGGCCACGCCTAGTAAGTAATTTACATAAGCCATCTTATATCTAATATCCCAGCTAATCAATTAAATCTGTATAGTTATTGGCCAAATGTTATTATTAGATGGTATAGGTTTGACGATGGCTGGCATCCTGACGAGATTCTGCTTTCCCAACATGGCGGATATCAGCGAGTCTGGTAGAGGGACATTCAGAATACCTTCAACCACAATGAATATAATGTTGCTCGTGGTGGCTCCGACGGCCGCAAACACTTGGATCACACAAAGATATATATTGCCTGGCTGAAGTATGCCCATTCCCATATGCGCAATACCGGCTACAACGATGTTGTATCTCAACTCTTGAGTAATGCCTTCTGGTACCAGGATTGGTGGCACTTTCGTAAGTTATTTATAAAACAATAAAGCATATAAAATATAGGATTATACAGTGTTACGACCTGGCTCTTATAGTTACGACAATGAGCCTATGGGGTAGGCGATTTTAAATAATTGTAGGACTAATACATTAATTAAGATTAAGTTAATAAAAATTAACGTTAATTTTATTAATAAATAGGATTAATATAAATTAATATTAATTTATATTAATTTTAAAATATATAATTAAATATTTAAATCTATATATTTAATATTAATTTAAATAGTTTAAATAGTTAATTATTAATATAATAATTAAATTAAATTTAACTATTATATTTTTTAATTATATAATATTAATAAAATTATATTTATAATTAACTTAACTATTTTACTTAAGTTATTGTTTTTTTTAGATAATTATTTTAAAACTGTAGTTATAAAACTTTATTTTAAAAAGTTATTAATAATTATTATTACTTTTTTAAATATTTTTTTGTAACGGGATTATACAGGTGCAGCTACCCTGCACGTGACCCCAGGGTCTCGTCTAGCCTTCCCTACCTTTTCGCCCACAAATCCTGGAAGGAAGGAATTAAGTTTCAGTCTTACAATACCAAAATACCTACCTTATTGCTGTTTGCTTGATTTACCCTGTATTCTGTGACATTTTTTTAATTTTATAACATTATATATTAATTTAAAATAATTTTAAATAGCTTTTAAATTAATATATTTTATTAATTAAAGTTTATAATAATAATAATAATAATAATAATAATATTTTATTTTATATTATAATAAACTATAAATAGATAAATTAATATAGTTAAAATTTTTAAAAGATAAACTTAACTTTTAGATTATATTAATAAATAAACTAAGCTAAATATTTAAGTAATATACATAGATATATAATTAATAAAAAAAATCAAGTAAATTTAATTTAAATATTATAATTTTTAATTAATTATTTAAGCTATTTAAATAAATATATAAATATAATTTATATTTTTAGTTAATTTTAAGTTTATAAAGTTTATTAAATAAACTAAATAAAGTATTATTTATTTATATAATTTATTAAAAAAGTTAAGTAAATATTTTATTATTAGTTAATTAACTTATAATTAATTTAATAATACTTACTTTATAAGCTTATTATAATAATTATAAAAGTTAAGTTATAATATAATATTTCTTTTTATTAATTTTATTTTTAAGATTTTACTTAATTTAATATAAATAGTTTACTTTTTATACTTTATAAATTTGTATTTTATTTTATTTTTATTATTATATAAATACTTTTATTATTAATATATTTATTAAATTTAAAAAGTAATATTTTTTAAAAAAAAAATTTTTTATTTTATTTTTTAAAAACTTTTTTTAACTTTTTATTTTTTATTAATAGTTTTAAAAATTTTTTTTAATTATTTATAAAAGTTTTAATATATTTTAAAAACTTTTTAAATTTATAGTTTTTAATTATTTAAAGTATTTACTTTAAAGTCTTTTATAATAAGTTAAGCTTATTTTTTTATTATTTTTATTAAGTAAATAATAATAAAAATAATTTTATTTTTATTATTTTTTAAAGTAAATAGAAAGTATTTAAAATAAATATTAAATTTTATAAAATATTTATTTATTTTTTAAAGATTTTTATTATATAAGTTAAACCTTTTTAATTATAAGGTTTTATTTTATTTTATTTTTTTATTTTAAAAATATTAATTTCTTTTTAAAATATTTTAATTATAATTACTATTTCTTTTAAAGTTAAAGTTTTTTTATTAACTATTATTTTATTATTTTTTTTAAAATTATTTTTAATTTTAATATTATTATTTAAATAATTACTTTAGGTTTTATTTTTATAATTAGTTTTAACGTTTAGGACTTAAAATTTAATTATTTAATATTATTTTTTATTATCTATAAGTCTAAAGTAACTATTTAAATAAAAGTTATTAATATATAATAAACTAGGTTTTATATATTAATATAAGTTAATTATTTTTAAAAAATAAACCTTTAGGTTTTAGGTTTATATTAATAAAGTAATTAAATTAAATATAAGTATAGTTTTATTAATATTATATAGTTAGTAAATATAGTAATTAAATTTAATTTAATTATTATATTAATAACTAGCTATTTAAGCTATTTAAGTAAGTATAAGAACGTAAACTTATATACTTAATTAATTAAGTTAAATTATTCTATTTTTTAAATAATTCTATACTAAATTATTATATTTTCTAAATAATCTATTATAGGGTTATTAAATTATTTTAATATTTTAATAATCTATCTTTAATTAGTTAGGTGGGCTAATATTTATCTATGAACGCCTACCCTATAGGCCCTTTATTGCAACTATAAGAGCTAGGTTGTGACAGTTATTATAATAAACTAAAAGCTTACTTTAATAAAGGCCTTAAAAGATTATTTATTAATTAAAGCTATAGTATATATTTTTTAGTAATAATATATTAATATAAGTATATTAACTAAAATAAAACAGTATTTCCCTAAAGCCTCCTATAATTAGTAAATTAAATAAATAAAGTAAGTATTACTATTTAAATTATTTTTAAAAGACTGGAATAATTTTATTTCTTCTCCTTTAGAAAAAGATTATAACTGCTAGTTAATAGCTATATTAAAGCCTTAAACTAACTAAACAGCTTATTTTAATAAAGTTATTAAATATATTATTTAAATTTAACTATAGTTTTAAAAAAAAAATTTACTATTAGGTTAATTAATAATAGTATTTTAGTTATATTATAATATTAATTATTAAATTATTATATTTATTAATAAAGAAATTTATTATAAATAATAGTAGTAATTTTATAATAGTGCTTTTTTATTTTATAAGCTTTTAGTAATATTAATAATTAAAAATTTAAAATTAATAAAATTTAAAAATAAATAAAATCCTAAATTTAATTTATTAATATTTATATTTAATTATTTATAAATAAATTACTTATATTATTTTTATTTTAATAACTGTAAAATATTAAATTATTAATAACTTTTAAAAGAATTATAATAAAATTATAATAATACCTTTTTATAATTTTTATACTTTTTATATAATTTATACACTTTTTTATTAATATATATTAATAAAAAAAATATAAAAAAGAAAAGCTAATTTAGTTTTATAATATGTATTAATTTTAGCTTTAGTTTTATAAAATTAATAAAAATATTATAACTTTTATATTTTATAAACTTAATGTTATTTAAGGTAAAGGGTATTTTAAAGCAGTTTTAATTTTAAAAAAACTTTTAAAAATATTAATTAATAACTTAGTTAATTTAAATTAATTATTTAATTAAAAAATATAAAGGTAAAATAAAATTAATAGTGGCAGCTATTACTATTAATAATATTAACTATTTTAATATTAAATTTATTAAATAATATTATTAAAATAACTTTAATTTTTACTATAGCAGTTAATCTTTAAATCTTTAAATTTATTAATATATATAAACTTAATATTATAAATTAATAAATATATAAAAAGTTATTAAAATAATTAAAAAATAAAAAATATAAATTAACTAATTAAATTAATTTAAATTTTAAAAATAAATTAAATTAAATATAAAAATTAATTTAAAAAAAGACTATTACTTTAGTTAAAAAAAAGGCTTTTTAATAAGCTTAAAAACACTAAAATTAATTAATTTTTATATTTTTAATAACTTTAAATTTAATTTTAAAAATATTTATAACTTTTAGTTAAATAGCTTTAAATTTAACTTTAAAGCTATTTAATTAATAATTTTCTTTTAATTAAACAGCAGATTAATTTATAATGCCTTTTTTTAAATATAAAATACTAAAAAATACCGATATCAGTTATACCCCTTAAATTATAGGCCATACAGCTATAGGTCCTCTGTCAGAGGGATACCTTCTAATCTAGGGGTATACTTTTTAATACGTCCCAAAATATATCGCGCGCACTGGTCAACCGTGGCTTGCAAGTTTTCATCCCAAAGATCGCTAGACTCTAATTAAGATTAGGGGAACCCAAAACGGTGTCGATAAAAGTATTGTATTGACACGTATTCTGTAGCCATTGTGCAGTAGGGGCATTTTTACAGGTATAAAATATTCAAATTACATCAGTCGCAAAGTCTCATGCAAATGGAGAGCATTAAAAGGAGGAAGCATAGTTGCTTTCTTTTCCTAGAATCACTATACATCGCCACATGTCACTAAATTTAAATCCAGGCGTCAGCTCTGTACAAATATCACGCCATAACGGCATAGCTCAGAACTATATTGCTAAGCTCCTATCTTTCTGTCGGTTTCTAATTGCTCCCTCCCATTACACAGATCATGCGTAGGGTGGCACCATAGCCATTCCAGTCTAGAGTAAATTTAGGCAGGGTTAGGACTCAGTTGACATCCAACCCATATTCAACACCCATATTCTAAAGCCATGGCCTGTTGTAATAGCTCTAAAACCATTGCATCATCACAAGAAGTTAGGTAGGTTAAGGTTAGAGAGACTATTATGTCGTAATCGCCACAACTGTGGTTTTTATTAGCCTAGCTGCTTGATCTATTGGCGTAATAATATGACGACCGTAACAGTCGCGTTGTCCCCATTTTAGCCGTTGCGAATACATATTTATCTGACATTCGCATTTGTCCTGCTCTCGTTAGAATTGGAGACTATATATCGAACTTGCACTATATTAAAGCATAACTATGATCGAAATTTACGGAATTTACTGAGTTTAATCAATCAATCATGAAAACAATCGGTATAATCGGCGGCTGCACTGACCTGGCAACTGTGGAATACTACAAGCTAATAAATATGCACATTCGCGCAAAGCTTGGAGGGTTAAACACTGGCGAAATCATCATTAATTCGATGAATTTCGAGCGCAGCGCCCATTACGTGAGAAATGGGCTCTGGGATGAAGGAGCGGAGTACTTGCATCAAAAAGCACTAAGCTTAGAGAGGGCCGGGGCTGATTTTATCATCTGTGTTGCGAATACATGGCATCGAGTTTCTGAGGTATTTATGAAGGGCGTTAAAATCCCGCTCTATCACATCGTTGATCCAACGGCTCAAGCGATACTTAATATTAAACTACACACTGTCGCTTTACTAGGGACTAAGGCCACCATGTCCTCGGATTACCTACCCAATGAATTCACAAGCCGCTTTGGAATAAATATCATCATACCGGTAAACGAAGAACAGACTTATATTGACGATGTCATCTTTAACGAACTCGCTAAGTCTCAGTTTACTGAGAAATCTAGACAAGGTTTCCTTAGTATCGTTGATAAACTGGTTGCTCGAGGAGCACAGGGAGTAATTTTGGGATGTACAGAGATTCCGCTCCTCATTGAACAAAAAGATCGACCCGATATTCCACTGTTTAATACTTTGGAGCTCCACGCTCGGGCTACAGCAGAAAAAGCATTATCGGATTAGCAAAGAATACTATTGCAAGTAGTGTAGGGGATGTTGCTTAATTCCGGTATCTATATATTTTAGTGTGTTATAGGAAAGATATAAGTTGATTTGATATATAAATTATTTAGACTCTATCGTTGATGTATTAAAATCTAAATAAAGGGACTTAAATATAATCGTATGTTGGGATGAGCAGCAGAAAATATTTGCATGTGCCATAACCAACGGCAAGATTTCTAGAACTTTTTCTTTAGGCGTAATAAATGAGTTGCTGCATCAGCAAAGTTATATTAAAGCATGCTTATGCTCGAAGGTAGTATATTATTGGCCATGCTCGTCGTGCTGATATTATTTTGTAAGCTTTTATAACATAAGTTTATTGAGTACAATGTAGTTCCCCACACAAAATCTTCTGAAAAGACGGGCATAAGAGGCGTAAACTAGCTTCAGCTTAAGCTGATATTCAATTTGGTTTGGGTACACATAAGCTTTGATAATGCATACGCCCGTCGATCTAGACTAAGCAGCAACTCCGTTAATATGAAGCTTATTCAATCTGTCGGGCCATAATGATGTTAAATCATGAGATTTTTAATAGGGTTGTGGCGTGATATTCAAAGTCGATAGACCCGGGGCTTAAGGTTTCGGAAATTTTCAAACTACATGCATATCCAGCCCACCACCGGTTGCCTATAAAAAGACCCTCGTATGCTGCTGCAAAAATACGATAGTTGAAATCAAGAATATTTTGTACCTCAACTGTCAATAAAAATGAATACTCCATTCTCATCCCTTTTCCACTTTCTTAACGAATTTGATGAATACAACCATGATTCTAAAAATAGATATCTTCACGGGAGCATGTCAATTTTTACTCCCAAGTTCGATGTTTGCGAACTAGAAGATGCCTATGAGTTGCACGGAGAGCTTCCTGGCCTAAATAAAAATGATCTGCAAATCGAATTTACAGACAAACAAACATTATTAGTTCATGGACTAGTTCAACGATCTTATAATTATGGTTCTCCCTCCGAAAGCTTTCTATTCTTAGATAACCCGACTATGAGTGGAGCCATCACGGAGGGGAAGTCTGAGCAAGCTAGTACTCAAGCGAAGAAAAAGGCATCTACTAAAGATTCTACTGAGATTGAGAAGGGAGGCGACACTAGCAGATCCAGGTATTGGATTGCTGAGCGAAGAGTCGGGGAGTTTTCGCGCACCTTTACCTTCGCACGCCAGGTAAATGAGGAGGGTGTAACAGCCAAGCTCGAAGATGGCATTCTCACAGTCCACGTGCCGAAGATTGCGAAGCCGAGCAGTAGGCGTATTGAGGTCGCATGAAGTACCCTAGTTATCAGCTGTGAAGCAACAAGACTGTTGGCAATGATGCTGAAGGATGATTGGATGGAAACCCTTCTTCACTTTATGAAGGGTGTGAAAGAGGAGGTAATATATTGAGAAGATTAATACAATCGTTAATGGGATTCTGGGATTCCTTATCCTGATCTAATTGTCTAATTCTGACTTATTTCTTCAAGTTCAAGGATTATCATTGCCGACTGGATAAAGATCGGTTTACATATAAGGTTGCTTCTCTACAATGATATAAATGAGAACAATCGGTCGCTAACCTGGCTTCTTTTGTATGGATAGTTCCACAAACTTATAAATAGGCTTGGACTACTTTAATGGAACCTGGTCACTTTTTTCAGTTACTATTGTAGTACATTTACCTATTTCAACAAAATTTCCACTGTTTCCAGCGCGGCAAACGTGTCATTGAAGAGTTTTCACAGAGCAAGAAAGGCAAGACGAATAATCGCCACCAACTAATTATTTACGGCAGTTATTAATCACTGTAGGGTTATTGCGCCTGGACTGTAACAAAAATGAGTTGTTCTATCTGGGTGGTGGGGCAGCCAGCTAGTAATGCGTGCCAGCGCGCCATGAATCCACGTTAAATAAGATAAGAGAACTATAGAAATAAATGTACAGTAAAGAGTTGAATATTTGTTAGGATACTGGCTTCCCCTCGAATGAGCGACTTGATTTTGACTGTCCGAATTGACTGTGATCCTAAAATCCCAAAGCTCCTGGTTTGTCATCTGGCTCATGTATTCTGTGGAGTCTAACTCGATGGCCTCTATGGTGGCTAGCATAGGACAAAAACAAAGGGTCAAGTTCTGTATTATCCCATTGGACAAAGCTGACGACATGTGTTCAGGCGAGTATGAGGAGCCGCACTATGTTGGCGCAGATATCGGCTGTAACGCTGCGTTTGCTCAGTCGTAGATCCGGACTATCTATCTTAGCGTTTGCCGCTCCAGTGAAATTTCCGCGGTAAAGTTCAAGGATGTCACACAAACGCTGGTACACATCTTCCATAGGGTCGCTTGAAGGGGCTGCGGCTACTAGCTGCTCGAGAAAGGTTGAGTAGCGACTAGATATGGCCGCAGCTTGTGCAATGTCTATCGGAGGAACAATGTAGATAGCTTGGACTTGATCTTTAGTTATTTCCCTGCGCCGAGAAAGCCATAATCCAAACACCTCCAAGTCTGGTTCCCAACCATCAACATTGTCGATAAATCGTTCAATATCATTTAGGACTCAGTCTTTACGCGGCTGCGGGCGAGAATCTACCGGCAGAGACCATGAGTATCACATATATGGCCATCGCCGTGTTTGCCGGCGGCTGGGGCTACTGTATGCAGCAAACGTGGCGCACCATGATCATGCAGAGGAGCGGACGTGACTTTGACAATATGGTAGGACCGATAGTTATCGGCGGCGCTCTGATGGTGGCTCTGATTGTAAATTTACTAATGGCGCTACGTCTTTATTATTCCCCTTCTCTGGAACCGCCCCGTTGCGTAGGAGAAGCACTGGATGCTAACTTGAAGGACTCCAGTACCAAGTCGCATTCAGAGGGTTGAATGGGAACGAATGTAAATAATGGCAAAATAAAGGCACCTAGTTTAAAAAAAAAAGCGTCGTTCTACGGGACTTTTGGGCTAGAAAATATTTCTTGAAGATTCTCGGGAGGCATTTTCTGGGACCCAGATCCTGCCTGTGACGCTTGGAATGTGGGCAGTTCGGGGAAGTGCAAATGCGATTAACGAAATCAGGGTCACGACACAAGGGGATTGATGCGCACGGCGGCGGCGGTGTTTCGGGTCGTCCTGAAGATGTCAGTCTTAGTCCAAGCATCAGTTCAACACAATAATAATGTAACAGTACTTGCCTCCTCTATGAAAAACTTGATAGCCACAGTCTCCCAGATACCTGCTGACTTGCAACGACGCTATGCCTGTGGATGCTGTTGGATGTAGTGCTTGCCATTAGCATCGAAGATCCCGGTAGATTAACTTCGTGCTCAATCATTGTAAGTGGTAGTGCCTCGGCCAGGCTATTCGCCTGTCCACGTATAGTTTTCCATTTAAGACAATAATCGCCGTGATATTTTTCTTCTTGGCTGTGGTAAAATGTTTTAGCGCTCTTGGAGCAGACGCCAGCGCTGGTGTTCCTGTTCGACTGATTCCCAATAATTGCCCCCAAAAGTTTTTCCGGTTTAAGGGCATATTCATATACTACTTGCAAAAGGTAGTTTGTTACCGGCAATTTTGCCAGATTCGCATATCTTCAACCAGTGTCAGACCAGAGATATCTTGGATCATAAGTGAGTTGCTTGGCTCTAACTGGGTTCGCGCAGTAGACCATCCACAGTGAACTATGGATTACTTCCAGGCGAGGCCTACCGGTCCCTCACGACACAACCCTATAATACGGGGAAGGCTGATTGTGGCAAAATGTTGACCACATATCATCAACAGAATAATCCCTTAAACCCGCCAAGCTACCTCGTCCGTATGCAATATATGTGATGCTAGTTGCCAGAGGGAAAAAGTCTCTTAACCAGGCACTCTTGGCTAGCAAACCGTCAAAATCTTAGGCGTTTCAGATATCATACCCGACCCGTTGTTGTTTTGTTGTGCGCTCATTCTACGGGGACTGGAGACAGGAGTAGAAACCAGGATGCTTTAATAAGAATGCATATATGAGTGATTGAAACAGAGGGGATGCATATACGAATTGAGTATTAGGGGCAGAAGGATATTTGATATCAACCATAATCATCATCAATATGTAGCGTTGGATGGGATCCAGAGCCCTGAAATCCTTTTTATGAGACATAGTTTTGTAGTTAAATATAGTGATAATTCTTGGAGATGATTAAGGGCTTAGATGGCTTCATAATAGTGAAAATTAATAATAAAATACGCAAAGAGCATCGACACTGGACGGTATAGCGCCGAAGTAGCAACGACACCTGTGAAAGAAGATTTCAAAGAACAAATGGGCTTTTAGGTGATAATGTTTTTATCCGGATGAAAGCGAAATTAGAGTGCGAGAAACCTACTGTATATTGAATTAAATTGACGTAGTGCCATACAGGTAGATGCAGAATATAAAATCCAACATTTTGTAATTCAAACTGATAGAGTCGCATCTGATGATCTGTCTATTGCACAAAGAAGCGCCCTTGAGGCCAAACGGAAACATGAACTCTTTGACTCGTGATTTAAAAATATCTGCCCAAAAAAAAAGAAACCATAAACTCCTCACTCCTCCCATGCCCTATGTCTTATGCCCTATGCCCTATGCCTGATGCCTGATGCCCGATGCCGAATACCCTATGCCATGCCTATGCACAAAGATGAAATAATCACGCCACGTCTGAACCCGCACGCCAGTCAACCACTCAAGTACACCACATCTGGACCCGCACGCCAGCAAGTTTCTCGAGAAGACCAAAGTCTAGACCTTCTTGTTTGAAGGCGACGATGATCATATCAAAGGTCTGCTCCAGATATTCAACCGACCAATTGGCTTCGTCTAGTCGGGGAATCTGGGGCACTGCCTCTTGTCCCACGAGGGGATCGGCGAACGAGACAGCGACCTTCTCTGAGAGAACCAGGCTTTTGGCAAGCTCAAGTCCAGGGGAGTTGACCAGATGAGATTGGCCACGCTTGAAACCCATGCCAACAACAAGAACATGGGGCAAGACTCCCTTGGTTGGTCCCTTGGACAGGAGTTTGATGGCCTCCTGTCCGATCTCTGCTGGGCGAGCATACATCTTTTCTGTAGCTGCCTTGAGTAACGGGAATTCGCTGTTAGACAGCAAATAGTACGGGTTGACGGGGATGCAATGACCACCGACACCAAGACCAGGAGAGTAAGACATGTAGCCAAATGGCTTTGTGGCCGCGGCACGACAAACCTCGTAGGGGTCAATATCGTGAGGGACACAAGCATTGGCCATCTCATTGGCGTAGGCGATGCACATCATCCGCTGGCAGTTCTCGTACAGCTTGGTCATCTCCGCCACTTCAGGTTTGGAGACGGTGACAACCTTGTCGAACACTGCAGAGTACAGCTCCAAGATTGAAGCCAGGGAGCCAGGGACAACGTCGTCTAGACCAGAGATCACCTTGGGGATCTCATGAGCCGCAGGTTCAAAGCGACCAGGATCAACCCGCTCAGGTGACATGCCAGCATACAAACCCATTCTCTTGGCGACGGGCCCGAGAAGCTTTCGTGTCATTCCAACAGCAACAGAACTCTCAAACACGACAGTGGAGCCAGGACCTGCGTACTTTGCAACAGTATCCAAAGCACTCCGTAGATAAGAAGTATCCACAGTCTTGTCTGGACGCAGAAGCGTCGGAACTGAGATGAGGAAATGAGTGGCTTCCGAAAGCCTTGTCGAGTGGGACGTGATTTGTACTCTGCCGTTTTGGGAGTATTTGGCAGAGAGGGCCTTGACACGGGCCTCTGAGACGTCATAGCCGATGACGTCGAAGCGACGAGAGAAGACATCAACGAGGTGCTCACCCACGTATCCAACTCCAATGACGGTAACAAGAGGCCGCCTTCTGACAGATTGTGACTTGACACCACATTGGACGTTAGTGTCTGTGTCTATGTCGGAAGTGGCCTCCGTTGTGGAGGTGGATTCCTGCTCTAGATCCGAAATGATCTCGCCAGGGGGGGTAAGGTCGTAATAGCTGAGGTCTTTGTAGTCTTCATCTGACTTCTGACTCCAGTCAGCCTCCTTAGGGCAGGGCGAAGTTGATGACGAATCCATCACGAACGAAAGGGGAGCGAAGGGGGAACCGAAGGGGAACAAAAGGGGGAATCGAAGGGGGAACGAAAGAGAAACGAAAGGGAAAAGACAAAAAGTGCGCTAACGAGCGACTGAGAGAGAAAGGAAAGCGAGAGCGAATATAAAGTGTGTTGTGGTAGCACACTTGTAGAGGACTTGTAGATATTGGCGGAAAGCTGTGAAAGAATATCTATCAAGATGTAAAGGGGTCAGGAAGATGTTGGCGGAAAGGTTGAGATATCAAGGTGTGAAAGAATATCAAGAAGTAAAGGGATCACTCTAACGGTATATATAGGCAAGGAAGATCAAGCAGAAATCTCATCCCATAGTTTAGAGTCTGCCGTAAGATTCCGACAAAGTAAAAGACGACGACATTGAGAAACCCTAAGTTTTGGCTTTGCAGCCCTATTGCAAGTCCCGACTCATTCTCAAAAGGAGAAACACCTGGAAACCGGTACCTCTACCAAACGGCAAAGTATCTTTCAAGTTTTACACAGCCTTGGTGGGCTAAAAAACTTTGCTTGGGCAAAAAAGTAAGAAGCTTTACAGACAGCCTGGGAAAGTAGCACCATATTTACGTATAGGAGTGGGCCCAACAAACATATCTCCATTGATACAGACGCAAAAATGAACAGATACTTTGTTTTATAGTTCTGCCTTCATTACACCTAGCCCATTGAAATGAATAGAAACCTACGGAGACATCTAAATCAAGTCTCAATCCCCCGAAATATTCCCCTGGCATTAGCTCTATTAGGGGCTTTGGCTTTTGGGCGTAGACTTGCGGCAGCCACGGTGCCACTACAAATCTCCAATACGACATGAGAAAAGAGTACAATCTTGTCGTCACTGCTTCTGTACGCTCTGCTATATTGAAGCCTCGTGTTCAACAGGTATCAGATATGCACACGTAACTAAGCTGAATGAAGCACGCCAATCTTGCGCCATTTCGAAAGATAAGAACCCCGGGGGTTTCCGATTCAGGCGAAATACGAACTCGACCTACCAGGGAGCAAAATCAGGAAAGATTAAAATCATAGGATCCGGAGGTCTGAGGAGGTAGGGCCGAGATATGGGAGCAAGCGGCTGATGGGCTCGCAATACAGACGGGGAAATCTTGGAGTCAGGCACAAAGCATCTATGAGATAATCGGTCCTACCATCAAAAAATTTTCCTTCAATCTGAAGTGACACGTCAACACTGCGGCTATTGATGCAGTGGTAGGAAGCCCCTAGCACCGCATCCAAAGCCCAAAACTTGGCAAAACAAAGGCTCTCATTGCACCCGAAGCTCTCTGCAGAAGAATGCGCTCCATCTTTCATAGGCTGAAATAATATTGCTTTACAAGTGCGGAGGATGGCTCCGATTACAATTGTTCCTGATACTACGTGGAATGATAACTGAGACCTGCAGCATTTCAGCATCATGATCATCTAAAGACATCATAGTCTAAACTCTCCCTATTTTTAGCCAGGAAAATCTCTTCAAATGATTTTGCGGCTTTCTTAATTAAATCAATACGAAGGATCAATACGAAGGATCACCGAATCATACGTCTCTGTCGCCTCATACGCTTTGCCAAATTGTCCCCCTTTATGCGCCCGATACACCGCAGAACTCGCGTCATCACCCCTACACGATATTAAGCATACATTTAGACTAATTAGCAACAAACTTGGCAGCGAGCTGAATCTATTGGAGAGCTCAAAGCATGGGGGGAAGAGGGTGTGATGCTGCAGCTCCCTGCGGTACGCCTTCACTAGTCGTCGAGGCAACCTGGCCGAGCCAGTGTGGTGCATACCATATCCCCTCTCGCAGAAGAAAGGCGCGGGGTTACATGAATGATGAAATTATAGTTTGCTAGTTATTTTTTTTATTGTATCTGATATTCACTTTATTTTTTGACTACTCCCAAGATAGTATGGAGTCCATGGCTCCTGGACCAACAACAGATTCCAGGGTCGCCGCACATCCTATCGCAACGGCCTAGAGAAGCTGCCTATAGATATATGTACCTGCTCTTTGTCATATTTAGATAGCGAGGCAGAAGGGCTGATATCGTATGAGAATAAACGCTACCTTGTTGGCTACTCTTTATCCGCTTACTTGATCTATATCATCATATCTTTGCTCTTAGAGTCACACTAGGTGGCAATGCTTATAACTATGAAGCATTTCAAAGTTGCCATTGGGGCGATCGCCCTTCTTATTACCAAAATTGCCGCCGTTCCCCAGGCTGTCGCTCCCCAGGCTGACACTGCCGCCGCGAATGCGCTCTGCGGTCCTGGTCTCGGAGGCTGTCAAGGGGGATGTTGTTCTGAGTTTGGTCACTGCGGTACTACCTCGCCATACTGCTCAGGATCACAATGCCAGCTCGACTATAGCGACACCTGCGACACACAGTAAGTGAAATGCCATGACGGAATAGGATCTGTGACAAAGATAGCAAGGCTAACGATGCCTTTGCAGGATCGGCCCTCCTGGAGAAAGCACTGAGTACATCTCTCGGCCTTTCTCTGGCGATGTCCCATATGGTGAGCCTCAATGCACAATCTCTTGTTGCCTCTTAATCTTCAGCGTGTAAGACCAGGAGCAATGCTGACCAGATGATAGCGGAGACTATTACTCAATGTGACTCCCCGGGTCTTGTTGCATTGACGTTCGATGACGGGCCGTACGAGTTCACAAATCAATTGCTTGACGTTCTCGACGAATACAACGTCAAGGCAACATTCTTTATAGCCGGAAAAAACAGAGGCAAGGGTCGCATTGATGATGAGTCAACACCATGGCCAGATATTCTGCGACGCATGCGAAAAGCCGGGCATCAGCTGGCTAGCCACACGTGGACTCATCGCAATCTGAACGGTGTTAGCATGAAAATCCAAAGAACGGAAATGATTTACAATGAGATGGCATTCCGCAATATACTTGGGTTCGTGCCCACATACATGCGTCCACCGTTCCTGGAGTGCAGCATGAGCTCTGGGTGCATCGAAACGATGGAAGATCTTGGATACCACATCATTAGCACCAATCTGGATACCAAAGACTATGAGAACGACGACCCTGTGCTGATCCAGAAGTCCAAGGACAAATTCTCCTCTATGCAGTCCCCTGATGAGTCGTCCCATAGCTACATCGTTCTTGCTCACGACGTACATTATCAGACAGTTATCACACTCACCAAGTACATGATAGAGACCTCTAGATCCCGAGGGTATAAGCTGGTGACTGTTGGTGAGTGCCTTGGCGATCCTTCTGAGAACTGGTACCGTTCAGCTCCCACCAAACGCAGCGTGGAAATGAATCTAGGGATGTTCCCGGTAAACAACACCAAAAAGCTTGATGATAAGCCAGAACTCAATGTCTCAACAGACCAGAGATGTGGCGGCGAATGGGGTACCACTTGCAAGGGGTCCCTCTTTGGTGACTGTTGCTCATTCTACGGCTACTGGTAAGAAACTCATATATCAATCCACCTCTTGCATCAAGTGAGATCACGCAATGAGTAGCGCGCTTGTGCTACTCTTGGCTGGCTCATCACTCAGCCCCCGCTCTCCGTTATTTACCATGTTTTTGTGGGAGGAAGTCAGATATTAACATGATTTACGCCATAGTGGCAGAAGTGATAAGCATTGTGGCACAGGCTGTGACCACAACTTTGGAGACTGCCCCCTCCTTGGCGATACCAAATTCTCCATTCAGAATACAACAAACGGCCTTTGTGGACATGCATTTGAAGCTACGTGTCTTCATTACGGCGATAAATCTTGCTGTTCCCAGTATGGCTATTGGTGAGTATTTTATTCAAGTGATCCGCTATGATGGTGATTTCCACTGACGTAAAAAAAAATGATGCAGTGGCAACAGTGTCGATCATTGCGGTACTGGATGTCAAGATGGCTATGGTCACTGCTATATGTGAGGCAATTTCACTGAGGTGTGGATTACGTCTGGAGTATTAGTCTTTCGATTACAGCATGAGGCTATTTAATGGACAGATATGTTTGGTGAGAATACTATAGGAAAGACAGCATAGCTGTGGCATGAGCTGTAATTTGAGCCCTGATTCAACACGAGACCTAGTTCGTTGTCGTGTGTAACATCTTCAGGGCACTTGTAATACTTGGCATAATTGATATTCAGGGGAATTTCAACCCTATTAACTTGCTTCTATTCTTACAGGATACTAATCCGAGCGATGGAATACCACCTCAAGGGCTCTCATATTATTTGGGAACACATGCAGCGTCAGGACTCGCCAACACAGCAGCAGTAGGCGAACTCGAATGCTATTCTTAGGCGCAAACACAGCAGCGATGCGGATCTCCGAATGCTTGCCTAAGAGCCTGATTCCTAGGCGTCGCTCAGTACCGCTGAGCTAGCCAAGCAGCAAGACACGCCCGTTGTTGCACAGCATTCTCCATCTCTTAGCTCCAAACCCACGGCAGGCTCTTAATGGCTGACTATTTCGGATATGATAACATCGGATTAACAGGTAGTTGCAGGATTTGTGTTCCCCTATTGCATAAAATTTCTGCCGTCTCCAATAATTTAGTCTTTTGTACGAAATGTCGTGACTCTATCGAACCGTAACTGAAGCGGAGACGACGCACTTACAAGCTGCAAGCAGTGGCTCCGTCGGAAGGAAAGTTGCGTAGCTATTTCGGCAAGATGCTGATCATCTGAAGTTGAGAAAAGTATAAGAGGCTTCGTATTCGCGCTACGGGGCACATAGAAAAGTGCCGTGGGCTGCGCTAGATAGACTAGCTCAAAGACTACTGCAGGTCCATCAGGACAATCCCTTTCAACTCGACGGTGTCTCTATCGGATGTCTGTTAACACGGACGAAAATCAGACCAAGGGAGTGACGTCGGGATCTCAGCCTGATCAGGTGAGTGTCAGCACTCTGGGTAACGCCGGGGCTTTGTGTGACTGGACGAACGGACTCCCTAGTACAGGGGGAGCTATTCCGGTTCGTTGCCGCCAAGGCGAACCTTGAGGATGGTGGCCCGCAAGTGCGAATAAGCATGTTTCTGGTGGCTTGAAGTTGGGAGGCACAGTCTAACCTGAATATGCCATGAGATGGTGTGGAGAGAGGATGGGCCGAGGGAAGGATATCTCCGCTGCAAAGGCCCGATCTAAGAGCTTACTCGACTTGGAGGTGCCACACCGAGTTTACTCCTATTTTCCTTGACGCCTTTAGCATGACGAGTTACGCTTTCGGTAAGCTTTGATTGTTTGAGTGGCACCCCTTTGCACCTTGCCTTGTGAACCAAACACGGGCCCGTACATATCTTCAAGAGGACGTGGGACGTCGTGAAAAGACTCGCCCCGCGCCAAGCAATATATATATATATATATAAATCTGCAAGTCCGCGATATTACACCGGAAATCAGATTCTTGCCAGATCCCACGTGGTACATTGACTGACATGTCTTCAAACGCTGAGACACCTCTTGTAACTCTCTTTACACAGGCGTGGCTGGATTCCTCCTTGCCCTTCAATCAGGCCGAGTAGAGAAGTATAAACAACGTGGCGTTTACGAGAAAAAATTTTTACTTCAGGCACATACGCGTGTAACAGTATCATCGAGCTCGTGTCTGCTAGCTTCTGATCCTACGTATAGGCAGATCTACAGAGAAGTATGACGCATCAGAAAGCCCCATCGGCATCTCCAGCGGGAAAAGGCAACAAATACACACCGAGGCACGGATCATGTGCCACCAAGTGCCTCGTCCAAGGCCCTAAAACTCAATCTCTCTGGCCTTGGCACCGAAAGCCAGTTCCACTAGGCCCAAGCCTCATGTTTTTCCTGTAGCCCACGATACCTTCGTATTCACAACTGCTGCAGGAGATGCGTCTTCTATCGGGCCACTCAGCGATCTTGAATGCTCTGTGACAATATTCAGCTCCGGTGGCGTATTACCATACTGCTGAGAATCCAGGCGGACTTGACACCCCTATACGAAACGGAGGTCGTGCATGGCTGGGTTAGGACATGACATTGGGCTGGGGAGAACGACTTTAGCCTGGCTGAAGCAAATGACAAGTCACTGCTCGAATATTGAAAGCTTGGCGGGATTTTAGTCTTCGAATTTGGTGCTTAATGTCTTAGTTTTTTTCATACTTCAGAGTATGAATTATCATACTTCAAGGCGACAACAGGGAAAAGCCTCGGCGATGATTTGTTTTATTCCTTCCCAAAGCTTGGTACAGCCTTGACGTTTCTTCAGTATTTTCTTTTCTGTTCTTTTCTTTTCTTTTCAATGTATGGTCCGCAATTAAGCTTTCTTTCAGATTGGATTATCCCCTCTCCGACAACTCTATATTGCCCTGTTACTCTGAAAATTGGCAGCCGCCCTGACTCTAGCTTTCATCGGAAGCATCCGTGGAAATCTTGACTTAGCTTGGTTTGCTGTTCTTTCGCTTTTTTTTCTATCTTTAAAAAGCCATTCTTCCCTTCACCGGCTCTCTTTCCGATTTTTCCATCCATCCTCACACTCGCTAACTTCCACACGATCGCTCTATACTCGATACCAAGAGCATATTAGCTTCTCGACGTTCGCTACTGAACCTACTGAATAGCAAAGAGAAGGGCGATATCTACCCCCGTGTTACCAGCCGTTACCAGCCGTGATGGATTCCACTTCGTTTTTCGCTGAGTCAGAATCAGGGGACATTTCCCAGACGCGACCCACGCGAAAAGAAAATTTCACTCGTTCAGGGCCGCCAGTTTCCCTGATCAACCACCCAGCCACTAGTGCTGTCGGAGGCGATGAAAGCTCTCGAGATTCTGTAAGCAGGCTTGAAATAAAGACTTTTCAAGATCTTCACCCGCTACCATTTTTTCTTATGCTAACGTGGAATTATAGTCCGTCATCCGCAATAGCAATAGCGGATTCCCACCAGGACGAGAGAACACCCATGACTCTCAAAATTCTCTCAACTCGGCTGCTTCTTTTTCATCTTCTATCCTTCAAGAAGAAGCAAAGTTGAGATGGGACTCGGAGGAAGAACTCAAGAGAGTCTCGAAAAGCCTGCTCTGCTTTCAAAAGTGGAGTCTTATCCTGGGCTTACTCGCGCTCAATGGCATCCTGATCTTTCTTGCTGTGAGATTCGACCAGCTGTACTACCTGTTCATAGTGCTTCTTAGTTCAAACACTATGCTGCAGGCCTTTATGATGCTGGCGATCATCATAGCCACCATCGGTAGACACTGTCTACCATGCTGGTTCGGCAGAAAGGAGGTTATCCCCACTGAGCCCGAGAAGCTGGTCCTTCTGCTGCCTTGCTACAATGAGACACGCGAGGAGCTGACCCGATCCCTTGACTCTCTTGTTGAGCAAAAGGAGATTGACCGTCATCCCAAGCTGATTTTCATCATCGTCGATGGCAACGTTCGTGGCCCAGGCATGGAGAAGACTACTCAGCAGTATCTTCTCGAGGACATCCTGGCCCAAGGTCCGTTCCGCCGATTTGAGAATGGTTATCGTGCACGGGACGGCCTCTTCATGCCGGTCAAGGTCCAACATGGATATTACAAGGGTCTCCCTTATATCTTTGTTGGAAAGAGCTACAACCAAGGCAAGCGTGACAGCTTGTGTTTCGCCCGTTCGTTCTTGTATCACTTCAAGATGCGGTCCGAAAACAAGTTGACCATGTTCAACAAGGACCTGTATGAGTACATTGGCACCATCTTCGTTCAGCATGGCCTCGATACAGTTGACTACCTCGTTGGCATGGACGCTGACACCGTCTTTGACCAGTTTTGTATCATCGAGATGCTTCGTGAAATCCGCTCGAATGACAAGCTGGTTGGTGTTTGTGGTCACGTCTGCGTCGACTTTGACGGCAAGCCCTTCGACCTTTGGTCGCTCTATCAGTCTGTCGAATACTCTCAGACCCAAGGTTTGCGACGCATGTTCCAGTCTCGCATCACGGGCAAGGTCAACTGCTTGCCCGGCTGTTGCCAGCTGATCCGCGTCGATGAGTCGACCTTTGGTGACGAGGTTCTTCGTGAGCGTTTCGGATACTGCCCCAAGCCCAATGACGGCATGACCTTGCAGATCCTGGGAAATTATTCTGAAGATAGTATCCATGCATCCATCATCTTCAGCTTGTTTCCCAAGAAGCAAACTGCCCAGGCTCTGCGCGCAAAAGCGTTCACCATCGTTCCGACGAGCTGGAAGGTCTTCTTGTCACAACGCAAGCGTTGGGCTCTAGGTAGTATCTCGAATGAGTTCGTCATGCTGTTCAGGCCGGGCATCATCATTATAGAGAGGGTGCAAAGCTTCGTGGCCGTCGTCACATGGGCCATTACCCCCTTTATCATGGCTGCCGTCGTTGAGCTCATCAGGCTGTTGGTCGTGAAGGGTCACAGGATATTCGACAATCGGGTCTTTATTGGTCTTCTCGCTGTTTTACTCGCTCGCTATGTAAGTACCATTATCTCTATGCCCGACCTTTCTACGACTAACACTTTTTTTTCCCTCGGTAGGCCTACTCGTTCTGTGTTGGCTTCTGGCTTCCCAGAAATATGAAGGAACGTGCCCAATACTTTGCTGGCTACTTCATCCACTTTGCATCGTCACCTGTCATGAACATCGTCATTATGGTCTACTCCCTCTTCAACTCGGATGATTTCAAGTGGGGAAAGACGCGACAGGTGATCCAAGGTGATGAGGATGTTGCCGAAAAGGGCGCTGCTAGGAACAGAGCCGCTCATTGAGAGTGTTTATAGAGCCAGATTGGATTGTAGAATGTACCAGTATGAGAGCATGAGCATATTCTGACTGGTGAGTACATCACGTTCTCCTCTTCATTGCTCTACTGGCACACAAAGCTGACTTTGCAACAGCAAGATTTCTAGGGCTTTCCGGCCCTCGGTCACTTTCGGCCCCCCAGTGGATCCATTCCGGCTCCGGACAGATCCGCCAGAAGGAGGAGGCGCCGAATAGTCTGCGGTCAATGATTGTTTGTTGAGTTTAGCGCAAAGCTTCTTGTTCGGCCTTTTTCATAGCATGTTCGGTCTTTTTTTCATAGCATGTTCGGTCTTTTTGAGGGGATGGCTTCGGCTGTTGGACTCTCACCACAAATTCTCGGTGCCATTTGCAGGTTGGGTACACGCATTTGTTGTTTTTAGTATCGATAGAGGGTAGGACACCAACTAGACTCCAGAGGGTATACCGTCGCGTCAGCTATGTGCTACAATAGTTGATAGTTTTGCTTATAGTAGAGAAGAAATATCATCATGAAGAGTCAAATTAACCCAGTATCTTACGGTGAATCGCAACACGGTGTCTGCGCATTAGATGGCATGGCCCTTCCCCTGATCACATCTCGAAATGCAGCCATCCGAATATCCCCTGTCGGCCCCTCTCACTGCCAACATGGCAGCGTGGCGTGACGCCAACAGCAGCGGTGTAGATGCTGCATCATGTAAATCGATGCCCTGGCCCAATCCGTAGCCAGACGGTGATGAAGCGAGGCGAGCCAAGGCTGCAGGACAAGGCTCGGGATGCGGTTCGTATTGGTTGTCTTGGTGTTGGTATCCACATGGGACGCTGAAAACTAGGCTTCGTGCATTTTTTGGGATGTTTACAAGTTGTTCTCGACTCATTTGATGACGGTTACAAGACGCACACGCAATTCAAGTTAGAGAGAGACGGCCCCTCGTACCCTGTTACTCTCCCTTCATTTCTGAAGCTTGGGAAAGGTGGGTATTCGCTTCGCTTTGGTGGAGACGAGATGACAGCAATGGGCGCATCATCCTTCTACGGGCACTTTGTTCCGTACGAGTACGAGAAACAAAAGTATGGACTCACCATCTGACCGAAGTCCAAGGATGAAAGCAAAGCCTAAAGCGCCATTTATTTCCCATCATCATCCATAGAAGCATGAATCGTGCCTCATCAAATATCGTCTCCCACTCTACGATCACCTCAGATCCCTCTCGAATCCATACATCAAACCAGGCAGATGGCATCAACCACATGCCCACCCAAAACCCCTGCTAGCCTTCCCCCAGCCAACAAAAATCCTTGCCCAGACACCCTCAACGAACCCCTACCAGCAGCCATCATAGCGCATGCATACGGCAAACACCTGGTGCCACCCACACGCTCGCAAATCTGCCATCATCAGAGAAAAAAGCCGTGAGCAGACCCCCATCCTCCCACTCAGAAGTGCAACGCGTCGCATCGCGAAAGAGAAAAAAATAGGTACACGCCAGCGGAGATGGTGGGTGCGCTAGTTGGATCTCATGGACGCATCATATGACTTGCTACATCTTTCAACCTATTAGTGCAAAGTTGGGTAAGATCCTTCTCGAGTGAATGACAATATCTTGTTTCCTCGCTTTTTCCTCTTTGTTCAAGTGCGTATGGTGTGGTGCAAGGAGTTATTACGAGCTTCCCACTTACACGCAACACGCGTGAGAACAGGCAGATGCCGTCAAAAGAAGGGAGGCGTGTGCGTGCAGGCAACAGAAGCAGTCACCTGTAATTAATCTAATCTACTCGAGGAATGAGATTGAAGAACGTTTGTTCAACAAAGGATTCATAAAAAGCGTCGCCCGTCCTCGCCACTTTTGGTTCCTGTGGTTGTTTGGCTTCCGTCGCTCTCTGCTCAACTTACATGTCAAGTGGTGTCTTTCATTCATTATTCTTTCATTCCATTTCCCCCAAGCCACCCTGCATCGACACATTCCTCGCCAATACTAACTGTTTCAACAAAAATGCATCTCCCCCCAGCTCCAGCTCCAACCGAAGCCCCCTCCCTCGAGATCCGCCAGCTTGACTTCCACATCCTTACACAAACCCTCATCCGAGCATCCACCACCATCGTCACAACCATCACGCTCGGTACCATCGAGCCAGTTGCCACAGAGACCATCGCTGTCGTGCCTCTGCCAGTCTCCCACCACCATGGCCTCTCGAGTGGCCAAATCGGCGCCATCCTCGGCTCCGTAGTCGGCGTTGTCGTCCTGCTCCTCATCGGCGGCTTCTGCTACGTCGGACAGCGAAGAATGCCAATCACATACGAGGAGGAGGAGAAGAAGAAGAAGACAAAGAAGAAGGGGAGCAGCAGCTCTCGCACCACCCGTGGTATATACGAATACACAGAAGAAGCAGTATACTACGTACCCCCTAGAAGGAAGCCGTCGTCAAGAAGGGCCAGCGTTGTGGTTCAGGTTCAGGAACCCGAAGTCGCTGTCGTCACCGAGAGGATTCCCGGAGGCCCAAAGTTTCCTACATACCGGGCAATCCCGATATCAAATCCTCGAAATCCTCAAATTTGGCGCTCAGGATGAAAATCGTCTTTTCTGACAGTGCTAAGACCGAAATACAGCTGCAGGACTGGCAGAGACGTGGGTTATGGCGCATGGCGTGCATAGACTAAACGGACTTGTCCTACATCAGCGGCCACATTGAGGTTCCCTCTCATCCATGCATTGGTTTACAAATACGCGGACTGAACCACCATCAGAGGTCGGAAGCTTATGGCTGTCATCGAAAGGTGATATTGCCAGAGATTGGCACACGACATCCAGCGTCAGGAAGAGTAGGCGCGGTTCTCATTTCTCATGAATTATAATCATAGCGATACTCTGTTAATGACTAATGACTAATTTGATGACTTTTTCCACCCAACACCTAATCCTCTGCTTCAAACTGTGTTGTCACCCTGGCCTCCGCAGCTGTGAGACTTCTCAATCACCTTTGTGAGCTTTGCAGCCCGGTCCAGCCGTCTCTGGATAGCCCGTTTGCTGCTTGGGTTGAGGCTAGTCTTTTCCCGAAGAGGAATGCCGTCCAAGCTCAATGCGAGCTGTGCCACCGCACGAGCAGCAGCCTTGGTGTTGACAGTGATGGCATCCCAGTTAATGTTGTCAAGGTTATCACAAGCCTAGTGGTAGCACGCATCTTCGGGTGCGCCAGCGCCAGTGAATAGACCAGAAGAGGGGATACCCAGTTCCAGGAAGGCAACATAATCTGAAGATGTGCCAAATCCGCTTCGTAGAAAGTTAGTATTTTCATCTCGTCTTCGCAGCTAGGATTAGCAGTACTCACCCATAGTAGACAGGCTTGCCCTTGGCTTGGAGGTAGTCAAAGAGAATAGAGCCTCCAGTCTTGTGGTCTTCAGTATCGGCATACACAGCGTAGATGGGCTGCTTGGAGCCAATCATGTCGTAGTTGAAGTAGAAGCGGATGCGATCAGCCTCCTCTTCAGACAGATTTCGACCATAGTAGAGAGAGCCAATCAGACCGCTCCTAATTTGCTTCATGATTAGCCAATGGATTCCGTAGACGTATAGAAAGCAGGAAAGACTTACTCCTCAGCACCCCACCAGGCAAATCGAACTTTGTTCTTAAAGCCCTTGTATCTCCGGATAGCGGTAGCTATCTCAAGAAGGCCAGCAGTTCCGCTGCCATCGTCGTTCACGCCTATATTGCGCCTCTTGTGTCAGTCCAATGTCGTGTAACATTGTTCAAGCTAACCAGTGGTGAATATACATACCGGCACCGGCTTGGACGGAATCCAGATGAGCACCAAGCATAACCACGTTGTTTGGGTCACCCTCCTTGGTCTCCGAAATGATGTTCCAGCTGGGTCTAATCTGATTGACGGAATCCACCGTAAGTGTGGCAGTTAGAGTCTCGCCTGCTGCAAGACGAGCTTTCCATGCCCTGCCGTCTTCCTGAGTAATGACTCCAACAGGAACCAGCAATCCGATGTTCTCGGCGCTCAAAGTAGCCGATCCAATGGGCTTGCCTGGGAGGTTGTTGTACAAGATGACTGCCAACGCACCATGCGCCTTGGCCAGCTTGAGCTTGTCGGAAATGGCACAAATGCCCCTTCTCACCAAGGCAATCTTTCCCGTTGCGTCAATTCCTTCCCACTGGTCCGCAAAGCAGCCTGATCCCCGCACGTCGTCAACTGGTGTGTCGATAAGCTCCGCAGTGATACCGCCGGGAAGAGGTGTAGCACTGTTGTATTGAAGAGTAATCACATATAGGTCTTCACCCTGAGGGCCCTTGACGGAGATGCTTCTGGTGCTCTCAAACAAGTGATCGAACTGCTGGACGTAGGTGTCAAACTCATTTCCGAAGCGTGTCTGTACTCGCTCAAGGATAAAGTCAATAGAGGCATTGAAGCCGGGGAGACCAAAGGCACGGTTGCCGCCATGTTCGCTTGCGATGTGGTTCAGGTTCCAGAGCACATTTTGGAGGCTATGAGAAGTCGAGTCAGCAGAAGAAACGCATCGCAGGTACGGGCAAATATTACTTCTTTTCCTCAATATCTCTCTCGAGCGCGTCGGGTGTGAGCAGGTCTGTGGCAACGGCAGCCGTGGCGAGAAAGCCGGTGCAGGCCAGGCTATTCCAGAACTTCATGATGCGAGCAGAGTCCCGGTGATGCGAATAGTGTATAAACAGAACAAGATAGTGTGATGGCAGAGTAGTAGTGGTATATCAACACCCCTACTATTCGCGTACCGGTAGAGTACGAAAAAGCATAGAGTTGACTTATTCGAGGCACCATGCAACCTTTTATTTATCTATCAACTCGTATCCTACTATCTAGAGAAGCTTCGATAGAGGCAGTTGCTCCGGCTCTGACCGGCGGCTAATACCTGCCCCCCTGCAAGCCAAGACTCTATTCGTAATAAAGCCCTGGCATTTACCAAGTTAAGCTTGTCGAACCCGATTCCTCAATCGGAAGCTGCCAGAGGCAATCTCGACACCTTATCGTCTTGGCAACAGAAAGGGCAGGTCTCGATGACACTCACGCCTCAGCGGAGTCAGTTGGCGCAACAAGTGACTGAGCCGATTGGCGCCCGCATGAACTTTTGGTCTTATCCAACAGAAGAATCACGGCGTATTGACTCTAGAAGCACGGTGGGCCAGCTTCCAAGATGGACGGCGCGGCTGGGCAATGGCACGCTGTGAGAACTTCTGGTAGAGCGGACAAACAAAGAGTTGCTCTGCATGCGACTAGGTCGTGCTTGGAAATGTCGGCGCCAATGAAGCTGTACCCGGAAGATGCGGAGCGAGCTGGGATTACGTGTAGTTGAGGGGCAGTTCAAGGCAGCATCATGGATGTAAAAATGTGAATCAAAAGTGCCTTGAAATGGAGCTTAGCATGGTGGATTGTCCAACCGTTGCTCGGAATGAAGTCGCACGCGACTGTTTAAGTTGCATCCGCCGCTACTAGTAGCTCCGATACGACCCTGTGTCCCTGCATTTTGCATTCATATTCCATCCCATGAGCCGCCGTATAAGCATAGATGTCGGCATAGATGTCAGCATAGCGCATGTAAGAGTGCGGAGTAATGACAAATGACTGTTATGACTGCTATTCTGAAGCTTTCATCACGATGAAGAAACTCGTTGTCGCTCCAGGAAATGCCTCCCTAAACAGAAGGAAAACAAAGGATACGAATCACAAGCAGATACAAATCTGCCAGTGTACCTATTATGTCAGCCATTGGCATTCAGTATCACATCACATACATTTTCAGTGACCTGGTTGTCTTATATTCTGTCAGGTCAGCTACCTACATCCAGGCTGTATTGCTAAGGTGAGGTGCAGTCTTACCTTTTCAAATATCCACGGCGCTGAGCAAAATCGAGAGAAGCATAATTAAGGGCAATACCTGGCCAAATCCCCATTCTCTTTCGTCACCTAGCAGCAGGTCTTTGTTTAATTGCCAGAGAGAAACTACATCGAAGACGTTCCAGGCGTTGAAGAGGGAATAGCAAAACCAGGTAAAGGGAAGAAAGCCATCACCGAAGGATCAGACAGCAATCCACTGAATTACAATCCAACATGCGAGGCTCAGAATGCCAGCAGCTCCCACTACAAGCGCGCGAAACAGCCCGTGAAACAGCCCGCGGTTATTTCTCCATCGATCTCTCGTCTTTCGGAGCAGGCGACTACACCAGTCTTGTGCCCATTCAAGACATCTATTCCAATGCGTGTGAAACCCCCTTGTTCTTTCTGACAATGAAAAAGCCAATGCAATGCAAAAAAAGATGATGCCGGCTATCCAAGGCCATGGTGAGGATCCATCCCAATAGCGGTAGCAATACGTTGTATCCGCTTCATCCCACTGACCTCCATATTCTGGGTCGAGCTCGCGCTGGTACGTGAGAATTTGCCATGCTGTTCCGAGCACGCAGCTGAACAGGGCAAAAATTCGACGAAGAGCTCCTCGTTTCCGTTTCTCCGTTTCGTAATCCATATATTCGGATCGCGCTGCCTAAAGAGAGTTGAGGGTTAGGTTCCAGTAGCATGTCACCAACGCCTCGTGGTAGAAGCTGATTGTATTCCACTTGGCGAAGCCCGCAATCATGACTCCCATGCCTGTGATGATCCGGAGGTCGCACAAGGGATTGAGGAGTTGCGCGGCACTGCGCACGAGAGGGGGCATGTGGCGTTCATCATCAGCTGCATTTTTCATTGGCCTCGATAGGGTCGAACTTCTCGTTTAAGTTTGCCCGAGCGAACGTGCTTCATTGTCCACATCACCATTACATGCGCCGATCTTGGGATTCTTCCAAGCTACTTTTGCTGCATGAAAAGCTGGGAAAGCCGCGCACGCCAGTGTAATCCAATCTTGGATTAGGAACGTAAACATAACCTTATATCGACAGTGTCAGCAGATAGAAAAGAGGTAGATGAGGTAGCATACTCCTGGGCCACCGATATCAGTGTCGGCGCTCATTTGGTCACCCGAACAGTCGGTATTCGGACGTTCAAAGGCAGGGGGGAGATGCATGGCAGTTGAATTTGTGATTGAAACCAAGAAAATAAACCCCGGCAAGTGGCCTAGACAGACGCGAGGATGTGCAAAAGCTATCAAATTTCATCCTGCTTGTTGGGATGGTGGTTTTGTTAAGTGTTTTTTTTTTTTTTCGCACTTCGGTCCCAGATTAAGACCATGTCTTAGATACAGGTTCAGTGATGACATCAACAGCAGGAAAGGGTGTAACACAGTACACCGTTATCATATCAAGGTCCTTTAATAAGCTGTTTCGGAAGCCAATTATACCAGTGGACGTCATGCCTACCTTGCACTTAACACCGGAATACCGTAATAAAGACGCTAGCTCTCAAGTGATGTACAATCTAAAAAGATACAATTTGGATTAGATACAGCATGGCTTGGAGTTTCTAACACGCAGATATAGATTGGTGATCAGGTGCTGGGGATATACTCTCCGTAATTTGATGCATATCATTTCTTTCTGGATATTCTTTCTGTGAGAACCTCTGCTCTGCCTGGTTGGTGATGAGAGCATTGGCTATGCATTGTTAATCATAGCTGAATCGCCAACACATAGTCTTTATTAGGATGAGTGATAATCAGAAGTGGTTTTATCCATGCTACGTCTCCTGAAGCTTTACTTACAGCTCAAGTTTGATGGCCTACCCTAAACGGCATATAAAAAGGTACGAATCACATGTACAGTCTTATGTCGGCTATCGGTATTCGGTATTACACCAAAGACATTTCCAGTGACCTAATTATAGGTACCTGTCAAGTACTCCATAGATGCCCTCACAATGTGCTGCAAAGCTACAAACCCGAGCTTGATAATACGGAGTTTATAATTCACCCATGGAATCAGACTTTGTGTCATTATCCTGGATACATACTAAGTAATTACATAGCAATTTCACCTAGAAATGCTCTTACAAACTCTCCTAACCGCCGACGGAGGGTTTTTTTACAGACATAAGCCCGGACTAACTAGTTTTTGCGGAACCCCGCCACCGCCCAATTAAGCTTTATGGACTGACCCTAGAAAACTAGGTAGAAAAGACCCCTCCATGTGGCAGCGCATATCGCCGGCAGAGGGCGGGAAAAGAGCTGAAAATAAAAAGCTGGACGCCAGCTTCTCCATTTTGTTCCACTTCTTACATCCAAACCACCGCTTCATCTTCTCTTCTATAATTTGAAGCATCCTCCCGACATTTCATATTTTCTTACATTTTTTACCAGAAGCGCTTCCAGCCATGGCCGACTCCCAAATCCCCCAGGTCAGGCGCAATGCCCCAACCGTCCTCTCCGCCGCCGATCTGATTGGCAACACGCCACTCGTCAGGCTCAACAAGGTGCCCCAGAGCCTGGGAATCGAGTGCGAGGTCTATGCAAAGACGGAGCTGTTCAATGCCGGCGGCAGTGTCAAGGACAGAATCGCCCTGAGAATGATTGAGGAGGCCGAGAAGAGCGGCAGAATCAAGCCTGGCGACACTCTGATCGAGCCCACCAGCGGAAACACGTATGGCCCATCTTCAGCAGCCCTGATATAAGCTGACTGGCTTATTCGCTAACACATCTTTCTCTTCTTCCAGTGGTATCGGCCTCGCTCTGGTTGCCGCCATCAAGGGCTACAAGACCATCATCACCCTGCCGGAGAAGATGTCCGCTGAGAAGGTCTCCGTTCTCCGAGCCCTCGGCGCCACCATCATCCGTACACCAACCCAGGCCGCCTGGGACAGCCCCGAGTCTCACATTGGTGTTGCCCGCCGCCTCGAGAAGGAGATGCCCAATGCCCACATTCTCGACCAATACAGCAACCCGGCCAACCCTGAAGCCCACGAGTTTGGCACCGCTGAGGAGATTTGGGAGCAGACCGGTGGCAAGGTGACTGCCGTCATCGCCGGTGCAGGAACTGGTGGTACCATCACAGGTATTGCCAAGGGTCTGAAGAAGCACAACAAGGACATCAAGATTGTCGCTGCTGATCCTCAGGGCAGTATCCTGGCTCTGCCCGAGTCGCTCAACGAGGAGCACATGAACGAGGGTTACAAGGTTGAGGGCATTGGCTACGACTTCATTCCCGACGTTCTGGACCGGGATTTTGTGGACAAGTGGTACAAGACCGACGACAGACAGTCGTTCTACCTTGCCAGGAGACTGATTGCCGAGGAGGGTCTGCTCGTCGGTGGCAGCTCTGGCTCTGCCATGGCCGCCATGCTATTGGCTGTCAAGGACTTTGGATTCAAGAAGGGCGACACCGTCGTGGTTGTTCTCCCCGACAGCATCCGCAGCTACCTGTCCAAGTTTGCCGATGACGACTGGCTGGCCGCCAACGGCCTGCTCTCCTCCAACGGAGTCGAGTCGGCACCCCAGACTGGCAGCAAAGCCGCTGCTGACCCTTACCAAGGCGCCACCATTGCTTCTCTCCGCCTGAAGCCCGTTACCTCCGTTGCCGACTCGGCTTTGTGCTCCGAGGCCATCGAGACCATGCGAGACAAGGGCTTCGATCAGCTGCCCGTCCTCTCCTCCTCCAGCAAGCTGGTCGGCCTCGTCACCCTCGGCAACCTTCTCAGCTACATCTCCCGTGGTCGTGCGACGGCTCAGACCCTCGTCAAGGACGTCATGTTCGACTTTGACCGACTGGATGAGATTGTCACCGACCCTCGCAAGTTGACCAGCGGCACCAAGACGGGCACCAAGCGCAAGTTTGTCGAAATCACCATGGAGACGCCCCTTTCCACCCTCAGCAAGTTCTTTGAGTGGAACAGTGCCGCCGTTGTGACCGATGGCAAGGGCGATTCTCACTCCTTGTCCAAGCCCATTGCTGTCGTGACCAAGGTTGACCTGCTCACCTGGATGGTTAACCAGAAGCTATAAATGCCACCTCCATTTATTTTTGGGTGTAAAAAAAACATAATGTGATTCGTATCTGAGGGGTTTGCCAGCAGGCGGCCATTTTTCTTAAGTTGGCGTCATTTTACAATTTGGTTACAAGTTTTGGATCAGCGACAGTGTGTTATCTGCAGAGGACAGGAACTGGGATATAGATCAACAATATTGCGCGGGGCCTGATAGACTCAACATCTCGGGAAATGCATATGAAATATGAATTTGAATATGAATAGGAATATGAATGGAATTCATCAACCTTGTCTACACGTAGTATCATACAAATGTGAATGTACATGTGCATATGTGTCATTGTCATTATTATTAGGTATTTTTGTCTCATTTCCGTCCCTCTGCCTTTACCCGTCATTAAAAAACTTGTAGCCAACATGCAGCATAGTACTCATACACAGCCCATCCATCTAATACCCATTTTATATCCTCTGAGCAATCCACCACCACCACTTGTCAGCACCAGGCTCTTCGGTCAAGACGCTGCCAGCCAGCACCTCGACATCAATGTCGAATTCGCCCATTTGCTGGAAAGTAAACTTTTCAGATCCGTACTCTCCCAGCCAGCCGTCCTGCTCCTCGGAGCCGACATCGTCAATGCCGACGCCCGAGTCAAGCAGGCCCTTGCTTCGGGAAGCGCGAATCCGGGTCAGTTCCACCTCGAGGTGGGTCTTGACCATGGTGGCAGGCAGCGCGGTGAACAGGTCCATCTTGTTGGCCGCGATGAGGACGGGGATGGAAGCCTTGTCCTTGCCCTTGGAGGTGGCCTTCTTTTGCAAGAACAGCAGCACATCGTAGAGGTATGCAGCCGTGGGCGCAATGGTCTCTTGCTCGCCCAGAGCGGCGGCATCAACTACAAAGACGACGGCCTTTGTCTTTTCGGTGCGCGCGAGCTTGCCCATGGCGACGTTGCGCAGCTTCCCGTGGCCGGGAGTGTCGACGAGGAAAAACTTTGTGTGCGTGCCCGTGGAATCGTCGTGGTTGCGGAACGAGGCCTTGGTGACGGAGTCGGTGGAGGCGTTGAGCTCGATGGAGTGCGACACCTGCGAGGTGTGTGTGGACGAAGGCTTTGTGCCGCGCTCGAAGAGAGTGAGAAGAGCCGTCTTGCCAGCGTTGTCTGGGCCGAGGAGGAGGACGCTGGGGGGGACGGTATAGGTTGATGAGGAGGAGAGGACGAGGTGGAAGATGATGGGGCCACCGAGGATGAGGATGAGGCCGATGATGATGACGGGGAGGGAGGGCGTCATGATGATTTCGACGAGCTCGGTGAAGGTGAGGGACGCCATGGCGGGCGAGCAAGTGGTGGGCTTGTCGTCGAGGTTGTGGTGTCGATGGCTTCAATGCCGTTTAGGGATGGGATATATGGTTATATATACCCAGTAGCCAGCAATTGGCGAGTGCAGCCCCCTGTTTTCGAGATTCAGTGACGTGGCCTGATGCGATTTCCAGCGCAGAAACTGCCCCGGTCGCCTCGAACGATGCAGATGCGCGGATGTTGGGGCACCCGAGTCGGACGAGATGAGATGATGCTGTTCTGTCAAGTTTGGGGTCCAGCAGGGTTGGAGGTGGGAAAGTGTGGCGAGTGGTGCGCCACAGTTGGGGCGGCGGGCTGAGATGTGGCTTTACGGTTTGCTGTTGCTGGTGCTTTTTAGCAGTATGAGGCACGCTAGAAGGTCTTATCTTGCCCCTGTTACGTAGATGGAGACCACTAACCTAGCAGAAGTAGTACAGCTAGTTTGATCCATTGATTGCTGCATGTCTTGCTGATTGATGCTAGCATTGTTTGACGCATCGGTAGTATTTATGGAGAATTAGTAGCTAAATAGAATCGCCATCAGTGCTGTACTTGTATTGAAGGCATCGTGACAGTTGATCTCCGCTGAACTACGGAGTACCTAGAGCTAGACGCCCATCTACCTGTACTTATCCATAAATGCCCGCCCCAAATTACTCCGTAGGGAACTAGGCCGGCAATCTACAAGCGCCGCAAGGGCTGCCTCCAGGCCTGTGCCATGGATTCTTCTAATTTCGTATTTGATTAGATTGATCAGCGCCTTGCCGGCAATGTCAGCAACTGCGAGGCTCCCGCATTTCCTTCCAGTATTAGCCGGGCATTATTTTCCCCTGCATATCATATCACATCAAATCGTATTATATCATCCATCTCAGGGCCTATCATAGGCACCAATACGTAGTACGTCTTTCTCCTTCACATATCATCCGCATCTTCTCTCTTCTGGCCACTAAAATCTCAGCGAAATTAGGCCTCTTGCTGCGCCATCCTCTCCCTCCACTAATATTGCGTAATTCCGCCATGGCACGCTTCTAGCTGTTATCGATATCCCAAACTGCATCGTCAGCCCGTCTCCAGTCCTGATCCTCTCTCTCCACCAAGTCTCACCCTCGTCGATCTCTAGATCCGGCTCGTCACCCTCGCCTAACGAGCCGCCAAATCCGAGAACCCCTGGGTTTATTATTATTATTTTTTCGTTTCTTTTTTGATTCCTTTTTCCGTCTTTTTTTTTTCTTTTCCTCGCTTCTGCTCGCCAACGGCTTCTCGTATTCGCCAATTCAGCCTTGGGATCAGCCCTTCAGCCCTTCAGCTCAGCAAGGCGGAGGCGCGGACGACTCTCGTTTTCTCGGTTCTCGACTCGATCCAAACCTCTTCGTCTCTTCATCTGCTGCCCCTCCAGCATCCGGTATTGTCGTTACATGGGTAGTGACAGCCCGCCAGCTCGCGCAAGGAACACTTCGGCCGCCTCTTCTACGACCACTGCGGCCCCGGTGCCTTTGCGAATGCAGCCCTCGTCCAAATCGGCCGCTGCGGCGCCCAAGCTCAACAGCGAGATGGAGATGGGCAGCCTGCCGGCGGACGAGCCCGCTCCGGAAAACGACATCATGCAGCTGGCCCGCATCGGCGACGTGGCCGGCATGGAGAAGCTGTTTGAGTCGGGCGAGTTCGACGCCACCTACAGCGACGACGAGGGCATCACGCCCTTGCATGTGAGTTGCGGCGACGAGCCGAGTGCGAGCTGAAGACGTGCAGAGCTGACGCTATTCGCTGCCAGTGGGCTGCCATCAACAACCAGTATGCCATGTGCGCGTTCCTCATCGAGCACGGCGCCGAGCTCAACAAAAAGGGCGGCGAGTCCATCGCCACGCCTCTGCAGTGGGCAGCCCAGCGATGCCACTACTATACCGTCAACCTGCTGCTTCAGCGCGGCGCCGACCCCCTCATCACCGACTCGCAGGGCTACAACACCCTCCACATCTCGACCTTTAACGGCAACGTCTTGCTCATTGTCCTGCTGCTGCACCAGGGCATCCCGGTCGATGTGCTCGACAGCTACGGCCACACGGCGCTCATGTGGGCGGCTTACAAGGGCTACCCCCAGCTGGTCGACGTCTTCCTGCGATGGGGTGCTAATGTACACGCCACGGACGAGCAGGGCTTCACCCCGCTGCACTGGGCGCTGGTCAAGGGCAATGCCGCCTGTGTCCTCAAGATGATTGAGTACGGCGCCGACCGCTTTGCCAAGACGGACACGGGCAAGACGCCGGCCCTTACGGCTACGGAGCTCAACACAACGCCAGCATGGCACCGTGCGCTGCGCGAGTGCGGCTATGACGAGGACGGTCATGTCGCAACGCCGCCGTGGCCGGGCGCAAGCTACTTTCTCAAAGACAAGAAGGCCTTTCTCACAAAGTTCCTCTTCCTTTGGCCTTTCCTCATGGTCTTCTCCGTGCTGTTGATCCTGTCCAACTTTCCCGTCTTCCTTGGCCTGCCGCTGGCAGTGGGCGCGGCATACGGCCTTCTCTGGGTCGCCAAGCAGGTGCTCGAGTATGCTCCCTCGGATATGCGAGCCTTTCACAAGACTGTAAGTACCCTCTGTTGGCGTCTGCTCTCCATGGGGATATCGCTAATACCATCGGGATGAAACAGCCCTGGATGGCAGGTATCTTTGCCGGATCGCTGTCTTTAGTCGGCCTCAATTGGTTCATATTTATCCTACCGGCAACCATTGGATGGTGGGGCGGATCCTCACACTTTCTCCTGAACGTTGCCTTTGGCGCGGCTTTCGGTTTGACGGCCTTTTTCTATATTGCCTCGATGCGATATGACCCGGGCTTTGTGCCCAAAATGAACGGAATCGCCGAGCAGAGGGCCGTCATTGATGAGCTTCTCAAGTCGTGGAAGTTTGACGAGTCCAACTTTTGCGTTGTTTGCATGATCCGCACGCCGCTACGAAGCAAGCATTGTCGACGCTGCCAGCGATGCGTGGCCAAGCATGACCAGTAAGATGGGAACTCATATGGTGTTTGAAAGGTTTCGAGTAACTAACCGTGTATTCCCAGTCACTGTCCATGGATATTCAACTGCGTTGGCGTAAACAACCACCGTCAATTCTTCTTCTACCTAATCTCCCTAACTATTGGAATTCCTCTTTTCGACTGGTTGTTGTATTATTGTATGATGCTCCATTGCAAATAGCTTGCTTTACCGTGAATCGTGCTGACCAGCCTTTTTTCAGATTATGAACAAATCACCCCTTCAGCCTCGGAGACTTGCACTCTCTTTGGCCCATCTGTCTGCAAATATATCAATGCTGACTCGTACACGCTTTTCCTCGCCATCTGGGCATCCCTTCAGCTTTTGTGGGTGTCCATGCTGCTCTTCACGCAGTTCATCCAGGTCTCCCGCGCCATGACCACGTACGAGAACATGACCGGCATACGTGTTAACAGCTCCATGTCCACGGCTTTTACATCCACAGGTGCTCCGCTTGACCCCAACCATCCGTCTCTTTCTGTACCTGCAGCACCAGCAGGCGCTCACGCCGGCCACGGCCACGGCCATGGCCATAAACACGGCGGGGGTCTTTTCAAGCAGTGGAGCCAGCTCCTCGGAGTCGATCCCTTCATCGAGACCATTACCGGCCGCGGCGCAGCCACGACCAAGAATAAGCGCAAGAAGAAGAATCCGTTCAGCAGGGGCTGCGTTACAAACTGCAAGGACTTTTGGTGCGATTCTGCTCCCATATTTGGCCAGCGAGAAACGGGACAGGCGTCTCTTGGTGGCGATAAAGTCGACTACACGGCAATGTATGAGACACCCACTCTCATGAACATTACTGGAATGAGAACTCGAGGCGGATATGAAGCCGTTGAAACGGAGGAGGTGTAAATCAACAGAAATAAGTTTCGACGTTTAACGGCTGAAGAGGAAAGAAAAAATAATAATGCATTGTAATATGAGCTGATGCAATCGTGGCTGGAACTCGGAAGAACTGGGCCGGTTTGCTTTTCCACATCTTTTTGTGTTCTTTCTCTTTTCTTCTCTTCTTTTGTGCAATGGAGCCAGGGATACAAATGTGCGTTGGAGTGTTGTATTATCTTGGATCGGTACAAACTGGGATACCGAGTGATGAATCACTTGAATGAATAACGACACGCACTCGGATAGAAATGAGGCATTTCATGTGCCGCATGGCGCTGGAGAGGAAGACTGTTGGTTTGCATAGCACGGGAGACACGTTTTGATAGGCATGATGACCATAAGAAAGGATAGTGGAGCAATCACATTAATTGACCGAAGTATCTTGGGGCTTTTGTGTGTATTTTATGTCTTGAATTTATCATGTTTCGTTGATGCAAAGGCTTGTCATCGAGGCTGAGAGTCCATGTTGCTACATTTGCCACAAGTCCGAAATCAAGGTATCATCCATTGCTCCGAGCTCCAGAAACTCATCCAACCTTTCTATAACATCAAGCACGGATACATTGGCTATGACCTGGTTCTCTCCCACTGTACTATTCGCTACCCAATCCAAATCTCCTGATATCTCCTGTTGATGCAAATGATTCGCATTGGTTGCAGAGGCGTTTAGCCTGTCGGTAGAGAGAAGATTTTGCTTGGTTAGCGCCCAGTCAGCGAGTTCAAGGGCGATTTTCATAAAGGGAAGATCGCGACATTGCTGGAGGAAGACGATGGCTTGGTGGATGTAAATTCGGGAACGGGACTTGACAATGTCGCCTTCGGAGGGGCTGAGGACGATTTCGAGGTGTAGTGCCAAGACGGTAGGGACGACGCTGATGCTGCAGTTTGTTAGTTTGGGAAACTTTGAGGGACATTTTGCATGGGATAGGAAAAGAAAGAAGACACACAATGCCATTGGAAGCATTTGCAACATATCATACGCCATAGCTCGTCCTATGATGGCATCAAGCTCATATACCGCTGCTCTCACGCCCTGAGCCGATCTTTGCTGGAGCTCCGGATGACGACCTTCGGATTTCTTCTTCAGGATGCGGCAGAGCATGCTTTCGTAGCGGTAGCTCGACGTCATGAGGACCATGTGCCAGATGGAGTCGCTGCGGACGTGGGACTGGCGATGGTTGGCTTGCAGTATCTCGGGGAGCGAAGTGCGCCAGACGTGGAGTTCGGATTGGATGTAGTCGAGGGCTTCGTGGGGATGGGACTTTAGGATGGAGAAGCAGCGTGTTGCTTTTTGAGTTATGTGTGTTAACGGAGACTTTTATGCCGGGGATGTTCGGGGGGTGGGATCTACCTATTCTTGCGAGACGGCAGTATTCGATGAAATATTGGCGCTGCTGCTGTGATAGAGGTGGGATTAAATGGGTGTAGCATTCTGGGATGTCGTCGCCGAGGGATTCAGGTGTTGGGAGGGTGAGGACTTCGTTGTCTTCTGCGTGGATCATGCGCATGTTTTCTACGCCGCCGAGGAGGAGCGTAATGTCGCGGATCTGAAGAGCTATTAGTAGCATGTTTTTGTGAAATGATGAGGGGATTGAATTACATATAGAGACCACCAGATTCTTTGATATAGTTTACTTGTTGGTGACTCTGTCTCTTTGTGTGCAAAGCTGATGTCAGACACTATGTTAGTATCGTAATAGCGAACTGGTTGGAGGAAAAAAGAAACTCACCTCTTATGCAGTCCCATCTTAACAGCAAGCCTGACAGCATTATGAAGCCAGTATCTGAAATCCCGATCAAACGATCCCGTCACGGCAGTCATGCCCAACACCACTGATCCTTGCAGCGACCGCAACTGGTTCCTCTCGCAGCCAAACTGGTACAGCAAGCTTGCTCTTGAGTAGTACGTCTCGATGGCCTCGCATCTCGATTTGAAGCCGCAAGACTCGAGCAGAGGCATAGGCGCATATAGCGAAGCATTGGAGAGTAAAGCCTGCATGAGGAAGAGGGAGAATGTGCCAGAGAGGTACGACTTGACGAATTCGACGGGGTCGAGGATAGGGGCGTGGGGGTGGGCAAGAGAAAAGTATGCTTGCAGCATGGCCTCGCTTTTTATAATCAGGTTAGAATGGACAGGAATGGTGAAATAGGGGCTGATGAATATCATACCAGCAGTGCTTTGACGGCAAGCTAAACGCCGACTTGTTGTTCAAATACTCCTCATCAAGCGGATCCAGTCCATGAATAACAGCCCGAACTTGCGTCTTCGCTTTCTGCTGCCCAGTAGCCACTAGTTCTTTATCCTCGACAATGATTCGAGTCACTCTACTCGATCTCCTCGTATCGAAAAGCTCGCTGATGATGGTCAGGTAATGCATCTCGCTATGATACTGAACCAAGTCCCGCCCTGCCTGAGACGGCGCCAACATCGTCTCGAGAGAAGGGAGACTGGAGCCCTGGACTATTTGTTCGCATTCTTCGGCGACGATGCGGGCTTCTTGGGTGCGTATCTCATTCTCAGAAGAAGGCGTTTGTATGAAGTGAGGAGGTGTCCAGGATTCGGCGTTCTAAAAGGACTCTGTTGAGTTGAAAATGAAATACGTGTAAATTGAGAGGAGACTTACGTAGGGAGATGTACTTGAGCTGCCGTCTTGCTCGTCTTTTCGGCAATACGAAGACTCCGTGTCCACAGTGTAGCTCGCCTTAGTAACGCGTCTATCGGCAATATCAAAGAGAAATACGATGTTAGCTTGAACTCTTCTCGACTAGGGCACAACCAGAAACAATAAAGACAGTTCCATATTTTCCTAACATCAATGTCTGCAGCGTTTTCGTCTCTTGTTTTCTTTCTTCTTACCTCCTTGTTCTAGGCCGTCGAAGTACACGCACGCACAACTCAGAAGCTGCAATCCCTCTCGTGGCGACGCATCTACTACACGGCAGTCCAACCTGAGCGGCATCGCATTTGAGCTTCCGCTCGTGGCAGCGAAGACAGGCTTTAATGAGATTCCGGGGCATTTCTTTCCTTCTTTTTTCCCTCCTCTTCTGTTAAGTTTTGTAGACCCGTTAAAAGAGAGTAATCAGTCCGCTTCTAGTGAGAAACACCAAGTCATGGAGAAAGCGAGGAAGAGCTTCGCAAAAAGGGAACCAGTGGCCCCGCACTGCCCGGCTCGGCGTGATCATCATTCTCGGGAATAGGATAAATGGGAAGTGGGGGAGCGGCGTTTCGGATACTCTGCCGACGATGTCCTGGGGGTTGTGAGATTGTAGAGGAGGGTTTCAGGGATTTGGGGGGCCAATTGGGAGACGAAGATTCTGGTGTAAGTTGGCAGTTGGGTAATGAGTTTGGCCGACGGATAGTTTCTGCTTCACAAGGGGGTTCACTCAATAGTGGTAAGCGTGGATTTTCGCCAGTATTTTAGCTATATTTAGGTAGTCACAGTCTTACGACTTTTAGCGAGTTTCCCAACTATAACATACTGTAAGATCTAAGCACAGCATATAGTAGTAAGGAGTAAGGGGGATCTGACCAGACGCGTGATCAAGGACAGCCAGGATTGGTGACTAAGCCAGAGACAGACTGGCTTCGCGATGCATTGGGTCGCAACACATGTGCTATGGATTCAGCCTTGTTTCTGGATTCTGGATTCTTCAGTGCAAGAGACTAAGAAGATTCTGAGCTTTAGTCTGTCACAGTCACAAGTTAGGATATCCCGACTCTCTTAGTTGTCTCCCTAGGCCGTTAACAACCAATATAGATAGTACAAGCTCCGCTCTTCACCTTCACCTCAACCTCCTCCATTCCACGCCGGCTCAGATACTACGCGACAGCTGCCTTGCGGCCTCGCCATGCGTGATGACGGAGAGTTGAACAATGGCCATGCCGGAAAAGGACTCCAGGTCATTCATGTCGCCCTTTTCCGCATGGCAACGCAGTCCTTCGCAGAGGCGTACAGAACCCTGGGCTACAAGACTCACCACGGCGTAGAGGACATTCTAGGAAATCCCTGGGTTGAAATCGAACAGGCTGCAGAGGCAACATGGCCAACTGTGCCCAATGCGCGTCCTAGGCCACGATTCACGCGAAGTGACTGGGACAATCTCTGGGGGGACAAGTATGACATCGTCACCGACTTGGCCTGCCCTTTCACCGACCAGCTCATCCAGGCTTACCCCGATGCAAAGATTGTCGTTGTTCAGCGCGACTTTGATAGTTGGTGGAACAGCTACCAGGTAGGCGTGTTGGACAAGTTGTTCTCCCCCGGCCAGCAGATCTTCGTCTTCCTCATCAGGAACGTGCTCGGGTCGCGAGCCGCCGACGCCATGCTCAAGGTGAATTACGGGCTTTTCAAGGCCACAAGCGTAGCCGAGATTCGAGAGCATGCCCGTGAAGTCTATGACGAGTACTACAGGAAGATTCGGGAAACTATACCTGCGGAGAAGCGGTTGGAATACACCATGGGGGATGGATGGGAGCCTCTGTGTGCATTCTTGGGCAAAGACGTCCCGGATATACCGTTCCCGCGCCTGAATGACAGCAAAGCGCGCAGCGAGAGCCAGCGACAGGGCGAGGTTACGGTGCTGTTGAAATCTGCGAGAAAATTTGCGTTGTTGGGTGTTGGCGCTGGCATAATTGCGACATCCTTCTGGTATTATGCGCAGGCGTAGATGTGACCGGCATTGTTTGCCCTTTCTCTGTAGAATTCTGCACAATAGCTTGCGTTATGCGATGTCATAGCTTTAGGTAGACCATCATATCATACAGACACCTTGTGTTAGAGAAACAGCAGCCACGGCTCTCATACATATATGTGTGTGTCTTATCCTATTCCAAGATATAATGCGTATTTAATGCCCATGTGTCCATTAACGACATTTAACTCTTGTAAATCTTCTCAGATATGCAATTCCAGATATAGTTGTCAACACTGATGAATATCATTAACAACTCTTATACACTCCAAGCATTAAATCTACATGTTCCGCTTCTATAAGCTCTTGTATGCCTATATGCCTTTCCAAGTCATAGCCCAGCAAACAATTTGATCCATTACACATTGCTTCCATACCCTCATTAACAATCCATATCTAATGATCTCTTACTCATAACAAAAAATAATCATGCCCAACAATAAACAAATCATCACTCATCATCCCCAGCACCCCCTCGCGCCAAATCCCTCGCTGGTCCACACTCAACAACCCGCCCATGATCCAACCGCAAACACCACGTCGCATCCTCCACAGCCTCTAGCCGGTGCGCAATCGTAATCACCGTGCTCTCAGACAACTCCGACCGCAAGATTCGCTGCACAGTCGCGGCCGTAGCACGGTCAATCGATGCAGTCGCCTCGTCCAGAATGACCAACCCGCTTCGACGAAGCACCGCGCGGGCAATGCCTACAAGCTGCCGTTGACCTTGGCTGAGGTTCTTGCCCGCGGCATCAATGTGCGATTCGAGATTCCATTCTGGCCCGAGAACGCGGTGGATCGCGTTCAAACAGTCCTCGTTGGAGAAGTCGGCGCCTGGGTCGATGTTATCGCGCAGAGTGCCAGGGAAGAGAGTCGGATCCTGTTGAATAAAGGTGATGCGATTTCGTAGCGCCGTACGATCGACTTGAGACAGATCAACGCTGCCTACCTTGAGGGTTCCCTCAAAGGGTGCCTGTGTCATGAGGAGAGCATTGGCAATGGTCGACTTTCCAGATCCGGTACGACCCAGGACGGCACATGTCGAACCTCCGGGAATCTCAAACGACACTTTATCCAGTACAGACGGTAGATGCTCGTCGTACTTGAAGGACATCTGCTCAAATCTGACATCGTCGCAGGGTCTGGGCCAGTCTTCAGGGGGATCTTGCTCGCCTTTGGGCTCCTCCGGGATCTGGTTCAGCATGTTAACTCGCTCCAGAGAAACGGCGTCAAGCTGCAACTGGGCGAACCGCTCGCAGAGTTGCTGCACAGCAGACATGGCAATAACCGTCTGCGTCAACACGAAACCAACGGCGCTGGCCGGCATCCTCCGCCAAATCATGAACAGAATCAACGCGGTGCGAGTCACGACGGAACTCAGGCTAAGGCGGAAATCAAGCCAAAATGCCATGCTCCAAAAGAAGTGGTCTTGCTTCTGAAAGTCGTCGACTGCATCGAGATGGCGGTCTTGGAAGTGCCTTTCCACTCGCAAAGCTCGGATGGTGACGAGACCGTCCTGCATAACACCAATGTTGGCGATGATGGGCGTGAGATATCGCATCTCCATGCGGCGGAGGCATCGCGACACGGGGACGTAAGTTCTAAAGAAGTAGACAAAAAGTATAGCAACGACGGCGAGAATCGCGAGTAGCAGCGGCTGGTGAGAGGCAATGGCCACCATGCTCATGACCAAGGCAATCAGGTTGAAGACAAACGACTCCAGGGGCGCCACAATGCCGCCGTCCACCATGCCCATGTCGGCGATGAGTCGGTTCTTAAGCTGACCTGTCGGCGTTGTGTCGTGATAGCGGAATGTCGCCCGGCTAACCTTGTCAATGGCACCCTTGAATAGGCCCTGAGCTGCCCTGACGCCGATTCGAGCGAGGAGGAGCTGGGCGGTCGCATATGTCAGAATCTGGCCTGCGGAGAGGCCGGCCAGCACGAGAAGCCAAGGGACAGGGTGGGAATCTGGTTCAGGGAGGCCCCAGTAGGAGCTTCTTGTGCCATCTCCAACAGAATCCGCGCCCCAAGACTCAAGTAGTCGGGCTCTTGATATGTCGAGGAATCGAGATGCGCCGTATGCAAATCCAAGAAAGATCCAAAGATGCCATCCACTGGCCTTGATGTATTCGGTATATACGCTGAGAGATACGCTTCCTGTTTTTGCTGGTTCTTCCGGTGCGTCCTTGAGAACAACAATATCCTCGGCGCGGATGTCGTGGGCCGTCTCGGTGTCATCATGCGCCGTCTTTTCGCCTTCGTGATAGGGGTGCTCAAGCTCTTGCTTCACCTGCTCCTCTGAGAGCACTGTTGCCTGTCCATCAGCGAGATCAATCACCTGGTCGGCAATACGGAGAACAAGATCATCTCGATGAGTCACCATGACAATGGTACGGCCCTCGGCAAGAGGACCCTGGAGAAAGCGGCGGACAATGGCAGTAGCAGTATCATGATCCAGAGCAGCCAGCGGATCATCAAGGAGCAGAATCCTGCATTGGCTGTACACTGCTCTAGCCAGGGCGACGCGAGCCTTTTGGCCACCTGAGAGTCCGACGCCGCCTTCTTCAAGCTTTGTTTGATCGCCGTCGGGGAGCGAGGCGAGGTCGGGTAGGAGAGCGCATGCATGAAGAACCTGGCGGTATCTCGATGAGTCAAACGGCTGGTGGAAGACAATATTTTCCCTTATCGTCTTGTTCTGTAGCCACGGAAGCTGTTGGGCATAGGCCACGGGGACATCGGGTCGAATGAGGTCGCCTTCATGAAGCTCCATCTCATTGAGGGCAGCGAGGAGAAGACTGGATTTGCCGGAGCCGACCTTGCCTCGAATGACGGTAAGGCCCTTGGTGAACTTGAAGCTGAGGCCTCGGAGGATAAGCTTGTCAGTCGAAGGCCACGAGAAGGATGCGTTACGGAACTCGATGTCTGTGACGCTGCTGGCGTTGTTGGAGATGTCGTCTCTGTCCGGCTCGCTCATGTACTTGTTGACTCGCTCAATGGGGATGGTGGCTTTCCAGTAGGCAGAGATGAGATCAAAAGCTTCCTTGACGCTCATTTCCAACTGGGAAAACAGCTGCAGCGACGGCCAAATGACATCGTTGGGCAGACCCTGCCGCAGGATGAGGGTATACAAGGCGATGCTGGCCAGGGGGTAGGACGTTCCACCGGTGACGCTTACAGTAGAGATGGCAGCAGAGACGTGGGCGAGACTCAGTCGCTTGGCCATTTCCATGTCTCGGAATTTCATGATTCTAGCACTCCAGGTGGCTGTCCAGCCGTTGAGCTTGAGCGGACGACTGGCCTCGACGAAGTGAGAGACAGCCTGTGCGCGTTTATCTGAAATGGTTGTCCGCAGCCGTTCAAGCTTGATTAACTTACGAACCAGTATCGAATTAATAGTCAGGAACACAATCATGAGCACGAAACCAATGGCTGAAGGCCAGCCCATGATGTCAATGAGATAGTACATGGTAACAATGACCTTGATGGGCTGGGCGACGAGCTTTGAAAAGTCCCAAAACCGCTGCGAGATTTCATACGTATCTCCTCGGACCAGATTAACGACTTTGGCGTTGGAGGCTGGACCGGCGACTGCCTTGGAGCTCTGCTTGGGAGGACCAGACATCTTCCAAAGCATTCTGCCAAAGAAGGTTTTGGATTTTCCATTAGCTGCCTGAGCACTTTCTGCTTCTTCATCGGCGCCTTTCTCTGTCACATCGGAGCCTGGAACTGCACGAGTCAAGAGCTTGCCGAAGAGAGCGATGAAAGCCTCTCCACGAGACCGCTCGTAAGCCTTGCGAGAGTACCAAGAGGATGTCGTCTTGCACAGCTGGCGAAAGACGTCGAGGACTAGCATTACCAGACACCAAAAAGTAGCATCGGCGGGATTGCCAGAATCCAGAGCGTTGTACAGCTTACTCGTCAGTCGAATGTTGGATACCTCGGCAACTCTCTCAGACACGGCGAGCAACGTGGCAATCGACAAGTCAAGGCCATTGGCCTCGATGAGGCACAAGAGAAGCTTGCCCTGAAGGTCGCGAAAGGCCATGTACAGGCGCGAATGCTGGAATTCGTAAGGGAGCTGCCAGACGTCTTCCTCTGTGATTTCCCTCTTGCGGCAGAGGAGGGCTAGGGGGTTGACCCAGCTCATGGACCAGAAGCGAAAGAGACTCAGATCGTCCTCTGGGCTGCGAAGATTGCGCGACGGCTGGCCGCCTGCTTGGCCAATATCCTTGTTGCCCCATGAAGGCTCGCGAAGAGGCATCATGCCGATGAGGATAATGGACAAGAGGCAGAGAACCATCCTGGCAATTCGAAAGTGATCGATGCTGTGCAAGGTGCGTTCCAGGAACCGGATGGCATACATGGCGGTGCTGGCAGCCAGAATGGCCACATATTGGATCAACAAGAGTCGAGGAGTCTTGGTTGGTCGATCAATCATGGTGATGAAGAGAGCCGAAGCCCAGGGAACCATTTCCCAGAGATACAAGTAGCGAGTAGGGTTGATGATGACGGGGACAAAGGAGAGAACAAGCCCTGCCACGCTGATGAGAAGCAAGGGCAAGGTCCAGAGGGACCAAAAGCGCCGTTTGAGCCCATCCGGCTCAGTTTCTTGGGCAAATGGTCTCAGCCATAGAGGTAACTGAGCCTTGATGATGTGTCTGCCGACATAGAGGGCGAAGAGAGCAGCAGAGAGTGCAGAAAGCGCTTGGGTGATGACAGTGTCCATGGCGGCCGAAGGTCTGTGGCCTGGTAGGACTGGTTTCTGAAAGACGCTATGTTGAAGATGAGAGGAGGGCGACTGAAGGAAAAAGTATGTGTTCATGCTGGCCATGGCGGGATATCCCGCCATGCTGGGAAAGTCTCCCATGGCGACGAGCAAAAGCGCAGATGGATAGAATAAGGTTAGGAAAAGGCGTCAAGCGGGCGAGTATAATCAGACATGAAGCTTTCCAATGAAAAGTATAAGAGTCAAAGATATCAAAGATGACCAAAAAGAGAAGGCCCGAGATTTCTGAAGTATGCTCATCAGCCTTTTGATGAAATATCGCGACTATAGATGGAGGGCGTCAAATCATCAACAGCCACATGTAACTCGCATCCAATAGATGCTGGAATATCCGACCAATTGCAGTGAATCTGCCTCGTCTCAGACGGCAATCAGAGCATGCGGCATCTCAGCCTCTGATACATGTTGAGAAATCAGCAGCAAGACGCCAATTGGCCATTATTCTGGTGATGAAGCAGACTCGCGGTTGGTTCAGGAACAGAGTTGGAGATTTCGGTGGCGGTGGACGAATGCGTGTGGAGACGAAGGGGGGGTGGAGAAGGCGTAAGAGGCAGGATTCAACCGATTTGCTGGAGGTTTCCGGGTAAGCAGAGGCGCACGTGGAGGCGAGAGAGGCGCTGCGATTTGTTGTTTTTCAACGACGATATTTGGAGATTCAATTGATGATGTTTATCGGTGAGTATTGGGAGTGAAGAATGTGCAATTGGGTGGATATAAACATTGTTGCCTGTCATTGCAGCAAATAAACCAAGACATTGACAATTGAGACATGCACGATGGATTCACAGCAAATGAAGAAAAAAAGACGGCGCATTTATGAAGAAGAAGAATCATCATTTCCGTTTTATTATAAATTCCATGTCATTATGCATGCTCTCGTGCCTGAAATTAGAAAAAGAACTTTATGTAGCGCCCCTAATAGCAAAACCCAAATTTTCCCCTCAAATCCCCTTTTCTTAAATCATCAAGGCGCCGCCAGCCAGGAACATGGACAGAGCAGTCAAGGCGCTGCCCAGGTTGACGCCAGAAACGGACCACGGGACACCCAGTGCAGCGGCAGCGTTTTTGGTCGTGGTGGCAGCAGCAGCACTGCTCTGAGTGCTCGAAGGCGTGGTGGAAGTGGAGGGCGATCCGGTGCTGGTGCTGTTGGAGGAGCTGCCAGAGGTGCTTCCGGACACGAGGGGGGAGAGCTTGGAATCGCTGACAAAGGACGCGGTGATGGTTGCGTTCTTGCAGGCGCTGGGAGGAGTGGTAGATCCAGAGACGAAGTTGGCAGCAACGCACTGTGTTTTGGTTGCTGGTGGTTAGCCGAGCTCGATGCGGAGAGACAGACAGACATTGGATGTGAGACAGCAACATACCTGGTAGAGAAGACCGTCAGGCGCATCAGCCACGACGCTGATGACGCCCTTCTTGCCGGCCCAGCTGGCGGGCAGCACGATCTGGGGCTCGCAGAAATCGCCCAGGCCGCTCTGCTGGACAATGGGGAAGATTTGCTGCCAGCCAGACTCGGCATTGGCGTCGAGGGTGGCGCGGAACAGCCAGGTGGACTGCGGGTGGGTGGACTTGACGGCCAGCGAGTCGCCGCCGACGTGGAAGTCAACGAGCTGCTTGGAGCCGGACGAGAGGTCGGGAGTGAAGCCGCCGCAGGGAGCAGTGCCCTCCTTGTCGTCGTCGAAGCCGATGGACTTTGGGTAGTTCATGAGGAAATGGGCCGAGGAGAGGGAGGCCAGGGAGAGGACGGCGGGGATGATGGTGGAAGAACGCATCGTGACGATTGGACGGTGGTCAAGGATGAGAGAAGATTGGAGAGAGAAGATTGGAGAGAAGATGCAAGGGGAGTTGAGAAAGCTGAGGTTGAAAGGCTGGAGGAGGACAAGCTTGGCGAGGCTGCCAGCTGTATTTCAACTTATAGCTCTTCAGCGGCCAGGACGCTCCACCAGGCACTAGAAAGGGATATGGCGCCACTAAACAACGGGCTCCAGACTACAGGTGGCAGGGGGCGAGGATTGAAACGGTAGCTTGGCTCACTTGAGCAAGATTCTTTTGGTGAGACGAGGGAGAGATTGATTCGGCTGCACCTGTACGAGAGTCGTGGGCGAGGCGGACTGGGTGTGTGTTGCAGCAAACAAGCTGAATCCGGGACATGATGTTTGATCGATTCCCTTGTGTCTTTAACTGTTATGAGACTACGGAGTACCGACTACTGATCCAATTGCTCTGTCCATCTGCCAAGGATAACATTGAAGGTACATAAACAAAAGACGCACTCCCAACAATGAGACTCAGTATTAAGCATCATAACAACATTGGCCAGCCCCTGCCGAATGAGCCGTTCTCCAATCTCTTCCCCTCCAAGCCAAAAGAAGACACACTCACACACAAAACGGGCCTGTCGATTTCCGGAACCCGAATGGCGGGGGGACTAAGACAGGGACCAGGCGCAGAGCCAGCCAATCAGATGCGTCCGCGTTACCCATCTGAGAGCATTTGAGCAAGTTTATTGAGCGTTTGCAAGCGTTTGGTGGGTTTGACCGTTTCTGAGGCTTGAGGACGGGTATCCAGTAGTCCGTACTCGCAGGTACAAGCAGGAGGAGGGAGACGCCAACGTCCGCATCATGTATCATCTACTCCGTACGGAGTACCTGTGGTTTGAAACAAAATGATCTATGTGTATTACCTATGTTAACAGGAAGCTGAAATACCCTCTTTGGGCTGCAATTGACTCCCATGTCTTGACCGACCTCGTGGCTCCTCGACGTTTGCACCTGAAACCACCACTCCACCAATCCGTCTTCTTCTTCTTCTTCTGTATTCACAACCACCAGCTCTTCAACCTCATCAGTCCATCTCTTTATTTTAAGCAACACGTCCCTTCTAGCACCTCGGAACCGTCCGCTTCCAGCGCCCCTTGGTCAGCAGCATCTCGCATTGCCCATTATTACCTGCTCCCAGCTTAGTCCAAACGAAAAAAAAAACTCCACCCAGAAACAAAAACCACTACACAACCCCCCCACCTTCTCCGTGAGCGAGTTAATTTGGCCGATTCTCTGCTGCTCCGCCCTCAGACAAACCTGCTCATATTACCTTGCGGTGCTGTCACCTGGATCTCGGAACACGGCAAGAGGGCATCGTCGTGCGTTGCAGAATTCACAATACAAGAAGTATTAGAGCGACGACAAGGGGGGTTTATCAGTCTCTCCCTTTGATTGTTGGGAAGCACAAGAGAAAAAAGGAACAAAAAAGATGCATTGTTGAAAGGGCCAAGTCTCTCTCTTTGACTATTGACACCACACTCATCTACCCTCTTTCTGTCCGTGGCATCGTATCGCAATAGATACTATAGATATTCACATCTTCGCATCTTATCATCTCACAGTCTCTCACCATGGACGGCATGGACATGAGCGGCGATGGCATGACGGGCCTCGGCTCCGATGTCAACCATCGCTTTGCGCGTGCCTACTGGTACATTACAGCCACGGTTGTTGGATCACTCATGGTGGTTCGCGGCATCAACCACGTTGGCGCTGTAAAAAGGTATGTGAAGCTATATCCCCAGATATCCTCCTTAACTCTCAACTAACCAACTCCCTCCTCCCTCACAGACTCAAAGCTGCTCGCTCCCAGTCAACCCCCCATTCAACTCGTCCCGATGGCCCCCTCACCCAGTCCTGGGCCACCGCAACCGCCATGATCCGCGAAATGAGCCATCCCCAGCTCTTCGTCCCCCTCCGCCACTTCACCTGGCTCACGCCCCCTCCCCTGGGCCGCGTCCTCGTCCTTCTCTGCTACTGGGCCGTCATCATCTACTTCATGACCTGGCGCTCCGTCATCCACGACGTCTACTTCTGGGAGCGTATCGGCTACCGCAACGCCTGGGTCACCCTCACGCAGCTCCCGATGCTGTTCCTCCTGTCCACAAAGGTCAACGTCATCGGCTTCCTCGTCGGGACGAGCCACGAGCGTCTCAACTGGCTGCATCGCTGGGTGGCGCGCACAATGTTTGTCACCTGCACCGTCCACGGCTTCAACTTCTGGACCGAGTGGGTGCGCGCCGACTTTGTCGAGCTCGAACTGGAAATCATGCCCATGGTCAAGTACGGCCTCGGCGCCTGGGCCATTCTGCTGTGGAACGTCGTCGTCGGCTTCGTGCCCATTCGAAGGATCGCGTATGAGCTCTGGGTCCTGCAGCACGTTGCCTCCTCCATCGTCATGTTGGTGCTCGTCTACCTGCACATTCCCACCAACGCCCGCTTCCTCTTCTGGCTGGCCGTCTCGTTCCTCGTCTTCGACCGCGCCGCACGCTGGGCGCTTCTCCTGTGGCAGAACCTGAGCGTCAAGGCCGGCGGATCGGCTTGTCAGGGCCGAAGACGAGTTGGCCATCAGATCTTAGCCCGAGCCGTGGGCGATTCAACAACCGTCGTCACCATCAAGGACGTTCACTTCGACTGGACTCCCGGCCAGCACATCTACCTGTGGATTCCGCGATTGGGGCCCCTCGAGGCTCACCCGTACACCATTGCCTGTGCGCGCAAGATGGAGGGAACGTGTTGCTGCAACAGCATCCAGTTGATCCTCCGCAAGCACAAGGGCTTCTCCAAGCGCATCCACGACTACGCCTCCAAGAATCCCGAAGCCTCGCTCATCGGATTCCTCTCCAGCCCGTACGGCACGCCTCCTCGCTGGGACATTTACGAGACAATGGTCCTCATCGGCGCTTCGACTGGAGCATCCTTCACGCTGCCGCTGCTAGAAGCTGCAGCTCAGGCCGACTTTGTAGGGTGCGTCAGGCGTGTTGAAGTGCTGTTCGTCGCCAGGACATTCAAGGAAATCGAGTACTACGTCCAACGCGCGCAAAAAGCAGGTGAAGCCCTCATGGAAAAGGGCGTCTCCGTCAACATCCACGTTGCCATCACCAACTCCGCCCTTGGCACCGACGGCCTCCCCCTCTCCCGCAACGAGAGCATCACATCCCAAATCTCCGCCATCTCTCGGGCCAGCAACACCAGCTCCGAGCTCGAAGAGCCCATCAAGGGAGCCGAGAAGTCATCCTGCTGCTGCGACAACAAGGACCCCGGCCCCGCTGCCAGCGATGAAAAGGCCCCCCCGCCAAGCCTCCCCGTCATCCGCGAATACACCACCCGCCCCAGCATCGAGCAGCTGATCCGGCAGCCCGTTGAAGCGGCCTACGGTGAGACTGCTGTTGTCGTCTGCGGAGGGCCCGAGATTGTCGCGTCGACGCGCAACCGCGTGAGCAGGCTGAGTGACGAGCGAGCGGTGCACAAGGGGACGGGAGCTCAGGGCATTTATCTGCATGTCGAAGAGTATTCTTTTTAAAGAAAAAGGTTTTATGAGTTATGATGGGCGTGTGTATATGGGACAGGTATATATCATAAGGCGTTTGATGGCGTAAATTGTACAGTCTAAATATTTTCCTTAGACAAAGCAGGGCATTTAACAGGATACCTTAAGTACCAGCATCAGTAGCAATGAAATAAATATGATGATAAATAATGGCACTCTCAGAATTTCAATGATGCATATGATTGATATTAAGTATTAGTAGTAGGTAGGTATACATAAGTTAGTAGGTACTGAGACGTATGTAAAGTACATTCTCTCGAGCAGTAGCATTGTCGACATGATTCAATCAAGTCAGTAAATATCCAGAATGAAAAATCATTGTAGCTTGGCACAAACGCAAATATGCAGAATTCCAAGATATACACATCCTTCATCCCCTTGAGAGAACCCAAGTCTCTCGTTGTCGTCATCATAGTCATCGCCATGGATTAAAAAATGTTATACAAAATGGTGAAAATTTGCAGGTGGGAAAGCCGTTTCGCCATGCTGCGGACTCAGGTCAAAGCTGTAGACGAGGCCCAATTGTTGCCGATACTCGCAGAGCAGTGGGTGCATGTTGAAGAGTAAGTTGTCGAAATGCTTGGCTTACAATGAGCCGTTGGCAGCAGATTTGGCATCGCCAGTGCCCTCCAACAGAGGCTCAGCCTCGGCCTCTTGGTTGTCCTCTGGCCCGCTCGACTCGGATCGGTCATCCTTCTTGATCCTGTAGACGACAAACTTGTACATGCTGCGCAGGAGGCAGTAGAGCCAGAAGAGGTTGAGGGCCTGCAGCGAGGCAAGGAGCGCAAAGGTGATGATGTTGGAGATCCAGCACTTGTACTGCTGCGTCTCCCAGTTGAGTTCGTAGGGGCCCACGGTACGGAACTCGGTGAGGACGGAGTAGAGAATGCGGAGGTTGATGTAGTGTCGGAGATAGCACCACACGATGATGTTGGAGACATAGACGGGGACCACCAGCGGGCTATCAATGTAATGAAGCGACTTGGACAGCTGTGAAGGGATAGTGGTTAGCATGAGTGAGAGAAATGAGATGATCGTCACACGTACTGCAAGAAAAACATCGCTAACGTCATGTGTAATGTAGACGGCAACGCCCATGTGCGTAAAATGAAAGCGGTAGCTCAGCCCAATGAGGGCCAGCGTCACCACATGGTGCGCCACCAGCTCCTTGTAGTCCTTGCGCGGCTTCTCGAAGCCAAGAAGCATCACAATGCCCTGCTGTGCCCAATACGCCGCCTGGAAGAGGTAGTAGAACTTGAAGCAGGCCTCGTGAGAGCGGTGCGGAAACTCCTCGTACATGCCGGCCGTGTTGAAGTACCACACGGGGCTCCGGCTCATGACATAGAGGCCAGCCGGGCCCATGAAGCTAAAGTAGATGGCCGTGTACATTTGCTCGGCAAAACGCTGCTGCTTGCCCTTGCTCTTGATGCCATTGAAGCGCCCCAGCGGAATGAGCAGCTCCTGCATCATCAGCTCACGGGTAAAGGACAGCACCACAGTGTAAAAGGACACAAAGGCAACGTCCCAGAGGCCCTTTCCATAGTGCACAGGCAGCGTCGGGTCGAGATGGGCTTTTGGATTCGGCTGCTGGTACGACAGGAAGATGAAGTGGCTGACGGGATTGGACTCGGTTGGGTTGACGGCATAGGCGGCAGCAAAGGTGATGAGCAGCATCAAGGGAATCGCCCAGGTGTTTCGCACCGAGAAGCGCGCAAACCGCCGCAGCAGAGACCGGGCCTTTCGCCGCTTCTTGCGGTCCGTCGAGAGGCGCGAGGAAGAGCCATTGGGCGTGGAAGCGGATGTTTCGGTAGCTCCGGCAAGCTGCTGATGCTGCTTCTGGCTGCGGCTCTGGGATTGGCGTTGACGGACAGCCTGAGCCGGCGAGGAGGAGCTGAGCAACGGAGCGGCGTCGAGCCGAGCCATTGCTGCGAGAGAGGGCCTGGTAACGAAATTGTAGGCAAAAAAAAAAAACACAAAGGGGAGAAGAAATAGTCTAGAAGAGATGGAAAAGAAAAGGTCTGGTGATGGTGTTGTGGAGGAAGTTTTGTGGCAGACACATGCCTTAAGGGGACAAGGTCGCGGGGTGGTGAGACTGAAAAGTGACCTGTGTGGTACTTGTCACTTTCAGGCTCCAAATGGGCTGAAGCAGGCTGAAACGGGCGTCCCACGGGGCAACTAGAGAGCTGCTATGGCCGCTATGGCCGCTATGGCCCTCGCTCCTGGTGGATCTGTGGATCTGTCCACGTACCGTCCTGGTACCCCGAAGTGGACGGCAGCTCTGGCCAAGTACCGGCTGCTGCTGGGCGAGTCCCGGCCCGACAGAAGAGCGCCCGATGACGTCGTTTGACAGCCCAGCCCTGGATCCGGGGATTTTGGTTTACTGTAATAAACACAGTTGAGTCCAATTACATGTAAATTTCCGCCCAAGAAAAGCCATCTCACAGCCAGAAGCAAACTCTCCTCTATCCATCCATTTACTCTATAATAGAATAGTGTTTACAGCACCCAGGTTTCCTTCACATGCTTTCCATAGACTAAACTAATACTGGTACTGCAGCTGAGACCCGCTGCTGTGGACTCAAAACATGGACTGATGCTTCAGGGTTCAATGACGCTAAAGCCGCCCATCGCGATGCTAGCGATGAAGCCCCTAAAGCACGGGATCCGCGGGCTCGGGCTGCCTCAAAGGATCAATAGGCAGAATCCTTTCGACTGCCGCTCGGAAATTATTCTAAATGCCATCTCCACAGACCATGTCCTATCCCGTCTAGCAGCCGCTGAAGCGATGTGACTCTCGGGATTGCGGGCGATGGACACTGTCCGCGTATAAGCACGTTTACGATCAGTCCAACCAATGGATTGTGTACATAGTATGTAAACAGATAGATCATTGTCTGGAACCTACAGTATACAGGCCCTAAAAAGTCATCCATAGCATCATGTGCTATGCCATTACAGGGTCACACCTACAAAGAATTCATATGCACCAGTCCTTATCTGGCGTCTAACAAAAGCCGTTTCTGCCTCAAACATACATGTAGTCAGGCCCACTGGTATCAAGAGCGTGTAAATCAATCATGCCAACCCTTTACCCAAACGCCCAGAATCCCCCTTTCCATCAAATCAAATCAAATCAAACCAAACCATCCGTAAAAGAAACAACATAAGGATACAAGGATACATGCAGTTAGTCGGCCCATCTGCGTGGCGCGTCAATCCGGTTGAGAAGCTCCTTATGCTCGCTCTGGCCGGGCAGATACAACCCGCTCGAGACGGCGTTCGAGTGTCTATGGAGGCCCTCCCACCCGTTGGCGCCGCCATTGTCCGCCTGGGCTACTTGTTCTCCTTCCTTTACTTCCCCCTTCTTCACCAGCGGCGCTTTGGGCTCGGCTTTGGGTTTGGGTTCGTACACGGTCCGGCCCCAGTAATCAAAAGACTCGAATTCGGCGGGATCCTTGCCTTCCAGCTCAGTCGCCTCGTCTTCGTCGTCGCTTCGGATGTCTTCGGCGTTTTTGCCGCTGAGCACTCGCGCCGCGACCTTGAGGATGGCGTAGGACCAAATCACCATGAGGCCCTGCAGAGCAACAAGGAACGCAAAGAAGCCAATAAAGATGCTCCTGTTGGCGCAAATCATGCCTTGTGGCGAGTAGAATGGCTCAAGCAGAGACCATCCGCGGGGCTGGGGCAGCGGGCCCTGGAGGTTGGCCATGGATCCTTGGAAGCAGGCGTGCGGCACGAGTCGACGCGTGTCGCAGTAAACGCTGTATATGACCATGAGGAAGAATACGTGGCGAGTTGCGAGCCAGATGACGACGAAGCCGCCAAAGAGACCGTCGCAGAGTCTTCTGTAGCCCAGGTATTTGGCACACTTGGCGAGCTGCAAATACGCGGTGTTAGCAATTCTCTTGTCTGAAAGGAGGGGAATAAGGGGGCCAAGACGTAACCGGAAAGATAACGTCGACAACGTCCATAATTATCAGAGTCAGGTTGCCGACACGGGTGAAATGGTACGAGTACGACGCGGCAACCAGCCCAATGGTGACAAGGTGATGCACAATTGTCAGCCAGTAATCCTTGCGCTGCTTCTCGATGTGGACGACAAGCATTTGCTGAAGCCAAAACGCCAACTGCGTAAGAAAGTAGAACTTCATGGTTCCGCTAATCTCGCGGCTGGGCCAGTTGCTCCAGAGCTCGGTCATGTTGAGATAGTAGGGAGACGAGTACCAGATGTACTATCCATCAGTCAGTTTGGGGTGTCAAATAAAAAGACGGAAATATGGAAAGTAGTCAGAATGATGGAAAAGGATTGACACACAAGACCAAGCGGCCAAAAGATGGAGTAGTGGATAATATTCCACGCCTGTTCAGAAAACCGAGCCACTTCTTTCTTCTTGGAGATGCCACCGCGTCGTGCCAGGGGGCAAAGCACAAAGCTCATCGCGGCATGGCGAAGACCAGTGAAGAAGACGACAAAGAAGATGACAAAATAAAAGTCATTTCCACCAATCGCGTACAGTCCGGTGTCGGGGTTGTAGTGGGAGAGCTCAAAGTATGGCGTCGTGTATACGCGAGATTTGGGAATCATCAAGTGGCTAAGAAAGAGGAGAGCCAAGAGATTGAAGGCAACGGCTGTTCATTTTCAGCGTCAGTGTATATGCTCAGCAACTCTTTCCGATGAAAATGGCCATGGATAATGGTGACTGACGGGTTTGGCCATCAACCAGCGTCTGTTTAACGCTGCGGCATGGGATTGCCCGGCTCCTATACCTCATGACAATCTCATTCACTTTGTCGCAGACGGGGAGCTCAAGAGGGCGATTAGTGTCCTTGGAGCTGGATTCCATTGATGGGATGCCTTTGGGATCGTCGGCATACCCAACTTGGTCATCCATCCTGTCATCTATCACGTCTCCCATTTTCGATGATTAGATGGTGGCGAGAAGAACAAGTGAGCGAGTTTCGTTGATGATCAACGTTCGGGTGGATTTTGCTGAAAGAGGGGGGAATCGACGTAAATCTAGACAATGAAAGATGAACAGTGTTGGTCTTGAGGTCGTCTCCTCGAGATCCGTGATGGATGCCTCCAAGATTCCAAATGAACTCTCGGCTATTCTCTATGCAATGAGTGTTTTTGTGAAAATTCACAATACAGTTAGAGAGAGAAGAAGACTTGACAAATAGGGCCGAAATTGGGTCTCCCAGGCAGCTGTTGAGCGGGTTCAACAGCTGCCTCACTTTTGGAAACTCATTTTTCCCACCAAGGTGAATGCATGCACACGTGCTTCGGGCAAACGGACAAGACTTGGTACGAGGGAGATAAGAATCCAGCCCTGAGATGGGGCAATCGTTTTAGGGTTTGGTTGATGATCCATAAAGTTGAGTAGAAACGCGGTGGCAAGCATGGAGGTGATGTGAATGTGGCCATGTTTGTTTTAATTTGGGAGCCTAAGTGAGGGCTTCATGAGGAGAGAGGAGATTCCCCTCTCATGTTGTTGAGAATGGGATGGGTCTTGTACATTGCTTGCGTGAAGTTTGCGGTACTGGTGTATTTGTATTCGTCATGGATTGTCTATTTATATTTGTTCGAGCAGATAGTTTGCTAAAAGAGGTTCTGGACTGGGTCCATGATGGGGCTTAAACTTTGCAGTGCATCAGAGAAACGTACGTATCGACAGCCCTTAGAGACAGATGCTTGTTCCTGCAAGATATCAGAACAGGCGGAGAAATAATACAGCTGTATAAAATATATGCAGACAAGGAAAACATGACTGAACGAAGAAGGATGCATTCTGTTCGGCCTCTGTTCACCTTCTTGAGACATCCTGATATAGACGTGTTCACTGCGCCCTTGTTGAAGCCAATTACCTGGGTGCATGTAGGTTTCTACACCTTTTACGCTATTAGTAGTAATTCTTGGCTTTTGGCTTTTGGTAAGCAAGGTACTGAACCCAATCCAGCATCCCGTAAAATAACATGCTTTGTACTCTGTATCGAGCAGCGACTCAGGTGGCGGCGGCGACACACAGAATAAGCCATCGGCCCAAAATCCCACAGCACTAAATGAAACGGTCCCTGGCGGCCCGGCGCCTTAAATGCGGAGCAGAAGAGGAGCTTGGCGATCTACGGTAGGTGCTGTAACATCTCTTCATCTTGGGTTGTATCACGTCGAGCTCGACCTGCTTGTGTTGTGTTTCCTCATCTTGGGATACCCTCATCACCAGCGGCATCAAACTACCATCACATCTACTCCGTACAGCAGACTCGCATCCTCCTGCAGGCGCTTTCGGGAACCAACACGAACCTGATGACGGCAATCATCCGCTAGCATCCTCTGTCGAGCATCCGTGCGTTGAAAAGCTCAATCCCACTTCCCTTCCCTTCTCTTCCCCTCCCTTGCATCCCGCGCCTCCACCAATACAACGGCAAGGATTCTGGTTGCATTTTGGGCCCAAGGCGCAGCGGCTACAGCAATATTCCCTGTCCCCCCAACATGCCCCAGCGTTTCGGCAGCTTGAATCAAAACCTATTGAATTGACATCCATTCCATTCCAGACCTTGAGCTCTCATGAAGCTGGGCTGCTACTCCTAAATAATGTACTTCATCCGCGCAAACACAGGGCATGTGCTCTATATGCTGTAGAACCTGTAGAACCAGATCCATCACTCTCACCCCCCTGTAGATGATCAACCGGCATCAAACACACAGAATGGCTGCATCGTATCGCACAAGCAATCGCTAGCCCCCCAGAGCTGAACAGGCAAAGACGCGAATCAAGCAGCAAATGTGCCGCATCGCATCACGGCCCGTGTTCCGCCTGGCAATTCATTGGCCCGCCTCTCCTCAGACCTCCAAACAATGCCGCCAGCCACCATCCATTTTGTTGTTGTTTTGTTTCTTCTCTTGTCCTCTGCTATTTTGCATCCCCCTCCCAATCTGATCTTGTCTGTCTCGTCTCGTCTCGTCTCGTCTTGCCTTGTCCTTTCTCTTGCTCTCCTTCTTATCCATCTACCAGATAATACTGTGCAAATACGAAGAGCAGAAGCTGCAAGCAATATTACGCTCACGCACGCACAGACCCCCCCTGCATCTGTCTTGATTGCCTCGTCATCCGATCCTGCATACGGTCGGCACTCGTACTTTCGTGCAGACGTGGGAAGCCAAGATTGGGGCTCACGTGGGAAGCAAAAGCGCCGACCATTGATTGACAGCTGATTGATTGATTGATTGCCCTGCCACGCCAAATCGCTGCCCTGGCCCAGCCAGCTCTTCTATTTTCAGCTGTGCCCTCCTCTCTTCTTCTGCTGTGCTGCATCTCTCCAGTGGTGCAAGGGCCTATTAGTTAGCCGTGCTTCTTCTTTTTCTTCTTCTTCTCCGTCTTCGTTTCCCATGTAACCCTCTTTAGCAGCTGTTCTGCTCTCTTCCATTGTTCCTTTTTCCCCTCTACGAACCATTTAATTCTTCCCTTGTCCTCGTCCAAATGACAAGAGGCGGCTGTCCAAGCTCTTATGTCATCGTCCAGATGGTGGCCCGGGCGGTGGGCTGGATGACGAGCGTCACAACGTTGGTGATTCTGGCCTTCATCATCAACCAATGGGTAGACAAGGGCGGTGCCATCGCTGCTGGCCTCGTGGGAGTGAGTCTGTTCCGAGCGAAGGAATCCCATCATCACCATCGTCTGACCTGAATCTAAACGCTACAGTCCGCCATCGCCATCCTCAACGACTCGTGGATCGTTGTCGCCAAGCTCGATCGTTCCCTCGGCTTCCAGCCACTGTCGCCAGCCCGTGCTCTCCTCCACGATCTCTTTTCGCTAGCCATCTCCCTCGGCGGCATCGTCATGATTATTTTCTCGCGCTACACATACCAGGCCGACGGGTTTGCCGCTCTCGACAGTGACTCGTCGCCTCAGATCACAGGCTCGGTGGGAGAAACCGACGTCATCAGCAGAGAGGGCTTTTCGCAGAACAAGATGCTGGCTGTTGGGGTGTGGATGCTCACGGCCGTCGTGTGAGTATTGCTGAGCACAGGCTCTTGGTGGGATGTGCCATGGTCGCTGACAGGCAAACAGGATATGGAGATTTATATTCATCATCTGGGGCGGATTCGAGTGCTTCTTCGAGTTCCGACATGTTCATCATACGCGACCCCGGCGGCGAGAGCGACGAGAAATGATTCAAGTATAAGAAAGGCCTTGGTGGCTACATACATGCATTTATTTGGCGTTTTACGGTTAAATTACTGGAGTTTGGAAGGGTTTTCAGGGCATGGTGCTATGGCAGGCAGGATCATGGATTTTTCGTTGTACACATCAAGCAGCAGCTGATATACCCTCATGTGATGATCAAAAGAGCTCATGGCTGTTTTATTGCCTAGCTCTTGGGACGGGCATTGCGCACATGGAATTCTGAAATAAAACAAAAGAATGGATTTGTTAAGCATCCGTCATGACACCTCCCGTAGAAGCTGTCCACATATTATTTGTCCAACGTCTATACAATCGCGAAAAAAAGAAAACAATTTGTTAAATACCCCATCACTCCTGTCTCCTAGCTTTTGCCTGGCTGCTGTTGATGAAGTAGTACACCGGTAAAAACAAAATTGAGCCAACCACACTCAGAGCCGTGCTATACAGCTGCCACAGAAACACCAGCAGCGGCCCGAGATACGGCACCACAAAGGCCACAAAGTCGTTTGTCTGGTACAAATCTTCTTGACTGGCGATGTAGTATCTCAACCTCTCCTGTCCCGGACCCGCCAGAGCAGACGAATTTCGACCGTCTGGTTGGAATTTTGGCGCCAATTGTCCCGGCTCCGACGAGGATCCCTGGGCGAGGCGCAAGACGGAGAGAAGCTTGACGGACGAGCTGTGGAAGGGGATGAACCAGATGGAAAATGTCTGGCGGATCGAGACATACAAGGTGCTGTTGCGCTGATCGAACACTGCGGCTCCAGGTTAGCACATGGGCACACCGCTAATCCTTGCGACACAGCCAGAGTACAGTATCATACCATGTAGAGAACGGAGTAGATTCAGCAAACTTACCAGAGGAATCGACGGTGAGGACGATTTTCGGGCTGAGCGTGCGATACCAGCGATAAATACCCAGAATGAGCCAGCGCGAGTCCAGATCCCTGGCCAGCGGAATGGAGCCCTTTGAGATGGACGGGACGCGGCAAAAGGGGTGGATGAAGGCTGCGTTGGAGAGGAAATACGTGTTGAGCGTGTCCTGCTGCTGCTGCGGCGAGCCCTTGGTGAGAGTCTCGATGACGGAGGCGATTTCTTGGACTGGGAAAGCAGGTTTAGTTATTAGTAATGATGATGGCGAGGAGGAATAGAAATAAATAAATACCTGGATTCTCCATGATGCTGCTTGGTGTTGTTCTATTGTTCTATCCGCGAACAAACAATTACACAAGTTGGTTGGCGGAATTGAGATGAAAGTTGTTGCATGAAGAGTGCAGATTCCGCGTCTATGATTTATTTACGACTCATTATTTTTGCTGCGCTTTTGTTTCAGGGATCTGATCCTGCTAGCTCAGGATTCAGCGGAATCACATGCAAAATCGCAGCGTCGCTCATCATCTCATGCCAGAAATGGATCCATGAGTTCATTCCGTGTGGGGAGCCTCTCTTTGCGGCCCGTGACGTCACCATCACGATTGGTTTATGCATTCAATAAAGATGATGAAAAGGGATATAAAAGATGTGATTCTTCTATTTCAATTTTCAACTATTCCGGCTTTCATGTCGCATAATATTGTGTTGCCGAAACTCATCGTGATTGCCTGAAACTCGCCATCATGCCTCAAAGCTCGGGCATCGTGAACCCGCTCTTCCATCCGCTGCTCTTCCTCTACCAGCTGCTGCAATGGATCCTCGATAAAGCTCTTTCGCCGAACCCTCCTCGCCAAAATGACCAATTGAAGCGTCCTAAGATTGCCATTATCGGGGCTGGACTGACGGGTGTTTCGGCGGCTGCTCATTGCGTGGGCCATGGCTTTGACGTGACCATTTTTGAGGCCGGTTCGAGGGATCGACTCGGCGGCATTTGGAGCGTGGGTTATTACAGATGAAAGACTTGAAAAGAGGTCAATTGGCTGATTCATAGATATAGAGAGTCAATGACACATCTGGCCTCCAAATTCACTCCGTCATGTACCGCTTCCATCCCTCCGTCAAGTGGGAGCGCGGCTATCCCAATCGCAAGCAGATTGTCGGCCAAATCGAGCAACTCTGGAAGCGCTATGATTTGGAAAAGAAGACCAAGTTCGATACCAAAGTCAAGGGTCTCAAACAAGACGATCAAGGTCGATGGCTCGTCAACAATGACCCTTCACTTGGACAGTTTGACGGCTTGATCGCGGCCATTGGAACTTGTGGTGACGCCAAGATGCCGCATATCCCGGGCATGGAAGAATTTAAAGGAGAGATTTATCACTCGAGTGATCTGACGGGGTAAGTCATAAAAGATCAGATTGTAATTGACATGGATTGGAACTTATGACTAACACCACCGTAGAAAAGATGCCAAGGACAAGCACGTCGCCATCATCGGAGGAGGTGCATCAGCTGTGGAAGCTCTCGAATTTGCCTTTACTGCCGGAGCAGCCAAAGTATCCATCCTTTCTCGATCTGACAAATGGATCATCCCACGAAACATGATTGTAGACACATTGCTCAGCCTCAACATCTTTGGTCAAGAGACTCTCTTTTCCTTCATCCCCGAGTTTCTCCTCCGCAAGCTATTTTATCGAGATCTCGAAGATTTAGCTCCTACCCACGACAAGGGCATCTTCATGGGCACGCCAATGGTCAACTCAGACGTCATGGACAAGCTGCGTCAAGGCAAGGCAGAATGGGTCCGCGGCGATATTCTCGGCTTCACCAGCCGCGGAGTCACAGTCAACCGCCGCTCCCGAGGCGTTCCCAAAGACGGCCCCGGCCACGAAGAGCTCATCAAGGCCGACATTGTCGTCATGGCCACGGGCTTCAAGCGGCCGTCGCTGGCGATTCTCCCCGACGACTGCTTCGGCGACCCGTACGGCCCGCCAAACTGGTATCTGCAGACGTTCCCCCCCGCGCATCCGTCCGTCTCGGCCATCAACTCGACTTTTGTCGAAGCCATTGGAACTGTTGGAAACTGGCACATCGGCATCTACACACGCATTCTCCTCATGTTCCTGCTGGACCCCCTGACGCGGCCGAGTCGATGGTGGATGGAGCGCTGGATCGACATGACGCGCACACTCAAGAAGCTCAGCCCAACGGGAGCGTTTGACTTTTTCACGTATCTGGAGCTCGTCTGGTGGTTCGTGTTTTGCGTGGCGTTTAACCCGTTTCGCTGGAAGTGGGCGCTGTTTGTGTTTACCGGGGTGGGCATTGGGATTCCGAATGCGATTATTGCGCAGGAGAAGAAGATTATGAATAGAGAAGGATACCAGAATAGAGATGAGGGTGTCAGCTTTTAAAGGAGGATGATGATATTTATAAAGGGGAGATGGCATATCAATATGGTTTATAGCTGTACTTCATTAGGGCCGAAAATGGCTACGAGATAGAATGACTGAAAATGATTCAAAGCATGTGTACGTTGAATGATAGAACGGGTGTTTGAATATGTAGATTCAAGCGTCTCTCTACAATATATACAGCCATTAGCAAGGGCAATCACTGCTCAGTCCATCACCAACCAAGCAACAATCACTCCCTCACCCACCACAACACTTATAGGTTTCCCACTCAGCCGAAGACCTTGTCCAGAATCTTTTCGAACCCGTTCCTATACACCAAATCTGTCAATATTGCAATACAAAGACGGTGGAGAGGACGAATAGAAACATACCTTGGGGGAGTGGGAATGTAGTTTCTCTGGTACTCTTCAATCTCATCCACATCTTTAAAGAGGTCCACCTCCTCAGGCTTGTGGATCTTCGTCTTGCGCACGAATTTGTAGCCAAAGTATAACACTGGGTATACAAAAATCATGGAGTAGCTACCAGCGGAATCAAGTTAGCCATCTCCTCACTCAATACGTTGTCTCATCATATACTCACGAGAACAAAAAGTCGGCAATGTTCCAGTAGCCAGGCAACGGCAGGAAGACGGTATATCCACCCACAAAAGCCATCACAAACGTCCAAGCCATCGCATACCAAGCCGCGTAGGGCATGAACCACGCCTTATAAGGCAACGAATCACGACTGATCCCCTGTGCCTTGAGAGCCCGGTGGAAGCACAAGTACGACACGCACACGGCGCAAAAGTTGATGAGCTGCGAGGCCGTCACGAGTGACACAAACCAGTTCAGCACCACGGCCGTGTTCGACGACAGCTGAAGGAACGAAAGAAGAGCAAAGAGCAGGACGAAGCCAACGCAGTAGACCGGAACTCCGGCCTTGGTGCAGGTTGTCAGAAACCTCGGCGCTTTTCCCTCCAACGCGAGGCCATACAGGGATCGAGAGGCGCAGTAGACGTACGAGTTTCCGGCTGAAAAGGCAGCCGTCAGGACAGCGGCATTGACAAAATGAGGCAAGACGTTGATTCCAAGACGGTTCATGGCGACGACGTAGGGAGAAGCAGCAGCGCCTGGTTTTGAACTCGCAAAGGCCGCAATCAACTCCTTGTCGTTATACGGAACCAGAATGCCCACACACAGCGATCCCAGGATGAAGAAAGCCGTCAGCCGGTAAAACACGGCGTTATACGCCCTCGGCATCACAGCACGCGGGTTCTCTGCCTCGCCCGCCGCCATGGAGACGTAATCCGGCCCAGCAATGGTAAACGCCGCCTGAATGAGACACTGCAGAAAGCCCAGCCATCGACCCAAGTTGCCCTCGTAGTACAGCTCCGCAAAGGACCCTGGCTCGTTCCAGAAGCGGAATCCGAAGCGGTCGTGCTTTGGGTTCCCGCCCAGCATCACGATGAACGTGAAGATGATGAGGCCAACGATGAGCACTACTTTGCCAATCGCCGCCCAGAACTCGGTCTCGCCATACCATTTCACCGCCAGGACATTAATGAGGGCATACAGCACAATGACAATTGCAATGAAAGCGCCAGTGGGAATCGCATCGGTCCAGTAGCGAATGATAAAGTTGCACGCCGTCACTTCAAACGGCACCAGCGCGGCTTCAAAGATGAAGAAGTTCCATCCCGTGGCAAACCCAAAGGCCTCGTCGACGTAGCGGCCTGCGAATCGGATAAAGGGCGACGAGATGGGCAGATAGGTGACCATTTCGGCCATGCACAGCGTTACGGCGAGGACAATGGTGCACCAGAAGCTGAAGGCAATGAACAAACTGCCGGGTCCGCCATTGAGGATACCTTTTCCGATTTGAACCTAGACAAGAGAATAAGTACAAAGTATGAATTACTCGAATATGTTTCTTTGGTGTTTGTTTTGCTCAGGGGAGAGACGGAGGGCCGGGAAGAAAAGACATGTACACTTTTGTACAGTACGCACATAGAGAGCGGTGCCAATAGTACCTCCAATGCCAATGAGCTGGATGTGCCTGGCCTTGAGCTGTCGGTGAGTCGTATTTCGCTTCGTGTCGCCGGAGGATATGGAGATTCGGATGCCGTCGAGAGATTCCGCGCGGTTCGTGGTAACGCCGCCCTTGTCGGCCTGTCCTTTTTCATGGCCATTGTACGCTGGGGGGCCAATGGGGGACGCCATGACGCTGAATTGCTGTCTGCTTCGATATACTCTATCCAATTGCTGTATCTTTTTATACACGATTCAGAGCCGGTATGGCGGAGAAGCAATAATCGGACTTCCGTTTCAAGACGCTAGAATTGAGAGTGGCTATATCGCGTGCAATTGGGTGGACGCAAATTGATTCCAAGACCCAAAGGTCAAGGAAGAAGAGGGGATTTCGAGGCACACAGAAACCGTGTACACCACGAGAGAGCAGAAGAAGCAGCTAATATGATGCTCCCCGACTCTTTCAGCGGATGGACTTGAGAAGAAGAGAGAAGAACTCGACTACGAATTCCATTCGTCGCGACTTTTTCCTCTTTCTATTCAGCAAATGATTTGGTTGAGGGAGAAGCAGCAAGCTGTAGTAATATCCTCCCAGCTAGACTAAATCAATCAGAACTGAGTAAACAGAGACACACAGCAGGTCGTACAAAACCGGGCAGAAAGAGGACCAAGACCAACAAAAAGCTGAGACACACGGGCTAGTTGGTGTATTTATTCCCCCAGTTCGTTTCCCGTTTTTGCTTCCTAGAGCCGAGCCGAACTAGCTTTTGCGGGTCTTTTCGTGGGCCGAGCTTCTCACCAACATGAGAGACATTGCATGGATGCTTGATGTTATCTTTTAGCTTCTGAAAGCGGCCTGGTCGAGGCTATGCCAAGGATCAAGGCTGCATTTGAATGGTTGACGGGTCCGTTTTGAGACATGACATGACATTTGGCTTTGGACGTGTATTTTTGGCCGCAATCATGCTGGGAGGGCTGGGAGGCTGGGAGGGTGTAAAAGAGGCTCGAGTTCCCCGCAAATGACCATTCCGGCGATCAATACAAGGATCTAGATCTCTTCCACTCATCATTGTAGATTTGCTAGTGAATCCTCTTGAAGAAATGCCGTCTCTCAATTTCTTTCCTTTTTTTTTTTCAATCTAATTCAGTCGATTCAGTGGCATTGAAAATTTGTCAAAAACCGTTGGCCGTCTCTGCAGACTAATGCACCCCCTAGTCTTAGTCCCTCGCTGATCTTGAAGAAGTTGGGGGAGCAAGCGGATATCAAAAAAACCGAGACTTGGCAGACGATCAGCACACAAACTCAGATGGCACGCACACAAAGTGGCGGCATCCCTGCTTAGTAGTGTTGCGCATATTGCTCCAGTGTACGCACGTATTCATTTTGCGGTCTCTATTTTTCTGATACCCACTTGGGGAGCAACAAGCGTGGGGTCAAAAGCCATAAGCCCATTTGATTTGATCTACCCCCAAGAGGCTACGGGCATGTCCAAGAAGAGTAAAAAGGCATGTCATGTCATGACGGGCAGCAAGTCGCTGACAGGTGACGCTTCCATGTAAGGCCATCCTCCACAGACTCACGATATTCCCCCAATCAACACCATGAATTCACGAATACTCTCCACCAAATCCAATCTCGAGCGTCATGCAGCCTCGGCTCAATGGAATCGCCAATGACATCACCTCGGCCCCGTATTCCGTTAACTGGGTCAAGCTGTCTCCGCTCCACCATGGCCTGTTTTGATAAATTAATATAGCGGTGGCATTTTCTGCATGTTTATGCTTTGTGGGCAGCTTTACACGCAAACACAGAGTTCGCCCACAACCATATCACACGACAAACCAAATGCCAATTAAGATTTGAACATGTCTCTCGATGCGAATGCTTCCACTATGCTAATACGTGAAACAAACCCTTGGTTGATACCTTGACGGCTAGTCAAAGGACCTGTATTACATCATTCAGGGCTGCTTTTGACGCCCTCAAGATGTACCACGGTGAGGCCACTCCACGTAAGCTCGCAATTTTGTCAGGCTGCGCCAGGTGTCCGAGTTATGCCTCAACAGCCTTACAAAAGGTGTTTGGTGTCAGGAAAGGGGAGATATTCTTTAAATGACCGCCACGTATCACTTAAAACGTAAGGCCCCAGTTAGATTTTAGTCATGGAAGTCGGTCAATACACGTATCGATCAAATATTAATGGCCAAGGCCTCCAGTGTGGCGCGCTCTGCCAAAGTAACAACAAAGTAAATTACTGTTGCTTTCCGCTTTTTTTTTTAGCTCATCCGTTCATTAGTTGGAATTGTTATTATATGTATAGCATTTCTCGCTGCCGTTCAAGTAAACCAATGGCTCCCTAATATACTCTCTCCTCTCATCACCTACGCACTGCTGACTTACCGCATCTCCGATCTCTAATGCTAAAATCACCACAATGTCGGATCCAACGACTACTACACGCGCATCTTGGATGAATTTTCCAGTGGAGCTGCGAATCATGATTTTAAAACAGTTATTTTTAATATCCTACACACGAAAACAAAGGGATTCTCAAGAAGACAACCGCAAACGAGCCGCTTATGCTGCTGTTTCTCCAGAATGGAAGTATTACTTTGAGGCCAAGAGTTTCTTACATCTTACCTTACATCAGTCAGATCTCCCAGACTTTGGCAAGATCGTGCAACGTGATAACCGTCAAATATTTGTGAATTTCATCTGCCTGCGCTTACAACTCCCCGAATATGACTGCAGTAAATGCAGAGAACGAGAATCGCCCGAGGAAGTCAGAGCGAATCAAAGTCTCTTCACAAACGCAGTTTGGCAACTATTCTCAATATTATCTACTTGGATGGAGCAGAGAAAAATTGGATTGGAGCTCAGTGTTCATTCTCCAAGCGACGCACTACACTATTGCCAGGAGCTCAAAGGCCGCATCCGTGATAACGTGACGGTTGTCCCTAGATACAGGAAATCCACCACAAAGAGAAAGAGTACTCACGGCTGGAGGCGAGGGAGACAAGTTCATTTCCCCCCTGAAAATGCTAAACTCAGAGTCTTTGGACATCCTAACGGGCTAGGCTTCGATCTGCAAACACCGCTGGCCCAGAAGTTACGAGCTCTCCCCAAGGTTAACGCAGTAAACTGGTTACTTATTCGTCGGCAATTCTATCGCCATTTCTCTATACCAAATGCCTTGGGGCCAATGATTAAAAGCCTAACTTGCCTTGAAACATTTCAATATGAACCATGGCAGGGAATTAATACAAGCGATCTTACGGGTCGAGAGATACGAGATGAAGAGCATAACTATTTATTCCTCGACATTTTACAACACCACAAAAGTTTACGAAAGTTGTCAATGTTTGAGAGTTTCAGCTCCGCCTTACACGGCCCTGGTAAAAGAGAACCATCTCCAGTATTAGGCCACAGTCTTGCAAAAGCAAGTCGCAAGTGGGAAAGTATATATGCCGCAATTAACATTGATGCCAAGGATTTCTTCCATGCTTTTTTCCCAAACCAGAGCCCAGAAATTAGCATGTCATGGAACAATCTGATGCATATATGCCTTTCCTCCGAACTACTTACCCCTGCCTCCTATGATAGATTGATCCAAGCCGCAGCCGCAGCCGCACTTAGGATGCCAAAGCTCAGGTGCATGGAGCTGTGGAATAGCGGTACGCATACCTCGTGTATATTTAGATACTTTCCGATGACCGATAGACGACGGCATATACAGCTACTAAGCACCTGGAACGGGCGACTTAGTTTACAAGCAATTGCATGCTGGCGGGAGGTAGCAGGGCATGTTGACAGTGAGCTAGGCGTACACTCGCATTACCTTGATTCGAATGTGTTTGACAGTTATGCCTCCGTTCTTCAATACTTATATCTGCGGGAGGGCCTCCTACATATCACATCATTGTATCAGGTGGCGGCCCAGCTCTAGATGTATTAACCTTGTTTGTTGACTATTCTCTACAACAGCTTATAGCGGCTTTATCGTTCTCTCCAGCTTACACTACAAACACGAATCTTGTTTCTCGAGTGGCTATAATATGGGGAGTGACTATTCAGCACCCCAAGTTCGCTATTCAGCAACCCATTCTTGACTTTAAAGCAGCCTGGGTAGTAATAATAGCAGATATTAGAGGTATATATGGATAGTAGCAGAGAGTAGCGATAGTAGCAGATACTCTAGGAACTGTATAATATCTATCTAAGTAACGGCGATAAGAGATCTTCATTTACGTCGTTACTCCATTCGGAACTCCTCTTAGCCGCTGGGGTGCTGGATAGCCAGCTTGGGGTGTTAAATAGCCCTTCCCAAATATGTTACTGGACAAAATAAATACCAATGATCACTATCCTGATTCAATTGTGGTGTGAGAATACATAAAAGGAAAAAAAGAGAAAGCTATTTCAACATCTAGATATAGCGTACAACTGTAAGGAACTGGTAGGTATAGTATTCACTCAGCTCCTCTCTCTCAAATCACACATCGGATACACAACACACATTTTTGTTTGCTGCCACCCAAAACAAATGAAAATCGGCATCTTGTCGGCCGGTGATGCTGGGAAAATACATATAGAAAAAAAAGAAAACCATCCAAATTCATCTTGATAACAAAGAAAAGGAAAAAGAAACAATAGAGGGTATCGTCTAAGCACTGCTCCGCCCACTTCGCAATGACATCTTACAGCTCGTCCCTTCCATGCTTTGCAGCGTCGGTTGCCTTGCTTGCCATACTTCCCACCTTTTCACCCACTGATCCAGCGGCCGCACTAGCTTCGCTCGCCAGGCTTGCCATGTTCTGCGTCGCCGTTGCATACGCCGCTTGAAGTCTTGATAATACACTCTCCGTGAAAGGCGCCTCCCGACCAACAATCAGCTCCGAAACCAGCTCGCTCACAGACTCGTATTCCTTTGAAGCACCAGCGGATGCAGTTTGCGTGGCTTTGCCAATAGCTGAAGTAGCACTCGCCACAACCGCCTGCGCATCCGATACCAAACCATCGTACCACCCAATGGCTGCCGGGGTTGGCTGGCCATATACATCAATGCTTAGTTGGCTAATGACCGTTCCCCATGTCTCACCAATGGCTACCCCGGCGTTGTAAATCTGTTCAGTCGCAGCATCGTGTAAAGAAGAAATAGATTCGTCGACAGCTTCGACCGCAGAAGCAACATTCTCACTCGCCTTGGAGTAGGCAGATTCGGCAGCCTTTCCCGCAGCAGAAACCATTGAAATTGCAGAGTCGGCGAAAGCTTTGGGTGTGGGCGTCGGTGTGGCTGTTAGTGAGGACCATGCTGAAGACGCAGCAGATATAAAGTTGTTATAACGATCGTGAGCCATCCCGATTCCAGCGTAATAGTTGTACTTGGCCTGTTCGTAATACTTTTCGGCCACAGAAGTTGGAGTAGGGGTTGCAGTTGCTAATCCAAGGGCAATCAAGGCACTCTGGTACTGAAGCTCAGCCCACAGTTTACCCTCATTCAGGCGCTCAGCAGCAATCGATTCCACATGCCTCCAGTGTGCCAGTGTCGGGGTGGCCTGAGTAGCCGTCGGCGTGCCATAGACTCCAGCTGATGCTGCATCGACAACTTCTTTGAATCTTGAGCTCGCCGCAGCGACTGCCTGGTCGTAAGCGGCCGATACCGAAGAAAGGAGTTGGTTCTGAACAGCCGGGGTCGGGGTACCATGGACCTGGGCGGAAATGATGGACGATGCACTCGAATACTGGCCAGATGCCAGAGAAATCGCGCTGGAATAGGCTGCCTCGGCGGCTTTAGTCGCGCTAGATAGGAAATTATCGTCAGTTTCATCGTCCTCGTCCTCGTCCAAGATGGGTTGCCGGCCAGAGACTACCTGAGCGGCCGCGCCGAGAAAAGTTGCCTTGACGGAAGTAGAATCATGGTCCAAAGTCAATTCATCTTGTTGCCATGAGGTCTCGTCCTCATCCAGAAGCTCAGCCTCGGATTCCAACACGGACTCGGTAGTTTCTTCAGCCTGGGATTCCAGTACAGTTTCGGTAGTCGCAGCGCTAGGGGTTGTGGAAGGCTCCTTCAAAACAACCGAGCTAGATTCTTCATTGTCATGTTGAACAGAGACCTCGGGCGTTTCAAGCTCAACCTCAGGCTCTACGATTTCGTCATCTAGAGATTCCGGAACTTCGTCGTTCTGGCTGGTAAGTGGCTGCTGGGCTTTATCGTTGAGGTCAGCATGCTCCACAACATGTTCAAAGATATTCGAGCTGGCCTCATCCACGATGGGAAGTTCCTCACTTGAATCCACGTCTGGCGATTGCTCGTCCACAACGGCATCATCAATGGGTTCATCAGTAGAATCAGACTCCAATGACGGCGTGGTTTCATCAGCTGTTTCTGTTGTCACCTCTTCTGGAACTGCATCAGAGACAGCATCCTCATCTCCCTGCTCGTGATTCTCCGAGGTGGCCTCATCCTCAGGCACAACAGGGTTCAGCGCAGCGTCTGCCGCTTTCTCCATCGCCTCAGTGTCAAAATTCTCGGTAGCATCATTTGCGACAAGCTTCCACTGAGCAACTTGCTTAAGGCGAGCAAGCTCCTTGGCAGCACCAGACGCAATTGCCATTCCATCATCCTCAACCAGAGCTGCAGCATCCTGTGCTTGAAGCAGCGTAGGGTGAGTGACGATGAGATGTTTCAGCTCTTCGGTCCACTCTGTCAGCGTCTGTTTCAACTCGTGGTACTTTGCCCAGTCTTTGTAGGTAACACCATCGGTCCAGGCCCACTTCATTCCGAGTTGCTGCAGCGCGAGATTCCTAGTCTCGTCAAGGATCTGAAAGTGCACGTCGGCGGCTCTGAGAACCCTGTATTCCAAATCATCATCGTAATCTTCACGCCAGGATCTAATTTCTTGCGCGGCCGTCTTGACGGCTAAGCCGGCAGCTCGGACAGCGGCAATGACTTGCTCTTGAGCATCGTCAAGCGGGCTGGCAGCATTTTCTGCAACGATACTAGAAATCTTCGCCTTGAGACGGTCGGTCTCCGACTCGACTGTGGCCTGGAGCTTCTTGACAAGAGGTTTGCCTTTGGCGAGAATCTCATCCACAACCATGCGATTCGCAATCTCATCGATTCGGTCCTCCATATCGGCAGCGCCTTCATCGGCCTGGGCAGCAAATTTATTCTGCCACATCTCAAGGTCCTGCGCCACCATCTCACGGGCGTTCCTTCTTTGCTCTGTCTCGTTTTCCGCAGCAAGAGGGGCTTGCACAGGGTTCCAGTATGATTCTGTTGCCGGTTGCTGCTCAACACTAGAGCTCGGGGTGGACACAACATATTCGGAAGCTGTTGTGCTTGGCGATTGTGCGCCTTGCGGGGATGGCTTGCTAAAGGACGAGTATCGTGGTGGCTCAGTAGTCGTTTTCCGTTTTCTAAACACATGTTAGACGACACGAAGAGAAGCTAGAATTGGATATGGCACTTACGTAGTAGACGACGTCACTTCAGGAAGGACCTTGGTCCTCGCTCGGTTCTTGTACCGTTCCAAGCGCTCGCCAATTCGAACGAGCTGAGGCTCTACGTTCTCGACATAGACCATTCGAATCTGGGGCCACACGGCCCTGTTGAGAAAGGCGTTGATCCTTGCCCAGACCCATTGAGCAGCAGGCAGTGCCGTGCCGGTAGTGAAGTTCGAGGCCGCGTTGTAGCCTTGATGGGCATAGGGCTGCACCAGGTCGTATGTCGGCAGCAAAACATCGTTGTACAATTGGAGAGAATTGGTTCGGCCGACTTCGTAGTAGGGTCCAAAGACCTCGCCTACGCGCTCCAGGTGTGGAGCAATGGTTTCCTCGTACTGCTTCTGAGACAGAGCGCGCAGCTGAGCTACCTGAGGCTGGCCGTGCTTCTCCCATTGAGCCCAAGCTTGTTCCTGGCCCTTTTCAACCCACGGTCCACCGTAGACGCGCACCGGTGTGAGGACGTTGGAGTTGACAACTTGGTAGTAAGGCCGCGCAAAGTCCACATATGGCGCAACGAATTGCTCGTAGTAAGGCAGCGTGTATGGGGCGACGGCGGCTTTGGCCTGGAAATACGGCTTGCAGATGAAGGGAGAGTCTTGGTCGCATTCCTCGAGGGTAGAAGGGCAGCGGAACAGGAGCGTGAGAATAAAGGACCAGGTCGCAAGTCTGTGGATGCAATCATCAGCACATGTTGATTCCCCGCGCATGACAAGCTGCAGGAAGCCAGCAGCGACAAAGAGGCGCATCGCAGCGGCGGAAGAAACAACAATTGAGGCTGTCCATGAGAAAAACATCGAGGGCCGACAACTTACCTAGCAACCGTCCCCCATAGCCAGGCCAAGAAGCCGCGGTGTTGTCGTGCAGCGTATTTCTTGCCTGCTGTTTGGCCGTTCATCTTGCCGTTCACATGCGAGGAGCCGTTGCCCGGCTTGAGGCCGCTGGACTCGGCCATGAGAAAAGAGTAGGCTCTGTCAAAGTCGTACTACGGAGAATTGTTCAGTCGAAAGGGACGAGAGCGACGAAGATGATGGGGAAAGTTGAAAAGAAGAACGAAAGTTGAGATTAAAATGCAAGAAAGAAAAGAAAAGAACCCAAAAAAAAAGAAGCCAGCTTAGAATAGAAGACAACGGACGGACTAGCGGTGCTGGCAGAAGTACCTACCCTATTTCTAGTGGACTGGTGATGTAGCCTAGCAGGTAGCATTTCTGTGGATGGGGGCGCCCCGTAAAGTAGCGGCAGGGTATCGTGGCCCCAGATATCCTTGTGGAGGTACCTCATGATACCGCGGGGCACGGGTTTCGTTTCGCTGGCCCACCCCTGGAGCTGAAGGGGAATTTATGAGTATGTCGCAGGGAGAGAAAACAGGATCAAGGCGGATCGCGGCAAAACACAAGAGGCCGTTTCAGCGCGGGCCTTGACACGAAACACAATTCGGGGCCTTGCTTCAGGGGATTAGTCCGTGTGTCAGGGAGTTTTGGCTCGGTGTTAGTTGGGTCTGGCATCAATGAGGACACGGAAATGCTGTGCCGTGCAGGATGGGATGTCCATGCCAGCTGCGAGCTTTATATGCCTGTGCTGTGAATGACACCAATCCATTTGGGCAAAACCCGCAAACAGGAGGCGATCGTCCATCTTTGTTTTCAAGACAAAGAAACACAAAAAATAAAATAAAATTAAAAACAATGTGCGCCTCTTCACTGGGACACGTCATAGCGCTGGCAAGAAGCTTGTTTTTGGTTGCCGTCGACATCAACGATCCAACAGCCTCGCATGGCTTGGAGACATGAAACAGGGTCGTTATTGGACCACCCATGGCCACTAGGCTGTAGATCCGCCATCATCACGGCGAATGGGTGTGGCCAACCTTGCCAACGAAGGCTGTGATGCGCGGTCCGTGGATTGGACAAGATGGACGACGCTGCTGATAAGAGGGTTGCGGGAGACATTACGTAGAGTAGATGCAGTAGATGTGGTAGATGGTAGATGTGGCTAGGCAGAGTAGACATAGTAGCAGCAGTAGATGGAGTAGATAAAGTAGATATAAACAGATCTAGATAGATAGAGTAGCTGCTCGGGAGATGGCACACAGATGGGCGCATGCGGAAAGAAAGATGTAAATTCTAAATACATCATGTTTAATTAAAATGAGGATGCACAGTGACTTGAATGGTGGCAAACAAACAACATATCCAACTCGCATACGATATCTTCCACTCACAGCCTAGAGAAACAAGCTTGGACTCAATGGGAGAAGCACGGCCAACTCGGTAGTGCAATTCTCTTATATTTACTCTTAATGAAAAATTATGAAGAAAAGAAAAAAAAAACAAATTGTACGACACCAATAATAAGTCCTCATCCATCTCCACGTGTAGTGCAGCTTTGATGCCTGCAGAGCTGCAACACTGGGAGATGACGATATTGGCTCCAAGGTGGCAACATGGTACCACTTTGCGAAACCTTGTTTCCCATCTCCGAAGCGGCTTCAGAGTAATGGTGCAATAGCATAGGTACAAACTTGCCGCTGTCATTCCTTAGAGTTTAGTACAGCCATCAACCCAACAACTTTTCAACGAAGACGAGACAAAAGTACACGCGGCAGTCAACGCCATCAAAGCGGCGTGACAGAAGCCACAAGCAAACACCATGGCGGGTATTGGAGATTGGTTATTTGCCTGGCCTTGCAGATGAGTTGATCGGAATATCAATTTGATTGTGTGTATAGCATGACGTATCTACCTAGGTACTCAATCTCTCTGTATTGACTCCATCTACTCATGTTTACACCCATTTACTTTCATATACTCATCCATTTATGTCTATCCACCTCTTTTCTACTCTGTATACCTATTTCTACTAGATCTACCTATTTCTACTAGATCTACTTATTTCTACTAGATCTACTTTCGTCTACTACATAGATTTACATCTATTACCTCCTTGTCATACCAAACAAATGCATCTCCTCTTGTCGCTGAAACACACATCTTACCTCATCCCCAGCAGGTTTACTAATATGGCGAATACCTTTGTCTAACAAAAGTCAGACTGCAGCTCCGTGCGCTGTACTTTGGAGGTACTAGTGCGACCGTGCGGCTTTCCCGCCACCACCATGTTATCGATTAGTACCCGCCGGTCGCATGCCTTGCTCCCACCAGAGTCTCAACAATCCACCGGTACCTTCACCAGCTGGCAGGTCGGCTCTCCTCGCCCGCGCACAGACGCATTTCTCCGGAGTCCGCTGCATCGCTTCCTCTCCCATCCATTCTCTTCTATACATCAACTCCGCCATCCAGTTTCCCCCCTGCATCTGGATCTCTGCCGCTCCTCCGCCAAGGCACTGTTTTGTTGCCCAAAACTCCCCACTGCCGGCTTCGAGTGGCTTGTCCTGTTGCCTCCCTTATACCCCAAGGCCAGATACAAGATAGAGGGGCGGAGACTTTTCACGGCCCTTCTTCAGCCTTTCTTTCAGCAACCAAAGGCCGCCTTGTCTCGACTCATGGTTCCTCCGGCTTCCCTTGTTCGATAGCTCCCCCTCCGCGGGCATTTCTTCTTCTTGTCTCGTCTCTTCTCTCGCCTCGTCTCGTCTCGTCTCTCAACCATGAACGACGCCTGGAACGCCTCAGACGTCGGGCCCGCCGCCCAACCTCGAGAACCGACCCGGCACGACGATGGCCTCGGCGCCGCCACCGACACGGCCCCTTCGATATGCCGAATATGTCGTGGAGAAGGCACCCCGGCCGAGCCGCTCTTCTACCCGTGCAAGTGCAGCGGTAGCATCAAGTATGTCCACCAGGACTGCTTGATGGAGTGGCTCTCGCACTCTCAGAAAAAGTACTGCGAGCTGTGCAAGACGCCGTTCCGATTCACAAAGCTCTACGCACCAGACATGCCGCAGTCGCTGCCCGTGCACATCTTCGTCGAGCACATGGCCAAATACCTGTTCCGCAACTTTTTGGTCTGGCTGCGGGCAGCTGTGGCCATCAGCGTCTGGGTTTTTTGGCTTCCCTATTTCATGAGGGCCGTCTGGTCTTTCATGTTCTGGGTCAGTGACGAGGGCCCTGGCGCTGGCTCCATCATGTCGCGGATCAACGAGACCAACAACAACAACACCATGTCTACCATTCCCTCGTCCATCCTGGCCATTGGAACCTGTCCCGCCAGCCCTCTGCTTGCTGCCACTACCACGTCAGCGGCTGAAGTCGAAGCCGTAGTCGGCCAGCTACAAGGCAAGGAAGTCTCCGATTACTTTGTGCGATTCCTGCTCGGTTCATTCACCTCTCCCTTGCTAGCCTCGGATGGCGAGCTTGGACTTGAGTCCAATGCATCTGCAGCACCAAACAATGGTAGCCAATCATTCGTTACCTCGACTCTTCTCGGCAATGTCGCATTCATTGGCAACCTAACGAGAAGTGCCAGCTTGAACCGCGCCATCGTATCTGTGCTGGAAGGGCAGGTCATCACCGTCTTGGTCATCATCTCTTTCATTCTCATCATCCTAGTCAGAGACTATGTGGTTCAGCAGCAGCCTGAAATTAATATGCGAGCTGCCTTTGCCGCACCGGAAAATGATTTCCCGATTCCTGTACCAGAGATTGCTCAGCCAGAACCCTTGCCGCCAAATCCAGAGCCCACGGACTCGGACGATGATACCCTGGAGGACAGCGACCAGGCGGGCGCCCCAGACTGGCGAATGATACGATTGATGCCAGCTCACCACCTCGTGATTGCTGGCGAACAGCCGTTGACTCCAGATTCATCAAACCACTCCCTACTAGATAATGAACCGGTCCCTACTTCCAGCACCAACACATCATTACAGAACGATCAGCTGAATTCCCAAGCACGTGAAGGTGCTGATGATGGGGATGCCGCGGAAGAGCGAGCTACTGTCGAAGATTATCTGCGGATTTATCGTCGCGCGAATGGTGACTTTCACGAAATTTTACGAATCATCGAAGAGGAAGGCCTACAAGAGAAGCTCAAGTACTGGGTTGATGTTACTAGGCGATCGACAATGGACAATGCTGACCGTACTGCCACAAGTGAGCCTGCAAGAGAGCCCGCAGAGGACGAGGACCATCACGAGCAGGAAGTCGGTTCGGACCATGACACCCTCCCATCTCCGTCCACCTGGAAAGGCAAGGAACCAGCATGGTCTCCGGTATCAGTAGATGCCGATATGCCGGGCCCTTCAGCTGCTGTCGAGGATGATCTATTTGGTATTACTCCCAGACCTCGTTCAATGTCTGAAGGCTTCCAGGAGCAGCAGTTTGTGAATCCACTGGCCAATAACTCATGGTCCTTTGATGCACTGCCTACGGATGACAAAGCGGATGAAGAACCTCAAAGCCTACCCGTCATCCAAGAGCAAACAGGGCAGGACCTTGGGGATATGCAGCCGGTAGACCAGCTCGAGGACCAGTTCGAGGAACAGTTCGAAGACCAGCTCGAAGACCAGCCTGAAGACCAAGATTATGACGTCCATCTGAACAGAGAAAACTATCGACACCTTCCGGAGAGGGATATCCATGAACAACACCCCGTCAGAGAAATTTACCAACGCCATCCTCCAAATAGAGAAGTGTATCAACGCTATCCAGATGTAGATGAAAGACAGGGTAACTTGGATGCCGAGTTTGAAGCTCAACCGCCTCGTGTCAACGCTGCCGCCGACGAAGCCGTCATCAACGGCGGCGATGCTCCAGCGGCTGGCCTCGTCGATAGAGTTGCCGATTTCATGTGGGGCAATTTGAATGAGCCGGATGCTGTTGAAGCCGGCCCTGCTGCTGACATCGCCGCCCAACAAGCAGCCGCCGCTGCTGCTGAGAGAGCTGCTGCTAGACGAGCTGTTGCTGAGCAAGTGGCGGCCGAAAACGATGAACTGTGGGCCGGGGCCAACGGCGAAGATGGCGACGGTATGCCCGCCGACGGCAACGGAGCAGCATTCGACCCTGAGGCAATCGACGATTTGGAGGATTTCGAAGGAGTCATGGAACTCATCGGCATGCGTGGCCCTATTGCCGGCCTTTTCCAAAACGCCATATTCTGCGCCGTCCTTGTGTCTGTCACCATCTTTGCTTGCATTTTTCTCCCCTACAACATTGGACGTGTCTCGGTCTGGCTCCTTGCAAGTCCCATGCGAGTTGTGCGCCTGCTCTTTGAGCTGTCCAAGATGCTGCAAGATGCCACCTTCCTTGTCGGCGGACTGTGTTCCTGGGGTGCGTTGAACATTGTCGACATGTTCTCAACCATTATGGGGGCCTCCGCTAAAGCTCATATCCTTTCGGCCAGGAAAATGTCCTGGGGCCTGTGGACAGGTGCTGCTAGCAGACTATCTACGTGCCTCTTCATAGACTTTTTCCCCATGACGACAACGGAAATTCACAACTTTTCTGCAGTGAGCCACGACGCTCTCAACACTGTCAAGACCAACATCGTGTCTGTGCTTTACAGCGTCAGGGACAGCCTAAGTGCTGCCCATGATGTGGGCTTTGACAAGATCCTGTCCACGACAATGGCGGTGTTTGGTTCTACCTCGGAGACGGCTCTCAAGCTTTCGTCCCAACTTATGAAGCCCAGCTCGTGGGTTATTGACCTGAGTTTGGCTGAAGAATGGCCTGCAGTCGATCCGCAGTTGGCACATTGGTCAAGCATAGACAGGTTTTGGGCAATTCTCGCTGGCTATGCCACCGTGTTCCTTATTGGTGCGCTGTATCTGAAAAAGGGCAGCCCGTTCTCGAGAGGCACGACGATGCATGCGTGGGAGGCTGGCGTCATCGACTTTCTCCAGCAAGCCAGCGGCATCATCAAGGTGATACTCATCATAAGCATAGAGATGCTCGTCTTTCCTCTTTACTGCGGCCTTCTTCTTGACGCAGCCCTGCTGCCGCTTTTCGAGGGCACCACGTTGACGAGCCGGATCGTCTTCACTTGCAAATATCCGATGACTTCGGTATTTGTGCACTGGTTCGTAGGCACCGGCTACATGTTCCACTTTGCCCTTTTCGTCTCCATGTGCCGGAAGATAATGCGACCAGGTGTTTTGTGTAAGTTGCCATTCATTGCTTAGGATGATCCTCTTTTTTTTTTCTTTTTTCAATGAGTACCTGGCTAATATTCCGTTCTTGGCAGATTTCATCCGAGATCCTGATGACCCCGAATTTCATCCCGTCCGAGACGTACTGGAGAGAAACCTCACGACGCAGCTGAGGAAGATTCTCTTCTCTGCTTTCGTGTACGGAGCTCTGGTGATTGTGTGTCTCGGTGGTGTCGTATGGGGGCTGTCATTCGCCATGCCAGGCGTGCTCCCCATTCACTACTCCTCAAACGAGCCAGTTTTGGAATTTCCAGTCGACTTGCTCTTTTACAATTTCCTCATGCCTCTTGCAGTTAAATTCTTCAAGCCCAGCGACGCAATGCACACCATGTACACGTGGTGGTTCCGCCGATGTGCACGAGCTCTCAGACTCACATATTTCCTCTTTGGCGAGAGAAGAATTGACGAGGAGGGAGATTTATATCTCCGTCCTGGGACCACGGCTGGCAGGTTTCCTCAGTCTGGAATCCTGCTCGAGCTCGGCGAGGGGAACGAAATCGTCCCAAAGACCTGGCGAGATACCTTTGAAGGTGGTGATTTGAAGCCAAACACGATCACGACTTCTGAGCAGAGAAGAGATCTCCGCCGCAGAAAGGCTCAGCTTGTCGAGTCTCATCAGCTCGTCAAGGACGGTCGATTCGTCCGAGCTCCCGCGTCTGATCGTATCAAGATCCCCAAGGGGCAGAAGATTTTCCTGACGGTGAGCGAGCGCAACCGCCGCAAGGATGGCCGTTCGGATGATGATCTCTATTCTTCGGACCAGTACCTTATGGTCTATGTACCTCCCAACTTCCGCGCTAGAGTCTTTTTGTTTATTCTCTTCATCTGGCTCTTCGCCTCGGTTACCGGCGTGGGCTTCACCATTATCCCCTTGGTTTTTGGCAGAAGAATCTTCAAGGAGCTGATACCACACTACATCCGAACGAACGATATTTACGCCTTCAGCATTGGAGTATTTTTGCTTGGCTCAGTTGCCTACTCAATATTCCACTACCACGTCATAAAGGAGGCGGTTCAGAAGTGGACTCGACAAGCACGCCGTGACTTGTTTGAGGGCAAGGCGGTAGGACGAGGGGCACTCATCGGCCTCCGTCTGGCTAAGCTCTTTTACGTATACTTTGTCCTTTTGATCGTGTTTCCACTGCTTACCTCGATGCTTATGGAGCTCTACGTCACCATCCCACTGCACACGTACATGTATCCCCCTACGGCGATTTCGACCCTGAAGGACCAGGCAGTTGATTGCCACACGGTGCGCGTCATCCAGTCTTGGGTTTTGGGACTGCTCTATCTCAAGCTGGGAAGCCGGTTGATTACTTCTCTATTTCCAGATAGCCGCGCTGCCACAGCAGTGCGATCCATCATGCGCCGAGGTTGGCTGCGTCCGGATGTGCGCCTCCTGACACGAGCCTTTGTTATCCCAGGCTTGATGGCATCATGTGTGGCTATTTTCGGGCCACCCATGATGGCAGGATTCGTTATCAAGCACGGCGGCCTCGCTGGAGGCTCCGCGGCCGAAGATGCAGCCGAGGCTGTAAGGCTGACGGTGCTTTACAGACAGTCTTATCCTGCGGCAGCATTTGCCGCTATACTCGCCAAGCACGCAGTCGGTCTTGTCAAGGTGACGAACCGATGGACGGCGGGCGTCAGAGATGAGGCGTATCTGATTGGTGAGCGATTGCATAACTTTGGATCCAGGGCATCTGGGACAAAGCGATCTAGTAGAAGCCAGCGTTAAATGAAGGTGGTGGGGGGCGGTAGCCTTTGAATGGCTAGGCGATGAGTTGGGTTGTAATGATTATATATAAAGGTTCATGGCATGGAGGATATTCAACATAGTTGGTAGCCCTACTTAGAGGATTAGGCACAGCTCAGGTATATATGCTATACTAGGCTGAGGTTAGGTTTCAACGGGCATTATATGTAGGTAACAGTCAACAAAGCGATACAAGGAATGGATTTATGGGTTTCTCTCTTTTCATGCCTCGGGGGCAATGAAAGATTTAGTGTGGTTTTTTCCTTTGTATATGTGGGTATGTGAGTGCGTGAGTTGTTTGCCCGTCAAATGACCCAACCGGGTAATATCATGCAATCTCATGCGCTTCATTTTAGGACCTGGAGTGACTAACAACCAGTAGCCTGACTTGGCCGCACAACACGCCATCGATTCTAGTTGAAGTGACATGGCAAGATGAAGAGAAAGCACACTTGATCTACTTGTTTCTCCAAGCACCTGATACTATCACTGCCCTCTTCTAGAGGTATCTGCTGCTATCACCTCCATCATCTTAAGCCTCACGGCGTAAACTACCCGGGAACATGGGGGGGAAAGCAGCAAAGAAGCAAACAAAGGCTGTGCTCCTGGAACCAAACTGCGTGGATTATACATGAGATGGCTACTGGGGAAAAACAACAAATTCTTCAATACAAGAAAAAAAAAGTTCCCAAAAAGTGTGTGCCAGCACCTTGGGTAGCAACGCCATCATGGGTTTTGTTGTCACCTGAAGCCATTTTGTTTACATTCCGACGAATCAAGTCCCCAGCGACGATCTGGCGTACAAGTACATCCAGCTCCTGCAGTCGAGCATCATTCCCTACATGCGATATAATTACCTGCATCGCCGCCGAGCGCCTTTGGCAAATCAGAGGCGAAACCATCGGCTGTCACGTCTCGTGCGCATGCATGGATGCGTTGGCAGAGCCCACCTTTGGGAGGTGAGGCTGCTGCTGAGTGGGCGGCGAAGGCTCTGCAAATGCAGCGCTGATGCACCCCGAAATAACGGAGTACAGGTACCTGTACATGGCACCGCCTGTGTCTTGCAGCGGTTCTTAGTGGTCGGCGGCGGTGCACCACGTGACCCACAGGGGGCCGTGCCGCTGTAAGTGCCGCCCCAAGTGCAGCCAAGAGCAGTGCTGCAGCGCCCGAGCCGCTGCAATTTGCAAGCCCAGAGTCCGTGTTGCCCATGGCTGCCACCTGGCCTAGGCCGCAAGCAGCATAGCGCCGCCTGCCGGTCGCCAAATCTGATGCAGCCCAAAGGAGAGTGTCGCATCCAGCGTCACGGGCCAAACCATGCATCTCAACTTGCAACCGCCAACTGCAGGCTATCGCGGGCTTCGACTCTGACGGCTCGAGATACGGCCAGCGTCTTCTTGTCCTTTTTCTCTCCCCCGTACTGCATTTGGCGGCTTCGCTCTGCACTGCGGACCGGCGACGACGACCCGATCGGCCCCCCGGATCCCCTGGCGGCCAGAAACAGCGACGCCGCGCCTCGCGAAATTTGACTCGTTGCCGCGGCTCCTGGTTCTGGTTCTGGCTTTTCTGGGTGTTCGCGCCTCGCAATCCCCGGAGCGCATCGAAAGCGCCTCTATTTTGCTGTGTAAATCGAAGCCTGGTGTCGGCTCTAACATCTTTGGTGAGCGCAAGCTTCTGGCGGCTTTGGCGGCGGCCGACTGTGCTAGAAGCGGCCGAAGCTGACGAACCCCCGGTGAAGGCAATCGAGCGACAAACGGGCTGCATTAACAGGCCTCGCATCGCCGACCCGATTCGATCGTTTGCATCTTGCGACCTCAACTCGTTCATCATCTCCAGGCGACTCTCTCCGTCTCTCTTTTTGCTGTTTTGCTCTAGCTTCGAGCTCTCGTTGACTCGCCGGCTCTCCGACGGTTACTCTCCTTAACGATCCACGATAAACCACCACTTACCAGTGTTTCTTTTTGTCTCAACAACTATTACTCACGACTGCGCCCGACAACCCGCGGTGCCTTGACATTTTAGCGAAATCAAGCCGCATTATAACGATTCATTCATTATCATTTTTTCCTTTTTTTCCGTTTTTTTTTTTTCGTTACCTTTTACGTCGCACAACATTCCATGCCCACACCGCCCGACTCACCGCGAGAGGAAAAAGAACAAGAGAAGGGACGACGACACCCAGCGCATACATAGCTTTGACCCGCCATGGCCGAACCACCTTCATCGCCTCCTAGCGAGGCTGCTGGCGCCGAGGATGCCTTGGCTTGGTACAAGGCGCAATACGAACTTTTGGAGTCTGAGCTGGCCGAGTTCCGAGAATCCAGTCGGGAATTGGAGCAGGAACTGGAGAAGGATATTGAACGAGCAGAGAAGCAGGAGAGAATCCTGAAAGAGAAAGCCGATGCACTACGATTTGAAGTAGAAGAGTGGAAGGTAAGTTGGATGCGCTTCTTTAAAACCCTCAATCGACTTGGAAGCGATTTTGATAACCCCCCCCTTTCAAATTACGCTTGCGTCGCTTTTTGTATTTCGGTTACGGCGGCTAATCTTTTTCTTATTAACCTGCACAGAGAAAATACAAAGAATCCAAAGCAGAAACCACCACTGCGCAAGCCTCACTAGAAAAGGAAATTACAAACCTTCGAGAGGCAAACCGCACATTGGCTCTGAGACTGAGAGACTCCGAGGTTGCCAATGATGATTTCGAACGTCAGGCGCGAAACACCACCTCGTCTCTCGAGGATATGGAGTCCAAGTTCAACCAGGCTGTTGAGCGGGGCGTCCTGATGGAGGAGGAGATCAGGATGGGCGAGCAGGAGCGTGAGGCGCTCCGCATCGAGTCGCAGCGCTTGCGAGAGGAGCTCTCAGAGCTCAAGATTGAAGCTGAGCTCATGCAGGACAAGGTCAAGAAGTACGAATCCCGCCACTCGACCATCTCGTCCGACATTTCGATTCTCGAGTCCCCCACCTTTGATAAGGCTGTGGATGCGTCTGTCGACTCGGCCGCAAGCTCGCCTCTCATCACCACGCCCCCAGAGATTACCAAGTCTCTGGGAGAGCCGACCACCGAGCTGTTGGACCCGCCATCACCGCCAATGTCAGATGCCTCAGCGCACATGTCGAGAGCACCCTCACGGATCCGCACTCCGGCCCCTGCCACACTTCGCCGGACCCGATTGCCGTCGGTGGATGCCAGTTCTCGAGCCCGTGCAGGTACTTCTTCGACGGGCAATCGGGTTGTCACTGGTGGTCGCCCGTCTATCAGCAGCATCAACGGAAATAGCAACAGCGGCGGCGCCTCTCTTCGGACGACGCCCACACACAGATCAACCGTATCCCGCAACAGCAACTACAAGATACCCGCGTCAAACTCATTGTCGCACATTCGCCTTCTCACGGCACAGATGCAACGGCTCGAAGCCAGAGTGCACTCGGTGCGGTCCAAACTGCCCGCCCCCAGCGGTAGCAGCACTCCGCCTCGTCCAGCTTCTCGACCTGCGATGCCCAGTTTGACTCCCACCGCCCCGACCATGGTCCGCTCACGGAAGCGCGCCACCACTCAGTCGACGGCATCTTCATCTTTCACTGGGGATGACCTGACGCCTACTAGTAGTTATGCTTCATCATCTAGGGCTAGCCACACTCCGAAGCTTAGCAACGCGTCTGGCGTCAGTAGGATCTCCTTTGGCACTCAGCCCAATGGCCGAGGATCAGAATCGGAAGTCAGTCGGCCAGTATCACGGTCAAGCGGAACATCATATGTCAGGCCGCCGTCTCGCAATGAAGTGGCATTACCGACACGGCCAATTTCCCGGAGCTCTTTCTCGGCGGGGACTCGAACTCCGATTGGCCGGCCGGCCTCCTCCTTTGGCCGCGGGCACTCTGGTAGTGTCAGTGGCGTAGACCTGCTCGGAGAGGAACCCGAACATGAACCTGTGTACCGCACGCCTAGTAGGCGCGGTACCTTTTCTACCCGATATGATTTGTCGACAAGCATCAATGGCATGAATGGCATCCCTGGCATCAGCGGGATCCCGACACCAGGCAGCGCAATTCCCACACCGGGCAGCGGGATCCCCGGGCCAAGCTTGAGACGGCAGAGCGGAGCCAGGAGAATCAGCCTTAGCAACGGCAGTACCAACAGCGGCGGCGTCCCTCTTCGATCGGGCCGTGTCAGCACGACTGGATTCAGGAAACTGGGCGACTTGGGAGAGACTTATTGATGAGATGAGCTCTCGCGTCGAGATTGCACAGTCAACTTGTTTCCGAGATATTACTCTCTTTATTATAATATTTTTTTTCCCCTTTTCGTTTTGGTTTATTCTTCCCCAACTCCAGTTCTCGCCTTGCGTTCAATTGTTTGTCTGTATTTTGGGAACGGGTGCATTTTGGTCGCTGTGACACTTTGGCATCACAGAGGCGAACGAGGTGTTGATGATGATTGATTACGGGCATGTTTTCTCATGCTAAAACGCAACGGTTGGTTTTATTGCCTTTTGCCTCCCGCTTTATTCAATTTTTTTTTATCTACTTATTATACCTCGACTCTTGTCCTGATTTGTATGCAGGAGAGGGTCTTGTTCTTGGTACTACACTACACGCACACATGGAAGTTATGAAGAGATGGTACGGGCTGAGCTCGGCAAAGACTAAACATAAATTTCTATAGATTGCTTTTCATTTGTCTTTTTTTTTGAGAGGAGATATTGATTGGAGGGGGGTGAGTGTGAGGGAAGAGGAGTGGAGGGAAGGGGAGGTGAGTGTGGAGGGAGGGAGGATAGCTAGATAGCTAGATAAGAAAGATAGTAGCCTAGGAAAAAAATTGATACATTGTTTTAACTCGTTCTTGTGCCTAGTGAATGTACAAAGAGCAAGAGCAAGAGCAAGAGATATGTCACTGGGTCGGAAGCTGGATAAGCAGACGAGATGGGATCGGATTTGCCGAAAAGAGGCTCGGCCCGGGATGGGGCACATCAGAGCCCGAGAGTTCGGATTACGTCTGAGAAGAGGGCGGATTTACGGGTCGGAATACGTGAGATTGCAAAGATACCAAGATACTAGGCAGGTAGGCAGAGAGAGACATTCACCAAAAGGGCTAAGGAGCTGTAATGTGAGATCTCGATCTGTTATCGTGTTGGGAGCAAAGGGGGCGAGTGATGCAATCGGGGCCATTGAGCAGCAATGCCCCATACATGAAATTCCTGGCCTGGCTAGGTGCATTGCTGTGTACGTAAAGCATCCGCTCATAGCCGACTAGACACTGTGAGAAATGAGAAGTGAGAAGAAAGAGGCATACTACTGTACTAGGTAGAGATGAATGCTCACCCCCCTGTCTCGTTTAGGCAAAGCCTCGAGGTTACTTTTCTCCAACCAAGGCAGAGACAATGAAGAAGGCATACCGTTAGCAAAGCCGAGGGGAGGTTCCATTAGGGATAGTATCTATGGAGAACGAAGCAGAGATGACGGTAAAAAAACAACAACAGCAAACCGCTGCAAAGGAAAAAAGCGGGAGCAACGGAGTGCCGCGAGTCCGGAGGGAGGATGGGCCATTCCGGCGGATTATGTGGGACGTGATTGGCTGGAATGGAGATGGGGGGGTTCCCAGTTTTGGTGTTGTGAATTGTTGGGGGTGTGTTGAGTGAGGTTTTTGGTTTTTCTTGGGATTTTGTTTTGACATCCGGTTTTTTGTTTTTTCGGGATTTTTTTTTGTTTGTCGGCGGTTCATGGGTTGTTGTATGGAGGATTAATAATGACGAGCTGGATGTGTTTACGGGATGCTGGATTACATATATGTTCTAGCTATGCTTACAAGATCATGGAATATTACCGGGAAATTTACTGCTTCCAAGGAGGAATTCTTTCTATTCACTGCAAAGAAACAAAAGGGAACAAAAAAAGGTACAAGTCAATACTATTACCAAGGTGAGACAGTTGTTTTGGCGCAGCCGTTCCCCCGAGGGTTACGGAGCATTTAGGACGAGAGCGAAAAAAAAAACGATGGATCTCCATCTGGCTAGGTAAGTGGTTGGGTGGAACTCAACAATTGGGGGGCCCAGAAAAAAAAAAGAATGATGGGGAGAAGCTGGGTGGAAGGTGTACATGGGCGGGATATGGCAGATGGGTGCGGGACTAAGGTACTTGTCTAGTTGAGGCTTGTTTTTTTTGTTGGTTCTTTGAGGGTTTGTTTGGTGATGGGATGGAGAGCGGGATGGAGATGGAGATGGAGGTGCTACGTTATCTTGTTGTTGCATGTACAGCAGATAGGTACAGTACCTGGATTGATGGGGATGGCAAGACACCGCTACGGTACGCGTATAACGATCGGAGGATGGCTACGACTATATCCGGCATATTCTACAGTACAGTATATCGTGCCTGCAAGCATCTTGTCCTGTCCTGTCTTGATAATGGTTTATCCCGCTCTGCTTATTCGCCGATGGCCGTTTTGGGGGCACGAGGGCGTTTTAGCACGGGAGGCTAAGACCGAATCTCGGGTTTTGGGCGGTGGGGCTGCAGATGTGAATGTTTAATTTTGTTGCAGCCAGGATGGATCCGGGGAGCTCAGCAAGTTTCTCTCATTTACAGGTAGTACATGCTTGTTATTGAGAGCTTGTTCGGGGGGGGGGGTGCGAGTTCATGGCTTGTGTGTCCGTCCGTCGATGCCGTTTGGTAATCTTGCGGTCCGCGGGGGCCGAGAGAGAGAGAGAGAGATGTTTTGGTTTGCGGCTGGATAAGCAAGGTGAAAGAAATGAGCGCGGGCCGGGCTCCGTTGTTTGCGACGAGTAATGACGAACGAACTTGGGCTTGTAGTACAAGGAGCTTGTTGTTTGTTTCGAGTAAGTCGCTAGTAAGTCGTGCTTTGGTAGTTCTTGTACATGCTGCATTCAGATGCATCTTGGCCGGGCTGGTTTGCTCCACAGAGGCTGATATAGGTGGTGAGTAAGTAATAGGTAGGCACCATGTAAGCCGTCAAGTGACAAGACGGGACGTCGAAGCTATCTCGAATGTATGTATATATGTGTATGTATAATGATGACCGCTGGATAGCCAGTCAGACGGGGGAATAATCACAACTACGGCAGCCTCGTCGTCAAGTTCCATCCTATTCCTTCGCACCCCTCTCGATCCTTGATCCGACCCTAGATCCTCCCCCATCGGCGCGTTACGCAGCGCCGCCATCCTCTGCCTTGCTCATACACTATAAGCCAGGGTTGCATCGCCGGGCTGTCATTATGGGCAAGACTGAGTGTAAGATGGCTTCCGGCCGTCAGCCTGCTTTCCCCCGTCCGGTTCGGGTAATGCTGATGGCCTCTGTACAAGTAATAGCTCGTGTCCACGTCCGGGCCTTGGGGCTCCGTCGTCCGTAGACTAGCTAACTGGAGCTGCTGGAGCTGAGAAAGAAATGAATAAGACGGGAAATTTACTGGATACGATACGAGTAGATGATGGGTGCTTGTAATCAATAATAGTAGAACGGTGGCTAACAAGCTACTCGTACTCTGTTGATACGCTTGTTGCTGCTTTGCTGATAACGAATGCACATATCCGAGACGAGCACACTGTGCTGGGTAAACTTGATCGATCGATTGCCGGCAGATAGAACGGGGTCTTAGATCGCCAGTGGTTGCATGTTGATATCACCCCCAACATGCCCTTTTCTGTACATGTACTGTACTGTGCCGTGTGATGCCATTCCCTGCTTCCCCCACCCTCTCCTCAGCAAACCAAGGCCGTGAATCTCACTCTCTTTTCTTCTCTGAATCAGCATGGCATTATGGATATTTTGCTTCTGTCATAATTCAACCTTCTTTTTTCCACCCGCGAATTCCCCTCCTTTGTCATCCCCAGATTCTGCACTGTACATAGTACTACAGCCCGGCCCAAGAGCAGAATTAGACGGAAACGAATGGTGCCCAAACGCCCATCTTGTATCCACAACGACTAAACAGTCCAAACTCAATGGCAAAAGACATTGCCCACTGACCCCAACAGATCTAGGGCCGCCTCCCCCCTGTGCAGCCACCTGGAGCCAGTCGCCAGCCGCCAGAGCTGCTCCGTAATTGCAACTAGACTTGCTAGAGTCTCCCCGAAAGCTTCTCGCACACCCCCCAGGCGCAGGGGGGTCTCCCCTCCAAGCCCTCCCTTGCCCCTCGTCGATCCTGCTAGCAACGCTGTTGCGAGTCTCGTCGGATTCTTTTTATCTCGGGCCTCCCGCACGACCCAATTCCGCTGGAAGACGTCCCTTCTATTCTAATCCTTCTCTCGTCTCGAAAGCGGGCTGCAAATCGTCTCTTGCGCCCATCTTTTGCTCTTCTTGCCTGATTCAGCCTCATTCCCTGGCGGGCCAACAAGCTGGGAAAAACGAAACAAGATACATTCCACCACCTAATCACAGTCACGCCGTCCATATACCCGTGGGCCGTCTTAATTTTCGCCTCCAGCCTGTTAATACTCGGTTCATGTCGACTTGATTGTCTTCTGTGGGCAGAATCCACGTCAGATTACCGACCGCCTCTGATCTGATCTGACCTGACATTCCCCTCCCCCTCACTACGCAAAAGCCAATTCAACTCTTTTCTTCTCCCCCCACCACATCACAACAGCAGCCATGACGGAGACAAACGGCGCCCCCAACGCCCCGAACGGCACCGGCAGGACTGTGCCTGTCGCCAATGGCAGCGTCACCTACGCCGAGAAGCACAAGATCGCGGACCACTTCATTGGAGGCAACCGGCTGGCGAATGCCCCCGCCAGCAAGGTCAAGGACTTTGTGGCCGAGCATAACGGCCACACTGTCATTACAAACGTGAGTTATTCTCGTGTCCCGCCCTTCGTCCTTGGATCGCCAGTCCTTGTTTACTGACGTAAAACCCCTAAAAACAGGTTCTGATTGCCAACAACGGTATCGCCGCCGTCAAGGAGATTCGATCAGTCCGGAAATGGGCCTACGAGACGTTTGGCGACGAGAGGGCCATCCACTTCACCGTCATGGCCACGCCCGAAGATCTACAGGCCAACGCCGACTACATCCGAATGGCTGACCACTACGTCGAAGTTCCCGGCGGCACAAACAACCACAACTATGCCAACGTCGAGCTGATTGTCGACATTGCCGAGCGCATGGACGTCCATGCCGTCTGGGCTGGCTGGTGAGTGACAAAATTTTCCCTTCCCTTTTGATCGCCGAGATAGAAAGAGATTCTGTTGGAACCCATGGGGCTGA